AATGTTGTTAGATTACAAAAGCAAGTATCAGACGTCGGCGATGGGGGGTGACGCCTGCTCACCGCGCCTCCCTCCTAAATCCGCCACTGTCAACAACCAATTACAAAAACGCTATAGTATATTCTTGTTTTGGGATCGTCTATCTGAATCTGCCATAAAATATGAGTCTTTCCTTTTAAAAGAGATTACAAATGTTGACATTATTTTTTTAATGAAATGACTCATATTTCACTACACATCCGAATAGATTCTTCCAAGAGAAAAAGATTGATATATCTATTGTTTTATGATTGGTTGTTGAGTTATAAAATTCAATGTACAATAACTCTCGAATTTGACGGTCCATCACTTTGAAAGACACTGATATTGTTTCTCTCAGGTTATAAAGAACTCCTAAGGAGCTTCAAAATGAGGTATCTCTCAACCAACCATTCCATTCAAAAATATTCCAAATGGCACTCTTGCAATAATTTCTTTTATTCAGTAAACCAGGAAAAACATAATTTTTTAGTATTGTTGTAAGTATTGAATAACATTTTATTGGATATACAAGTTAATAATAAAAACCGAATTCTATTTAAGACAGTTCCGAGGTTTGTGGTCCTTTTAGGGTGTATTCAATAAACGTTTCTTAAAAGAATTATTGTTTATAAACTTATATGCTTGGCTGTGTATTTTTCACAGCAGACCTCCTGAATTATATATTTAATCAATCTTCAGTTTTTGCAAGATATTTACGTATACATATAAAATAAATGGATGCTGCAAACTTAGTTTATTTTAATTGACGCGCCCATATTATTCAAAATATTGCATATGTCTATAGTCCATAAAAACTTCATTAACTCCAAGTCAAAACATACATGGACACTGAATTGGCACTTCTATTTACTTGTCGCTGCCTGCCCAGGCATGTATGGCTGCTTACCAATAGGAGGGCCCGAATTTAAATGTCGCGCGATGGCGTTTGTTTTGACGGGAGTAAATAAGCTGAACTGCTGAACAATGGACTCCGCCGCAGTGCAGTTGCAGTGAAAAGTGAAATTATGATTATCAACAAGCAACAACAAGATAGGAACTCATAGATACAATGCTGGCAAAAGTCGTTTAATAGGGAGGGGCGCGGAACAGCGTTGCCAGATTAGTCGCGGGAAATAATCTTATGTCGAAATTATCGTACATTATGATACGTCCCAGAATCAATGTTCAGGCAAGAGATTTTCATCTCGGGGGGGGGGGGGACTCCCTTGCCTATCCAGCTTATTGGTGGCTAATTGAAGAGGGAGGGGAGCGGTTAGAAATGTGCTAACCTAATTGTTGGATGCATTGGTCATAGATCACATGTTAACATCCGGGGTTAAAAAAGGTTAAACCCTAGCTTGGCTATACCCGCCGTGGTTTTTTTTTCATCACATTGGGTGCTATTTTTAGGTTGTATATTATAAAAACGGTGCTAAAAAAGTGGCAAATTTGGAATTTGTGAGATATTTGCAGATTTCTTTGGGATTTTTAGAATATATATGTAACCTATGCTTTAGTCTGTTGAGATATTATTTCACAGCGGAACGTTGCCATGTTTAACATATGGCTTAAAATTTAGAGAAACTAGTCATGTTAATGCGAGATACAGCATCTGCAGCACCTTTTGCGCTACCTTGTCTCTTCACTAGACAAAAGTGTTCTGACATATGACAACGGCCTAAGATACAGCGCGGTTAGGACCGATCCGGAATCGATTCTAAACCGATTCGACACAATTCAAAATAAAACCATTATTTGGGCGTAGAGAATAAACTAATGCATATGTTCAATATGCATTATAATTCAAGGAACTGGTGAAACATATTGGCAGCGCGGCAGATTGCCACGACCTTCTTGTCAGCGTTGCCAGGTAACGTGGCAAGCCGGCTTCTATCTCCTTCTAACATGTTTCTTACACACGTTTCGCGCTTCTCTCTCGTACACATTGAACTCAAGCCATGGGTAAAATTTGGTTCTCTCCGTATGTGCATATATTTCTGCCCATCTGGCCACCACGCTCAAAAAGGGTGGAAAAAAAGATATATAATGTTCATTCTGTGTTCTCTAGCACTCAAATAAATGGAAAACAATTAGAAATAAAAATATACATTCTTATGAAAAATAAAATAAATAGCTGAAAAATATCAGAATTTACTCATTTACACATTTTAAAACTTGGCAACGTTGGACATAGTAGTCAATTAAGGCAGGATATAAAAACTAAATAAAAACCTATTATGCAGTAAAATATTTTAGAAATTTCATTTTTACTCTGATGTTTAGTCCCATTTCTTTCATTTACATCCAAAAACTAGGGACCAAAGTCATTGTTTCATCTTAAAGGCTTATAGGACGGACTCTGTCTAACATACGTAAGTGTTGCATTGTGTTGCACGTACACATAGAATTCTAAAAGAACAAACGACTTTGACCAGCACTGAATAAATTAGTCTCAAATCGTATACAACTTTAATCGCGCAATCACATACTTAATCTGTAATTACTGCGAGGAAAGTTCAGACGATTCAGAGTACAGAGCTTGATATATTTTTCAAGTGAACACAACATTTGAGTACTTTTCTAAACTCGTATGCTGTCTACACACGTCCCTATTATAGATGAAAAATATCTGCTCCTTACGTCACAACCTGTAGTTTCTAAAGCTTGTGATGGGCTGCCATGATGTAATATTAATGACACTCGAAATATAGTTGGCTATAAGGACATTCGGAGCTATCCTAATATTCGAGTGCATTCCTCTAAACTTCATCCACCAACACACACATATACAAAGTAGTTTTGGTAACATCAATCCAGTTCGCGCACGTACAATATTGATATATGATAAGTAATTAATTAGTGATGGATTCAGGTACACTTCATACCGCTAGCATAACTGTAAGCTGATGTTAGTCTAAAGCATTGATTCCCAAAGTGGTCTATATCGACCCCTAGGGGTCTATGACAACCTGCAAGGGGTCTACGTCAGCGAAAAAAAATTTGGGGGTCCATGAAATGAATATGGACGTCCACGATAGTGGATCTCAACACATACACTGATAGTACCTATTCACTTACATCATACTATCTTATAATATCAAAGCATATACATTATTTATAAAAGTACCTATGAAGTAAGAAATTTATTATATGTATATTATGTTTATGAAATTGTGTAAGTTGTAGGATGTTGGTATTCGCTTTGTGGTTGCAATACATTTTGAACTTGTAAAAACCTGAGAGTCGCAGTCTCAGAGCTTCGCTACCTTGCACTGACTTGTTCAATTCGTCACTCTATAAATACGAATGTGGGACAAATACGTTTATTCGTTTCCTGAATCTTGAAAAGGAAAGAGCTAAGAAAATATTTTAAAAAATATGAACAGATAGTAGGAGAGTGCTGGAGAAAAGTAAGTACATTATTTTTTATTAAATTTTAGTTTTGTACTTGTAGTTAGCAAAGATAGATAAATTATGCCAATCATGACTTTAGTTATTAGTAGTTAAATATTCAATCATGCAAAATTACACGAGTACTCCTCAATAGTTTCTTTTTGAAAGTTTTAGCAATCGGTAATATAATTACAGTGCAATCTCCGTAATTCGAGCTAATTGTTGCAAGAAGATGTTCGAATTATGGAATGTTTTCGGAAAAATCAAAAAATATTTTTAATATACAGCTGCTGGATTTTCTGTCTTATTTAAATAATTTAATTTTGCCCACAGATGACTGTTGCCATGTCCGAATCTAAAAAGAAATGTAGACAGTACAGTGTTGATTATTGGAAATTTGGCTTCATTCCATCATTGCCGGACAAACAATCGCCTATGTGCCTTTTATGCAACAAAGTTTTGGGCAATGACGCTATGAAACCATCTAAACTGCAAGATCATCTGAGAAGATGCCACCCTGATAAAACAGAGAAAGATCTGAAATACTTTCAAACACTCAAAGATAAATTTCAGAAGAGACCTACACTGGACAGAATGTTCGCTTCGACGTCACAAAGAAATGATGATGGTTTGCGGGCGTCTTACAATATCTCGTTACATATTGCAAAATCCGGAAAACCGCATACTATCGGAGAGAAGTTAATTTTGCCAGCCGTTGAAGAGGTTTTAAAAACTGTTTTACACAAACCTGCATCTGATATCATTAAAAGAATTCCCTTAAGTAACAATACTGTTGAAAGACGTATTGATGAAATGAGTTCTGATATTGAAAGCTTCTTATGTAATTATTTGCAAACGACCCATTTCTCTATACAACTGGACGAGTCAACTTTACCTGATAATGCAGCATTATTATTGGCATATGTTCGTTTTATTATGAATCAAGAAATCTACGAAGAACTGCTCTTCGCAAGAACTTTGATAACCGACACTAAAGTTGAATCAATATTTCATGTTTTGAAGGATTACTTCATTGAAAAAGCAATTCCTTTATCAAATATAATATCAGTAGCTACAGATGGAGCACCTGCCATGGTTGGACGTTATCGTGGATTTATAAGCTATTTAAAACAAAATGTGTCAGGGGTGTTAGCAATACATTGCGTCATCCATCGACAACATTTAGTTGCTAAAAATTTGAGTGTTAGATTGCATGAATCACTTCATTTAGTCATTGATGCAGTAAACCGAATCCGAAGCAACGCGTTGAATACGCGGTTATTTGCGCAGTTGTGTGAAGAAAATCACGAACACTTTCATCAATTACTCCTTCACACTGAAGTACGCTGGCTGTCGAAAGGCTTATGTTTGACAAGATTTTTGCACTTTTTGAGACTATTTTAGAATTTCTGGATACTAAAGATAAAATTTTAAAAGAAAATTTAATGAAGAGGAAAACAGACATCGCCTATTTAACAGATTTGTTTACAAAATTTAATATGGTTAATTTGCAATTACAAGGCGACAGTTTAAATTTGATTAAAACAAAGTCCATCTTATCAGCGTTTCTTGCCAGAGTTAAACTAATGAAGCAAAATATTGGACGGGTCGAATTTTCTCAGTTCCCCAATTTGTCACAGACAAGCTGCCAGGAAGACGACGTTTCAACTTACGATCAACATTTAAATGCGCTCTATTCAGATTTTGAATCTAGGTTTGAGGATATTTTGACTATGGTATTACCACCGTGGATAATTAATCCATATGGTGACATAGAAGAAACGAATGTCATAATACAAGAAGAACTGACTGACCTAGGAACAAACGAAGAACTTAAGGTTCAGTTTAAAAACGGATATCAGCAATTCTGGCTGCAAAACAACACACCCGTTACTTATCCCGTATAATGGAATATAGCGAGGAAATTTTTAATTTCCTTTCCATCGTCATACCTAGTGGAAAGGGGGTTCAGCGCTGTTACCAATCTCCTAACGGAAAAAAGAAACAGACTGGACATCATTAGCCGAGGAGATTTAAGATTAACCCTTACAAAATTGACGCCAAATGTTGATAATTTATTATTAAAGCAACAGGTTCATCCTTCTCACTAAAAATATTGACTTATTGCTGATGTTATTTTATTTATAGTTTATTTTATGTTTATTGGTGTCTGACCAATAAATGCCCGCATTGGGAATAAGTGCCCGCATTGATTTTTTTAAAGGACCCCCCTTTATAGAAAATATTTTTTTTTAATTATTCTGAAAATTCAAGGATAGGTACACACTAAAATTCGTTAATTTTTTGCCTATTTTTAGATAACTTAAACGTATAAGAAGCGGAATTTAATCAAATTAACAATGAAATTATTGTAGAACATACGTTTATGTTATAATTAATAAACGAACTCGCTTATTGTACTATTTTAAGTAAAAAACTTTTTTTTTTATTATTTTTCACTTTTTTTTATTTTATCTCTATTATTTTTTTTTCAATGCGGGCACTTATTCCCAATGCGGGCACTTATTGGTCAGACACCTGTTTATTTAATGTTACGTATATTTTACATAACAGCAACAGGTTCATCCTTCTCACTAAAAATATTGACTTATTGCTGATGTTATTTTATTTATAGTTTATTTTATGTTTATTGGTGTCTGACCAATAAATGCCCGCATTGGGAATAAGTGCCCGCATTGATTTTTTTAAAGGACCCCCCTTTATAGAAAATATTTTTTTTTAATTATTCTGAAAATTCAAGGATAGGTACACACTAAAATTCGTTAATTTTTTGCCTATTTTTAGATAACTTAAACGTATAAGAAGCGGAATTTAATCAAATTAACAATGAAATTATTGTAGAACATACGTTTATGTTATAATTAATAAACGAACTCGCTTATTGTACTATTTTAAGTAAAACACTTTTTTTTTTATGATTTTTCACTTTTTTTTATTTTATCTCTATTATTTTTTTTTTCAATGCGGGCACTTATTCCCAATGCGGGCACTTATTGGTCAGACACCTGTTTATTTAATGTTACGTATATTTTACATAACAGATACAAAATTTTATTTTGAGTAGTTTTAATTTAAATTCAATTAATAAATGTATAAATTAACATGTGTTTTTACTTTAAGTTTTTAACACTAAACTTCACTACAGTTAGAAATTTACAGGAAATCAATATCAGGTAAGTAGGGGGTCTACCCAACACGGAAAAACATGGCAAGGGGTCTACGACATGAAAAAGTTTGGGGAACTCTGGTCTGAAGCAACGGCCCTAATCAAATTCTGTAACGTATATGTAGTATCTGATTATTGAGTTCAGATACCAGTCCACTACATACGAGGTCTGAAATTGAATGATGAGACTGATTTTTTTTAAATTTATCATATTCAAATATAATTACAATTTTATATCACTCTCAAAATAACTTCTGAAGCCATACAGCGCTGGAGCTTGTTCTTCCACTCCCCATAGCAATGCTGGAACTCCGATACTCGAATAGCCTTCAGCTAGTCAGTTACAGCCGTTTGAATGTTTTCGACTGTCCCAAAATGAGTTCTCTTGAGGTGATTTTTCAACTTCGTAAATAGCAAATAGACTCAAGTCAGGCGAATAAGGAGGCTGGGGAGCCACATGAATGTTTCTACTGGACAAAAACGTATTTATTGGCATTGATGTTTGACAAGGAGCATTATGGTGATGCAACACCCCGTTCTTCTTGATTCTGATAAACGGTGGTGTGAGCCAAATTTAACTCTTCCTCGATCAGTCTGACCGTCAACCGATGATCTGAACGCACAAGATCCCGGATTCTGTCGATATTTTTATCCGTTCCTGAAGACGAAGGCCTTCCGCTTCATGGTTCATCTTCAATCGACCCCACCCTTCTACAAATGCCGTAAACCACCGAACAACTGGGCTCTTGACAAAATACTTTCTCCGCAGGCTTACTGAAAGTTAGCTCTTGTTGCCGTTACACTGTGCCCAAGTCAGAAGCAAAACCTGATAGCACACAGTTGCTCGAAATTAGAACACAAAAGGAAAAACTGTTTCACAGAAAAAATCGCTAGGGATAACCAAATAAATTGAGCGCGGTCAAACTTGTACTGAAGGCGGATCACATGTTCCCCTGTCTCCTCTCCAAGTCCGGCGCCTACAGTGTTGCCAGATCGAACGCCCCGTTTACAGTTAATTTACGCGTTTTGATATTTATCTTATAAAAAAACTAAATATCGTTTTTCAAAATAATTGTTATAATACATACACTACACCATGTTACTATTTTTTGTTCGCACCTATGAAAGAATCATTGAGAGGGAAACGATTTGAGAGCAATGAAGATGTCGAAGAGCACGTGCGCAATTGACTTACAACACGCCCTCAAATTTTCTATGAACAGGGAATACTAAAGCTTCCAAAGCGGTGGCAAATGCCCTGCAGGAGACTATATTGAAAAATGTTAAAACAGTAATAAGGGCATAATATTGTTCAATAAACATACAAAAAAATACCGTTTATATTTACCCTCGTAAATATTTATTCTTATTATGTACGTGTACGTAAAGAAAAATGAATACCTCTTCCTGAGAAATCAATCATTTCATGATTACAGCACAAGGAAAAATTGTGAACCTGTGAAAGTTGTTGGGCAGAATAATCCTCTTTATAGGAGGTGGCCTGTTTCAAACAAATATATAAAGACTCAGGGAGACAGTGACCCTCTCATTGCATTTAGAAAAAAGTTGTACAATTATTCGAAGGCTGAAGTTTTTTACTCTCTAGATGAATTTTTATCACGATTGACATTTGTATTAATCTTCATAAACTCGACGATACTTTATCGTATATTTTAATGTGTTTTTTTAACCAACCGTTTTTTGTGTCTTCCCATTTCATAGAGTATATTTATATTTCAGTATTGTGAGTTAATTTCATCCTTTTTTGTGTAACATGCGTAGGCATAGGACGAGAATTGTACACCTTTTGTATATTTCCAAAGACGAATAAAGGGTTATGGTTATGTGTCTTTGCATGCGAAAAAAAATCAAAAATAGCATGGCGTCAAGTCAGGGCTATAAAGTGGATAATCCAACACTTGGATTCCAGATTATTAAAAAAAGTGTTGAGTTATCTGAGCGCAATGCGCCAGTGCATTTTATCAATGTGAAGATTCCATGAGGGATGCGGCGATCTAAGTCTTAATTTTTTAACTACGACAAATAGTTGTGCCAAACAATATTCTATGTACCACTTAGCTGTGTCTGACTTCTGTTTACCATTCACAATGTTTGCCACTAACCCAGATTTTCTGTGAAAAAGACAAGACTATTCTTGTTCCTAACAATCGCGACTTTTTTACTTGAATTGGCGAAAACCTAGACTGAGCTTTGTCCTTTGGCTGACACACCAAAGGAATATTGTCAGCTTTTATCACCTGGGATTGAAATCATTTCACCATGTTTCACACTAACTTATTTTTGGCATGATCTGTGCTACTTTCCAAAATGTTCAGGGTTCCTACTAACGGGTGATTTTTTAAGAGGTATAGGATTTGATTTTCAAAAAAAACACAAAAAATTTGAAAAAACGATTAAATCTTTATTTGTGTCGATAGAACGGTCGATATAATTTAATGTTTAAGTTTGACAATGACACAAGACACGATTCACGCGTCATCTGTCAAAAACAGTGTTGCCAAAAAGATACTAGCAAAAAAATCACCCATTATGTATGCAAGGTGTTCCGTACTTAAATGGACATAGCAAATGGTAGCGAGTATGGGCCGAAACCTTTTGATATCTCAAAATAAAAAAGGCGATGCAGGGCGATTGGGTATCCACTTTAAGGTGTAGATGCATTTACATCTTTTGTTTTGGGATGCCCTTTAAAGCATCATGTAGAGACGGTGCTCCGTCTCAAGGCAGCAACTCATTTAGACAAGTGATACTGCTAGAATTAGTGGTTAAGTTAAGCAGTTTAATTTATTACACCTGTTAATGTCACTGTGGTTGTAAAAATCTAAAAAAAACAATGCTGCACACCCTAAGTTATAGCAGAGCGAAGCATAACGCTCTTACTACATGGTACGGGTCAGTATTTACTATGATCCACACCTATACGTTATAATGGTCCATAGTGCATTTGCTCTTCGTTAAAGTATCCTGATTCAGTAGGTCTATTAGGTCTTGTTGTCCACATACCAGATAAAATTAAAGATAAATGATCCATAGTATCAGCATGTATTTTATCCGTCAATCAGTCCGTGCCAATTTTTTTTCATACATCAATACTATTACTATTAACCTAAAGAATATTAATTAGTACATATTACAAAAATACATAACTAGCTAGTCGAGTAACATGGATGTACTGAGTGCCCTTCGCGAGATTAGGCGTCTTTCGTATGCAATTCGATTGTTGATAACAAGTAAATAAAAATATAGACTACATACAAAACAAAGACTTAACACACCTTTTAAGAATTTAAAACAAAAAGAGCGGCTCTTCACTCGTAGTAGCTACAGTTACGCTCAAACTGCTGAAGTTCGCCTTTTACCCCTCCAGCTTCATATAAAGTCATTTAAACAGCATTTCTAATCAATTTGTTAGAGAATTTTTCGAACGTGCATTGCACTGCCTCTTTCTATAATTTTTTTAATTTCTTTTCGAATGCTGACTTTCTGGGACATCTTGAACGCAACCGTGTATACACATGGACTATGTCTCGTAAGATATGGGCGAAATTGCCTTCCTGGATCATGCCTGATACTATATTTTAATTTTTTTTCCAGGTGAAACAAAGCAGTTGCTCCTAGATACTGGACAAAATATTCTTATCGGATACGCAAATAATATGTTTGGGGTTTCTTACAAGATGAAGTTATTAAGGTAATAAGGCTGATCTGTAGGTACTGTTACCTAGAGAATTAGTCCGTTTCTTATTACACACATCATCAAAAGTGTTGGACTCCCTGGCGTACTGGGAAACTATAGCCTTCTAATTTCAATCTTTGATAAATTTTAAATTGGGGATATTTTTACTATATTTATTTAACAAAACGTTAAATTAATTTCATTAATATGAAAAGAAAAAGAAAGTTGAACAAGTAAGGTACCAAAAATTTTATTTTTAAAAATCAAACTTAAAGAAAAATAATTATTCTAAAGAAAAATAAAACATAATTAATAACCAGTTTGGTGTCCTCTAGATCTTAGCGGTGCGTTAACACGCCTTAGCATTCCTATTATTCGGTGGTTAATGTTTTCTTGGGGTAAATTATTCCACTCTTCATTTACTGCTGCAGCCAGCTCATTTAGGGTTGTAGCTGGATCTATTCTGTTCCGTAGGGCTCGAGCGATAGTGTCCCAAATTTTTTCAATGGGGTTCATGTCTGGGCTGTTCGCAGGCCACGGCAATCTCACTATTTGGCCCCTTTCTAGAGCCCGCTGTACCCTTATCGCTCTATGTGGCCTTGCATTATCATCCATAAAAATGAAGTTGTTACCGAATTCATTTCGCAAAAGTTGAATAATAGGTTGTATGACATTTTCTTCATAAATTTCTGCAGTCATTGTCCCCTGGATCTGAATTAACGGACTCCGGTGGTTAAACATTATGCCACCCCAAAACATTATTGATCCGCCCTGATATGGGACAACTTCTCGGGCCAAATTTAGTCGCTGTTGATGTCCTGGTTCTCTCCAAATCCTTATTCTACGGTCATCACTCACCAGTCCAAACCTAACCTCATCTGTAAATACCACATTTCACCACTGTGGTACAAGCCACTCCTGATGTTCTGTAGCCCACTGGAGACGAGCAGCAATTTATCTACGAGTAAGACGTGGAATCCTTAAAGGTCTTCTAGGGCGCAAATTTGCCTTTCGCAATCTTCTTTTGATGCTAGAAGTGGAAATAACTCCTCGAAAGGTATGTTGAATATGCGATCTGATAGCTGTACTTGTTGAAAATCTATTCCTTCGGGCAAATAGAGCAATGTAACGATTCTCCCTACCACCGGTTACTCGAGGACGCCCACTGCGTGGCCGATTTTCAACTGAGCCAGTTTCTTGGAATCTTTGAATTGTTCGAATAACCGAACTTCTTGGGATACCCAAAACCAGTGCTATTCGGTGATTTGAGAATCCAGCTTGGAAGAGGGCCACTATTCGTGTTCTATCAAAACCAGAAATTTCAGCTCGCGGCATTTTAAAAGTTACAGTATAAAATTGTATTTTAATACTTTTTGCTCAAACACTAGCGTTAAACTGACGCATTTCTATAAAAATCCAAACACATTTTTATCACAACGATTTTTTGCGTTTTTTGCTTGCTAAATATATAAAGATTTTTTGTTCGCAAACAGAATGTAGATAACGTACCTCTAGAGGGGTCCAACACTTTTGATGATGTGTGTAGTTTCTAGTTCCAAAAATATTTGTTGACATATCTGTATAAAACGTATTATAAGTTGATCAGCATTCCTCGGTCCACAGAATACCTCACTTGGAAAAATTTTAACACCAGCTACGCCATATAGTCAAGGAAGTATCCTCAAGACCGCTCTAAAAAATATTCTAATTCGCTTTTTGCATAATCAAAATTGCAATACAAACAAATTCCAGAGATTAGCCTTTCTGCTCCGGATAAAGCTTTTTTTAGTTTTTTTGGGTATTATAAACCAAAGAACTTCTCTGTTGTTTATTTTTCTAATATGTATGAGCGATTTAATATTTGAGAAAGTGAAAAATATGCCATTTTCGACGCGGAGAAGTAATAAAAATAAATGTTAATGTTCCAAAAGTTCTTAATTATTCTACAAACATCCATTAACAAAATCCCAACGCATCTTAAGGAGTACTTATTGTTATTGTAAACCTTCATTTTCCAGTTCTTAATCAAACGGGCGGTATGTTGAATGACGCTCACACAGAGTATACATTGAGGACGGCTTGATTAATAATTAAATAAAGGTTTATAATAAAATGCTCCCGATGCTTTTATTAATGGACTTTTCAGTAATGTTTTGGCAACATTAAAGTTTTTTCATATTGTTTCTCGGGGTCGAAAGTCTCATATTTTACACTTTTTCAAATACTCAATCGAATCGCATATCGCATATGCATATATCTCGAGAACTATCAATTTCACAGAAGGGTTCATAAAAACTTTTCTCGTTTAAATACGAAGCGAAAAAACAGTTTTTGAATTTGTTTTAGAAAAGTTTTTCCTGATGAATTGTTTGCTGGCAACACACAGATTCATTATAGTGCTTTTTGAATAAAATTATTCATCCATTATGAAAGAATATTTTTCCGAGAGGAAGCGAACATACTTCCTGGATAAGTAGGCTAGCCGGTTGATTACACACGAGAGCAGCACGTCGTTCATCGTCATATCTTTTAATATGTTCATTCAATATTGTTCCAAAAAAGTCTAGTTTTGGATGTTCGTGGTAGGAGTATGAAAGGCAAACCCTAGTTAAGAATCTGTCGACGGTAAAAATATTTTATATGAGTTGAATGATGAACATCGAAACTAGCACATGCTTATTTCAACCAGTCTGCTGTGTCAGAATAATTACACTTTGACCCTCCAGTCCACCCATACCTTTATCTTGCAATATGCCTTTCATCGTTGAGGCTTTTATTTTTTGTCACCATCAAGCCTTTGCCAAGTGAAATACGCTGCAATGCAAAATTAACCGGGAAAACAAAATTTTGTTCAAATTAAATCTTAACCTTTGCATCAATTTCGTTAATTTCTTCGACCAGTTGTAAAAGGTGCATTTTGCCCCAAACATCTCAACTGCCTATGGAAACATTGGATTAATGAATAATGTGTCTTCGTATGAGAATTTCAAGCCTCAACTTTTCTCAACAGTTATTTTCTTGATTCATGTCAATATCTCAATTATTGAAGATTATGTTCTGTTTTGAAGAAAATCATAAACCATAAACAAGAAATTGTTTCAAGCAGGCTTTGCCGGGTAAGAAATTGTTTCAAGTAGGCTGTATCTGTTAGCATTTTTATGGCATGTCAAAAAGATTCTTGTCAAGCAGTACTCAACAAAAATGACACCGGAACAAGTAGCGCAAGCTGTAGCTTTACAAGATGATGGTCGTCCTATTCAGTATATCACAGAAAGGCTTGCCGTTCCAGGCAGTACGGTATTCGATGCGATACAAAGATTTATAAAAACTAGTTCTTACTCAAGAAGACCTGGGCAGGGAAGACGGAAAGAAACAAACGCAGTTGAGGATCGGTTTCCAAGACTCCAAGCTCTTCGAGGAAGGACAGTTTCTGCTACAGCCTTGACTCGAAGGTTGGATGATGTTTATGGTAGAATAGTTTCACGTGATACCGTACGCCGAAGGTTGAGAGAAGGAAACCTATCATCTTGTGTACCTGCTACAGGTCCTCTATTGGATGTAGGTCATCGAACTCGACTGGAAAAACGTTCTTTTTACAGACGAGTCTCGTTTCACGAGATATTCACCTGATGGTCGCCAAAGAGTGTGAAGAAGGCGTGAAGAACGCTATGTTCAAAGTTGTTTCGCTCCTAGAGTGCAATTTGGTAGTAGAGGAGTCGATTCCCGCACCGATCTTGTTTCGTTACGAGGAGGACATCTTACTGCAGACAGGTACATAAGATAGTGTTTGGAAGAACATGTAGTTCCCCATATGACCTTTATAGGAGAAAATTTTCTCCTAATGCAAGATAATGCTCGGCCTCAACGATGTTGGAATTCAAGTACTAGACTGGCCGCCAAGGAGTCCGGATCTCAACCCTATTGAGCACATGTGGGATACATTAGGAAGAAGGCTTAGGCAGAACTATGGAGAATTTCAAACTGTGGCTGCGTTAGAACAAGCGCTGGTAAACGAGTGAGAGCAAATACTCCAATAGCTGGTTTAAATGAGTCTATGCCAGAGAGGATGAGAGCTGTTATTCAAGCCCGGGGAGGAAATACTCGTTTTTGATAACAATTTACTAATGACCAATGATGTCACTGTAATTTTTTAAGTTAAATTGCTTATGGTTATGATTTGCATAGTTTTCTTATCAATGTTGTCACTGTAATTTTTTGTGTATGGCTATGAGCCGCATGATTTTCTTCAAAACAGCATATATTCTTCAATAATTGAGTTATTGACATGAATCAAAAAAAGAACTGTTGAGAAAAGTTGAGGCTTAAAATTGTCTTACGAAGACACATTATTTATTAATCCAATGTTTCCACTGGGTGTTCAGAAATTTAAGGCAAAATGCACTTTTTAGTTAGACCCTGTATAACAACATTTTCAATTTTTGTTTGCAAGATCGGCAGTCGATAATGATGACAATGAAGTTACCTTCAACTTGACGAAAAAATTAACAAAATTGATGCAAAGCTTAAAAAGCTATTTCACATTTAATTTGAGCCAAATTTTGTTTGTCCGGTTAATATGTTACATTGTACATTCTGTAGCCAGCTCTTCCTCTAAAATCTCGATTTTCAGTTTAAATCAGTCTAAGCCGTTACTGCTGAAAGGAAGGCCTTTCAAACTACCCAACATCTCGAAAATACGATTCAACATATCCAAGGTTATCGATTCGCAGCATCTGATGGAGCCTCGATCTAAAAGGGGTGTTATCAACCTATACAACATGATCAGCTGTGCAACAGGCTGCCGACCTTTGATCTACAAGGGGTATGGATGTTACTGTGGTTTTCTGGGTTCTGGGTACCCAGTTGATGGAATTGATAGGTAAGTTTCTCTGTATTTTGACTTCTTACGCCACTGGTGAGGAAGCATTGTAATCGCGAGACATTTTGAAAACAAATATTATTTTTTTGGATGGTGCATGACATATAGCATTCCTACCAAAATCTTATATACTGCCTTCCAAACAATGCGGTTTCCGGTCGCATCATTAGTTCTGCTAGACTTTTCTGAGGGCATTCGATAATATACCTCTTAATTACAAAGTGTAATTTTTTTAGTTTTTCTAATTCTTCTATTAATTTGATTCATAGCTCTTTACCAAATCGATCTTAGAAGGTAAACAATGATAGGATTTGGTCTCCAAAATCTCTCGTTTCTTCCAAAGTACCGCAAGGGTCTGTATTTGGGCCACTATTATTCATTTTATTACAAGTAAAGTTAGTAGTGGATCAGTGGAGGTTAGGTGATAAAGGGCCTCAAAACATATCGAATGAATCGCTATATGTGTGGCCCGAAAATATATAGTTCAGGAGATATTTGCAATTTTGTGAAATTTCGAAAAAATGGGATAATGAACTTTCAATCGCAATTACAACTAAACCATTAGGTTTAGGGCTGTGATTTTTTTTTGAGATGAGCTAAATGCTTAGTTTTAGCAATGGTTATGTCACTTTTTAACAGAGCTAATTAGAAATCAATACAGAAATCTTAAATTAATTTTTTTGTGAAAAATCTCTTCCATTCCTCAAATTTGGAGGGCGGTAAACAAAATTTTGGTTGTATTTCATTAGTCATTTTATTGTAAAAACTATTTCAATTTATGTAGAATAAACCCTGAAAATTTCAGCTTGCTACGATAAGTGCCTCACCTTGAAAAATCTGTATGTTTGACTCAGGTGGGTATCTATACATGTAAACAAGAAATTCCATTTTTCCATCAAGTCCAAACGACTTGATATATTTTGACATATAAGGTACTGTTAGATACGTCCTAGCAGTGCGAGTGATACTGTGTGTATTAACATTTTGTAAAATCAAAATGGCGGATTTTTTACGCAAATACTCAATTCCGGCTCGCATAAATCGCGAGCTTCTGAACTACCTCGAACGTCACAGCTTGATTAGCGACAGGCAGTATGGTTCCCGGCATCAACGATCCACATGGGACCTCCTAGCTTACTTCACGCAATTGTGGAGTTTACGCATCCAGTCTTATGGTGAGGCTCACGGCTCACGGGGACGCAACAATCTTGTATAGCTTCCAAAACACACTTTGACGAACAAAAAGCGTCCTAGCGCTCATCCGGTTTCGATCGATGGCCGAGTTCTGCCAAAAAGCCGTTCATTTCGGCTGGTCGGAGTCCAGACCACCGAGGACCTGATCTGGCACGAACACATCTCGTCAATCGCGGCAGATGCTGGGAAAAAGCTAGGATATTTGTTCAGGGCTAAATAGTACTTTTCTCCACATGACCTTCTCACTCTATACAAGGCCCAGATAAGGCCTAGCCTCGAGTATTGCTCACACGTTTGGGGTGCTGTCGCCCCGACTACATTATTTATGCTCGATGCTGTCCAGAGGAGGGCTGTCCGACTGATAGATGACTCTTCTCTAACAGCTCTTTTCTACCGCTACACCAACCGGCTTTGCTCGTCAGAGCTCTGTTCAATGATGCCGCCGCGCGATGTGCCTGCCAGACAGACCCGCCTGACTTTGGCGTCCCAACCTAACCGTGTCGAACTTCGTACATCCATAACTGGCCGTTACGATCGCTACTGTGCCCCGAAAGTAAACAATCTACAAGATGAATCTTTTCCCAGTTCTATTAACCTTAGGCAGTTCAAAAATCGTATTAACAAAATTCGTTGGGATCATCATAGCAGCCGCGGTGTTCCGGCATTTAGGCTTCTGCCTGCGCGGCTGCTTCGGTATTATAAAAAAATCAGCTCAATGAGCTTGGGCATTCAACTCAGCATTCCAGGTGCGGGAACGTTCAATCTTCGGACCGGAATTTGTATCTAACGTTTGGCATCTGAGCAGAATCATGTCATATTATCCGCGAGATTATGCAGAAATGCATTACTATTATGATGCTGAACTAGGAAATGCTCGAGCAGCTGCTCGCGTGTATCGGGAGTATGTGGTTAGAAGAGGTGGACCACAACCGTCGGTATATCCCGATTACCGCGTTTTTCTACGCGTCCATAATGGGTATATGGAGGGCCGCAAACTAGGCACTCATCGTCAGCTAGGAGCGCCGAGGATACGTCCAGAAGAAATAGAAGATAATAGAAGCAGCCGAGAGAGATCCCTCTATAAACTCCAGAGCCATTGCCCGAAACAGAAACATATCCCATACTTCAGTTCACACAATACTACGCTCGGAGAACATGCATCTTTACCATGTACACAAAGTAAAAGAATTGCTTCCACTATGCATAACGGGTTGATTGATTTGATGACAATATGTTGAGAAGGTGCGAAGAGGATGAAACTTTTTTCGACGGCATCTTATGGACAGATGAATCCAACTTTAACCGGAATGGAATTTCTATTCGCCATCGCTTTCAACTTCAGTTCGACGTTAATTTATGGGCTGGAGTACTCAACAAAAAATTAATTGGACCATATGAATTGCCCGTCAGGTTGAATGGTCAAACACATTAAAAATTAACGAAAAACAATTTTGGGGACAAAAATCGGCAAAGTCCCTTCTAACCTCCTACTGCCGGCTTGTGTATTGATATGTAGTGTTAACACCTAACGACAGTTTCCGTCGTTATCAATAAGCCCAATGTGTCCGTCCATTTTGTTTTATATTTGTAACAAGTGCTCTCAACCACGCGTTCGTTTTGAAACACCATTTGGCTGCAACCTTAACGACGACTCCTGAAGATGGCTCCATAGTGAATGCCGAACGCTCGAGATTACCGTTAAAAGAGTTTACTAAAGCCTACAATTTCGCCAATTTCTCAATTAACAATTAATTGTATTTTTTACCCAACTGGTTGTTGGCAATGGCAATGACTACTGCTTATATATATACATCAACCAGGACCAAAAGAAGTCCTTAATTACTTATAATTCTGTCTCTCCCAAATTTTATGCTCTTCCCAAAATACACAAACCGGTACTGTCAGTAAGACCGATTGTGGCTTCTGTTGAATCAGCCACGCTAGCTTTATCTTCATTAATTGCAGATACTCTAAAGTCAGAACTAACACCAACCTTGATCTGGCTGTATAATTCCTTTAATTGTCGTTTTGCTTGTAAATCGGTGCTCACAGTCAACAGTTTGTTGCCCAAAATGACGGATAAGGTTCAGTTGCTTGATTCAACTAACACTGTCTATCGCATTAATTGCAACAACTGTAATTTAGTTTATATAGGCCAAACTTCTAGGTCGCTGAAAGGCAGGATAACTTCACACAAAAGTGACGCCAGATTACATCCAGAGAGATGTGGTGTGGCATCTCATATTAACAAGACAGGTCACTCTATGAATTATGGCAGTATTGAGGTTCTTGATAAAGGAAGAAGACTCTCAAAACGTTTATTTTTAGAAATGTCCCACATTTTCATGACAGATCATTGCATGATGGTTTACCGAGCGTCCCTCGTATACTTCATATTCAAATTTGGACAAGGAGGTTTACAGTTCCACGGTCCGTCGCGTCAATCACTTGTCATCTGTCGATGCTTTATCTTTCCGTGCCGTCCCCCTCTCCACGTGTAGCTTAAGTAGGAGGTTAGAGACTGCATTCCGATTGTTTCACTAAAATGTCTTCTCACGTGTAATAATTTTTAATTTGTTCGGGTGGATTGATATTTTTAACATGTAACGAAGGTATCTGTCGTTTTCAACAAGCCCAATGTCCCCGTCCTTTTGTTTTTATACTGATTACAGGTTCTATCTTCTCTACGTTCGTTTTGAAACACCTTGTGGCTGCAACCTCAACCACAAGTAAGTTGTTTGACAATTAATATCTGTCCTGTTTTCTTTCCTAGCATCACAATTATGTTTTCAGAATCCTGATGAAGGCTCCATAGAGAATGCCGAAAGCTTGATTTTATCGTCAAAAGAGTCAACTTTGCTAATTTCCCAATTAACAATTAATTGTATTTTGTGCCCAACTGGTCCTTGGCTTTGGCAATGACTACTGCTCATATATATATATATATATATATATAAAAAAAATGTATATTTGTGTAAAATGTAAGTGTTAATACCCACGCACAAGAATTTATTCTTTTGTGGGTAAATTCAGTTTATTTACGTAAGCCGATGTTAGTTTTAGTTATATTTGTATGTTACGTGAATAAACTTATTATTATTATTATTATTATTATTATCATTATTATTTCATACATGTTATTTAAAAGTTAGTTAAATTAAATTATCTTCCACATTTGTCGGTAAATCGCAATAAAGAGCGACTTAACACAATAGGTTCTGTACTAGTAGCTAGTAACGATTCTATTGCGATTTAAGATTTTTTGCGTTGATTTCTAATTAGCTCTGTTAAAAAGTGACATAAGAATTGCTAAAACTAACCATTTAGCTAAAAAAAATCGTAGCCCTAAGCCTAATGCTTTAGTTGTAATTGCGATAGAAAGTTCATTATCATCTTTTTTTCAGAAATCTCACAAAATTGCAAATATCTCCTGAACTATAAAATTTCAGACCACACATATAGGGGTTCATTCGATAGGATTTGAGGCCATCTGTCACCTGACTCCCGTTGATTCACTTCTAACTTTACACTCTGTATATCGGATCTACATCTGCAGTTAAATACTGCAGTGTTGAATTTTTTGCCGATGATTCACATAATAATCATTCCCAAAGTTCTAATATCCAAACTGATGTATCTGAGGTCAATGATGATTTAAACTCCTATCAGTACATATGCAAAGTATTATGATCTTCAGTTGAATCCTTCAAAAAGGAAAGTCATTATTTTTTCACCAAAAACGTTTAGAAGTGATGCGAAAAGAAACTTTAGCATACACTACCGCTCAAAAGTTTTGGGACAGCAGAGTTTTTGAGGGAAATCAACCAAATCAAACAATAGAGTGTGTTTAATCAAAAAAAAATAAGAAAGGAACTATTTTCCACTGGAACTCAGTTAGTTGGTAACTTATTTCTATCAAAATTTACTTTAAATTCGTGATTCATCGAAATGACCACCACGAGCCCGAATAACTGTATGACGGACACGACTCATCCGACGTATCAAATTTTCAAGAATAGTTGGTGATGAGGATACCCACGCTTCCTGCACTAGTAGGCTCTTGTTGCTTCACCTGTCTGTCCAATTCATCCCACTAATGCTCAATAGGAGACAAATCTGGTGACTGGGAAGGCCATGTCGTGATTTTCATTGCACCAAGTTCTTGCTGCTGGTCCAAATAATTGCGGCATAGTCGAGATGAATGCTCAGGGTCGTTGTCTTGCTGAAATTCGAAATTGTTTCCAACAATCCTTTGTCCTGAGGGAACAGCGTGGTTTTCCAATATTTCCAAATTCTGCTCTTTTCGCATTATACCCTCAATACGAACCAAATCTCCTGTTCGATTTCTAGCAAAACAGCCCCAAACCATTACACTCCCACCTCCATGTTTAACAGTGGGCTGCAAACATTGCGGATCTCTGCGTTTATGGGGTTGGCGGCGTACAAACTGTCGTCGTCGAGATCCGAACATTTCGAATTTGGATTCACCCGACCAAAGGACTCGATTCCAATCCTTGTGTTTTAGAGTCAATGCTAACCGGTTGAGTTTATGTATAGGTCGCAGGTGTGGTTTGTATGCTGCTACACATCCTCTAGGGTTAGCCCTTTGTAAGCGGAGTTCTACCGTAGACATGGACACAGGGTTTTCCCTCGTTCTGTTCAAGCTGTGTGTGAGTTCAGGCGAAGTTAAATGTCTACTTCGCATATTTGTTATTACTATAAACCTATCCTCAGGAACAGTTGAAACTCTGCGTCTTCCAGAGCGTGGACGATCTACGACACTGCCTGTTTCTCTCTTTTTCTTCAAAATTTGAGACACAGTGTTACGTCCCAAATGCAGCTTTTCAGCAATCGCTCGAATTGGCATTCCCTCATCACGTAAGGTACATACTGCACCCCGTTTTTCAAGAGAAAAGTTATCCGTCTTTACCATTTTCCATCATTTTGAAAAAACCCTAGCACATCGACTAGTAGTTTATACTAAACTACGTACAATTTTTACTTTGTAAAAAAAAGTAAGCAGCGGAAGGAAATCGACCGATTTTTGACTGCAATGAACTAATAAAAATATCGGCGTATCTAAAGATGTTTACATGTATTCCCCTTTAAGTGGTTTTTCACTGATTCTCATACATCTTTAGCTTGAGTAGTCATATTATAGATGGTAATAATCAATCAATGTCGTATAAGCCTTATTTAAGTTCTCTTAAAAAAGTTTCTGTCCAAAAATTTTTGAGCGGTAGTGTACGTTTAAGCGATGTCTTTATTGAGGTAAGTGAATCGGTCAAAAACCTAGGTAACATATTTGATGAATGTCTCAAATTCATACCACATGTGAAGAATATTAGCAAGAATTGTTTTTCCAGTCTACGCCAACTTCACCTAGATAAACAATTTCTTGACTATCAAACCAAAAAATTTTGTGCAAATCTCTGATCATGTCTAAAATTACTTATTGTGATATAATTTATATTCCAACTTTGAAATCCACTTCTCTCATGCGTCTCAAAAAAATTCAAAATTCTGCCGGTAGTTTCGAAAAATAAAATAGAACATTTATAATCATTATTTGGGTGTTAGGAGTAGGTATATCAAGTAGGTTTTTGTACGTATAGATGATAATTTGACGAGTTTCATACCTACCATATCTTTGACCCATGAGTGACCCATCTCCTCGCACCTCTAACTTCTTACGTGTATGATGTTTTTCTGTATACAAGGTGTTCCTTAATGATATGCGAATATTTAAGGGTATGAATCTACATAAAAAATTAATGTTAGTTTGTTCAATAAACTATGGTAAAAAAATGTTTCCTTACAAAAACTCGGGGTGTTGAAGTTTTAGGAAAAAAATCGAAATTAATTAATATTTTCAGAACCGTTTCATTCACTGATATTTAGTACGTAGTGAAAGTTAGTAAAGTTGCATATTTTTCAATGCAAAAATAATTTTTAGCTTTAACAGTGCCGTGCGTACGGGTATTGACTTCGATATTTTTCAAGAAAAAAATAGTACGCTAATGGTTTTTTGCCAAATAAAAACTATTTTTGAATTCCCCGTTCAATTTAAAACAGATGATCTCTCTTGAATTGTTTTCTTTCGATGCGCCATTTTTGAGTAAAAAAATAAAAATCGTTCTATTGTCTAACTTGCAAAATTTTTATTAATTTAATTGTAAAAATTAAACACATTAGGGGTAATGAACAACAACAACTGACAACATAAACATAACATTAAAACCAACAAAATCATTACAAAAATTGTTGAAAATGGCCCCCTTCACTTAGTATACAAGCTTCCGCCCTCCTTCTCATGGAATTGCGCACTCGTTGAAATATCTCTGGAGTATTTTTTATTCTATCACAAGCTGCCACTATTATTTCTCTTAATTCCTCTACAGTGTTAATGGGACTTGTGTACACTAGTGTCTTAAGATAGCCCCACAAAAAGAAATCTAAACTGTTGAGGTCTGGGGACCTTGGTGGCCATTCTTGGGGCCCACCGCGGCCAATCCAACGATTTGGATAAACAGTTTGTAAATAATTACGAACCGCATACACTGAAATGCGCTGGTGCACCATCATGCATGTACCACATATTGTTTCTTATTACTAACGGATCATCATCAAGCAGCAAAGGCAACTGTTGTAGAATGAAAATTGAGGTAAGTATGTCCGTCAAATCGTCCCGACAAGAAGAATGGGCCAATAAAGTGGTTGCCAGTATTTCCTGCCCATACGGTAACCACATATTCCAGAGCAACTAGATATTTATTGCTACATTGCATTCTTCAATTAATTAATACATTAGTTTTCTCGGACAATAGAACGGTTTTTATTTTTTTACTCAAAAATGGCGCATCGAAGGAAAACAACTCAAGAGAGATCATTTGTTTTAAATTGAACGGGGAATTCAAAAATCATTTTTATTTGGCCAAAAACTATTGACGTACCATTTTTTTCTTGAAAAATATCGAAGTCAATACCCGTACGCACGCCAATGTTAAAGCTAAAAATTATTTTTGCATTGAAAAATATGCAACTTTATTAACTTTCGCTAGGTACTAAATATCAGTGGAATCTCTGAAGCGGTTCTGAAAATGTTAATTAATTTCCACATTTTCCTAAAACTTCAACACCCCGGGTTTTTGTAAGGAGCCATTTTTGGACCATAGTTTATAAAGCAAACTAACGTTATTTTTTCATGTAGTTTCACACCCTTAAATATTCGCATATCATTAAGGAACACCCTGTATAAGTACAGAGTCAAGCTACTTTACGCCATTTTTTATTAGTCATATTCAGAAATGCCTTAATCATCGAAAAAAATATAGAACAAATTTTCAGATGCTGCCAATTGCACGATTCCTGTTACGGGTGGGCTCAGTGCACCATTCCATTCATGGACTACGTGTTACCGTATTTTTGGCAATGCATTTACGATCAACCATATTGTGGTAAGTGATAGATCATCAGGAATTATTTAATACATAAAAACGGTCCTCCTCTATATTACAAATTATTCGCAATCCCAACTTTCTATTGCTTACAGGGCGTCTGCAAAGTTGGAACTTTACAGAGCGTATAGATCTTGAAAAAAATAAGCGATTTTTCCTAGTAGCATATACACCCAAGTCCTGAAATAACCGAGATATTAGGCTCTCCAAAGTCAATCAAACTTAATCCGCTCCTGTATCACGATCCGATCAACAGTGAGAGGGCGATGCACGCCGGTAGGTACTTAAACCAGTCACCGACAGCGTAGGTAAACAAAACATTTATTTATTTAGCAATCAGTTCGAAAAAACAAAAATGAGACTCTCTTACAACAATATCGAACTTGTCGACATGATTTTGATTTATGATGAGTATATTCAAAATGCTAACGAGGCTTCGCGAGTGATGCAGATCGCTTTTTCAGAATCAGATGGATGATTTACAATATCCAGTTCTAAGTTTTAAGCTGCATTTTACCAAAGGCGGCAACATTGAGCAGTACTTATAAGAGCTGTAGTTAAAATTTCCCTTTAAATGAACGGTGAATACTTTTTAATTTTTTTTTTCAAGCGTTTCTGAGATGGAAAGTCCCAACTTTCAGGACACCCTGTATAAAGACGTAGCTAGCGACACTAAATTGCTTTAGTGAGAATTCGGCATCCATAACTCATGAAAAATTGCAACTCATTTGAACAGCAGCTGTTGTCAAATACAAAATTTGTACTGCCATTGATTTATGGATTAACATATTCCCACCGGGCATATGTTAATCAATGGTATTAGCAATTATATATAAGTCAATTATTATCGACAAAGCACGATGACTAGCAATTAGTATTTCGACGGAAAATCAGTGTCTTGCATCCAACAAGTATAATCTGGGTCTTTTGCACATATTTTAATGATGAAAAAACGCAAAACATGGCTTCCAAATTTCACTTTTCCTATGGATGTTAAAGAAATAATCGATTTCAAATAGACTGATTATATACACTACACATTTTAATCAATTTCTGTAAACAGCTTGATGGATGGAAAAACACGAAGTCAGTTCAGGGTGTTTGAAAGAATTCAGTTTTTAAAAAGTAGATATTGCAAATAAAACTCGGACTAAGAAAACGTTTTGACACAAAATCCTTTTCACAATCTCTCAAACTGGCGGAATGTTCAGGTGATAAAAAATGAACGTTTGTCCTTAGACTATGACCCTATTTCTGCCATGGAGGTTAGACTTCCGTTTGAGGTGAAGGAAATACAGGGTGGCGCATCGAAAACGAAACAGACGCATTTACTGGCAGCTCATTTTTTTTTTTTTGAAAAACGCTCAGACCCGTCGATATTGTTTTCGAGGGGGACACAAGTCTGGCAAAAAATCACGTTAGCATGTGCAGCCCCCTAAGAGACACCACCCCCAAAATCTTAAATGGAAAGGGAGGTCGAGTGATACCTTATTTTAAAGGTCTTTCAATTCCCTTAATAATGATATAAAATTAATGTACTTCAGTTCAGTAGTTTTGAAGATTTATTGATTTAAAGCTTAAATAAAACTAATACATCATCATTAGTGGAGATCAATACATTTGGCAGCAAAGTAATTTAAAAATGAAGAATGAACTGACCCGTTAGGCAAGTAAATGGCCACCATGACACTCCATGCAATAACAAAGATTTTGCTCAAAACGTTGCCGCACATTTTGCAATATTTGAGGAGTAATTTGAAGGCACTCTTTCACAATTCTTTGTCGCAGGTCTTCTAATGATGTTGGCTGAGTAGCATAGATTTTGTTTTTTAAATGACCCCACATAAAGAAACCCAAAGGTGATAAATCTGGCGATCTTGGGGGCCATTCAATGGCACCTCTTCTACCAATCCATCGATCTGGAAACGTCTGATCTAAATATTGTCGAACACGTAATGCGTAATGTGGTGGGGCACCATCCTGTTGGAACCGCCGATCATTCTGATTTTCAATTATGGCTGTTAATGCAGGATCTATGGCGTCTTCCAGTAATTCCAAATACATTTTACCGGTCAAATTTCCAGGTTAGAAAAAAGGACCAACTAAATGATCGCCAAAAATACCAGCCCAAACATTTAATTTTTGTGGCTGCTGTGTATGAACATCATGATAAATTCTGGGATTAGAATCGGACCAATATCGGCAGTTTTGACGATTCACTACGCCATTTAAGAAAAAGGAACATTCGTCCGAAAAGCAAGTGTTGAATAGAAAATGTTCATCGTTTATAATCGTTCACTCATATCTTCACAAAATTGTAATCGCCGATCAAAATCGTCTTCATTAAGTTCTTGTACCAGGTGAATTTTATACGGATGAAAACTATGGGCCTTTAGAATCCGTTGGACAGTACGTCGACTAACACCACACACAGTCTCCTATTTGCGGGTACTTAACGTATGATCTACATAAACTTGCCCTAAAACCCCCACTTCTATTGCTTCGTTCCTTATGGGATTTTCAATGTTGCGTTTTTTATTGGCGACTGACCCAGTTTCCCGAAATTTACCTACAAGTTATATTTCCTTATCTTTCTTCAAGAAATAACTTTTTTGTCACAAAAAAACGCTCCAATAGCTATTTTCAACAACAAAATGATAAGCTAACCATGGGCGTAGTGAAGAAAAGTATTTACTTACTAAGTAAATTCTGTTAGTCAAATTTCTTCTGTAAGTAGTACAAAGTAATCTGATGTACCTGTTAAAGTCTACTTTAAGCTTTAAATCAATAAATCTTCAAAACTACTGAACTGAAGCTCATGTACTTTACATCATTATAAAGGGAATTGAAAGACCTTTAAAATAAGGTATCACTCGACCTCCCTTTCCATTTAAGATTTTAGGGTTGGTGTCACCCCCGCCCAGGGGGCTGCACGTGTTAACGTGATTTTTTGCCAAACTTGTGTCCCCATCAAAAACAAAATCGACGGGTCTGAGCGTTTTTCCAAAAAAAAACTGAGCTGCCATTAAATGCGTCTGTTTCGTTTTCGATGCGCCACCCTGTATATAAATATATAATAATATTTCTTCTCCGACGACAGTCTGATGTGAAATGTATGGTTATCGGAAACGTGAATAAAAATCATATTCTATTATTCTGAGTTCTCTTCCAGTGTATGAATTTCAAGTGCGCTTTTCCCAACCTATGACCCAAAAAACAACTAAGATAAATTAGACCATCCTAGAATATGAATGTAAGGTGGAGTAACCTGCATTTCCGAGCACGAAATCCCATACTGAACATCTTCCGGAGCTTTGTGATCCATTACAATGAATAAGGAAATCAAAGCACTGAGTTTTTCTGTAAATAAAATTGACCTGTTATCTTTAATTGGAATTCAACTGATGTAGTTGCATTTGTTTGAATCATACGTTTACCAACGCGTAAAGGGCCAGGCACCAGTGTTCCTAAATGGTGTTAATCAAACGTTCCCAGCGCATCAACTTGACTATATTACACCCACTAGAGTATGATGGCACATCTCTAAGTTGGGCTTGATATCTTTGTTTCAATCCTCAATGCGAAAACGAAACCTACATTAACCCTGGAATACTAACCTTCGTAAAAATTACGACGCCGCTCTTAAACTAACACACATCCAATGAGTATCGAACTCTTTTCTCCGCAGTACCGCCACAGTGCTATGATCACACTGGCCAGAAGACTAGACGAGAGCACAGCGCAAATAGTTGTACTGCGACGATAACATCACGCGCAAAAAAACAGTAGCGTCGTAAAATTTACGATGATTAGTATTTCTGTATCAAGAAAAATTGACTGGTATGACCGAGCTGGATGAAATATACGTTTTTGATGAAACTCCCCTGATTTATCCAGCTAAAACAATCAAAAGCTACTTTACCTATCTTCGGGGTATACAAGAAGATTTATAGACTGGTAGGGATAATTCATTCAAGGTTGCTAACGGGTGTTCAGCAGCCCTTTTCATGATAGTTGTTCCAACTTCAAATCATATATGCAACTCTCATTATGCAATAACTGGTTAGACCTTGAGATCCTTTGATGTAAGTAACCTTAATCAGAAGCCATGCGCTTAGTTAAATAAGTGATTGATACTCTTTGGTTTTGCTTTCCTTAAGAACGTAGTTCACACAGCCAGGTGGTACTATTCGATATTTTAATTCCCCTCATGGGGGAACGTTAGGCGTTGAAAATCAATAGTCCCAGCATAAATACCATAATCTAGAGCTAAAAACATCAAAAACATATTTTGTTTTAGTGGTCTTAATCTACAGCCCACCCTTTCTATATGGGTTGATTTCTAAACCTCAACTTTTGGACTAGGTCTAGTGAAATCACATGTTTTGGTGTGTGGCCCTTAAGTAGGATGTCAGCAGCTAAGATACTATGCGGCCTGATATCTACTGGATGGTCGGTAAACAAGTAGTACAAATATTTCTTTTAACGTCAACGGTTACTGTCAAAACTAATTTTAGGTTGCAATTTTTTATCATTATTATCCTAAAAATTTAGGGACCATGAAAAAAATCAAAATTTTTCGGTGATGTTTGGCAGGCTATATTTCAGTAACAAATGGACGTATCTAGACTCTAAAACAGCATTTTGAAGCATCAAGATTTTAATTTACGGTTCTTAAGCAATTTTAAAAATTTGTTGTTTCTTCAGTGTTGATTTAAAAAAGGCCAAAAAAATTTGGGACTGTCTCGACGGCAGATCGATCCATTATATGGTTTCTCCGGGAAGAAATCGAAGGAGCAAAATATTTGTATCAAAGCATCCTGAAATCTAGTTGAAATTGGAATAATCATTTTTCTTCTTTTGTTGTCACTATTGGATATCTGTAACACCTCCAATACTGACCAGGCGCGGATCTAGAAAATATTTTTTGGAGGGTCTCACAGACGGGTTTAGGAACTTGGCGGTCAGGAGAAACAGTACAATGGATCGATTTGCCGTCATGCAGGGTTATTAGGGATACATTGATATCGATAAAAAAAACTAAAAACATTATCCTTCTCATCAGTAGACCCAAAAGTGCGGGCGATTTTTCAAAACAAGGTAAAAAGTAACTTTTTTAAAATCAGTAGATTTATTCCAGTTTCCGGAAATACATTTACGTTCTTTGTGCAACCACTGGTTACCGAGATATCAGTGGTCGATGACAAAAGGATCCTTTTTCATTCAAAGCAGATATCTCCGTGCCAACTGATCGCATCGAGATTTTAAAAACAGGATATTGAAGCTGAATAAACGGACTATCTGTATGATGACCTAAAAGAAAAAAAATGTCAAGCCCTTGGACTAAAAAGAAGGAAAAAAATTTGCAAAACATTTTTCTTGTGCTATCTCTTAGAATTACATGAGAACCGTTACTGCTAAATTTGTTCTGCTAATAAACCTGAAAACTAGAATCATGCAGCTTTTGCTTTTTTTAAGTCTAGATACGAGCTTGCTTCACCAAAAATTTGGAGTTTTCTTTCTTTTTGAGTAGTGTAGTTATCATTAAAATGTATCCTCATTAAGACGCTGGCGAGTAAAGCTTTTGTATTATTTTTTTTTTCATTACTTTTCAGCTATAGACCACGATATTTTCGGTGGCCCAGATTCATGTGCCAGCAAACTGTGTGAATGCGATAGACAACTGTCACTCTGCTTGCAACAATACCCTTGCCCCCAAGTACGGCCATTCTGCACTTCATCGCCATTTAGGTTCTTTCAAAATGCAATTATGATGTTTGTATGACACTTAGCTGAGAGCGTTATTTGTAGTTCTATGTTATGTACTGAATAAGGAATATATATATATATAGGAAAGGTTATAATCCTAGTTATGTGCAGGAATAATAGAATAAATTCTTGTGTTAAACTGGTGTATTTGTATTCTCGTTACTACTTCAATTACACTCCGTGTTGAACTACGTTATGGAAACTTTAGGATTGGCTTAAAATATGAAAGTCTCAAGTCAGTTTTCATCAATGATTTTTATAACAGTAATGTAGTATACAAATATTTACACTTCAACAACTTAATCTACATAAATAACTTAGAAATTCCTCTTCAAAGGATGCTCTAACGCATATTCTTTCGCTTTGAAGACTCGTTTAGCAATCTGCCTGTAGTTTTCGTCGTTGGTCGCATAATGTCCCCCATGGATTTCTTTGACTAAATATTGAACTTTTTGTTTCGTATTAAATGAGATGGTATCTGCCACAAGCATTTCACAGTCTGCGTTTCGAAGGCCAATGCAATATGATCTTGACGCTCTGCCTGCAAGTAAAGTTTTACTGATAATACTGCTTTCGTCTGTCCGACGACCAACCGTGCACAGCTGTTTCATGCTTTTTGGCATCAGTTTAGGCATGGTCTCAGGCAAGACAACAAAGAACCCAGAACAACTATCCTCTATCTAATTTATAAGCCCTGTCGAAATAATATAGCACAAGTGAAATCTATTACCAGAATCCACCACGGCGAAGTGAACAGCAAATATAAGTCGGAACTGTGAAGTATCACAATTCGTATCTAACAGTCAAGTCACCACTGTGGGGCAAATCGTCAGGTATACAGATATCCACTTACCTAGGCATGCTACCAAAATATATGTATCAATGATACATTCAGCATATCTTCTGAGATCCATATGGTAATTGATAACCGCCGGTCCATACCTTCCTAACATTATTTCAGTTGCAAATTCCAACCTTTTTACACAATACCTACAGAACATACATAACATTTTCTAAATGATACTATACTGGGTGAATCACAAGTCGTGACCAAAAATGAAACATTATACAGAGGACCGCATTTTAAGGGGGCTCTTCTATGTAACATTTTTTCCTCGAGGGCTTCATGAAAAAGATACGGGGTGTTAAAGTTTAAAAATAAAAAACATATTTTTTAATATCTTCAAAACTGTCAACTGGAATGAACTAAAATTTCGATTTACCTAAGTATTGTTCACATTCAACAGTTTCTACTTAAACTTAACGTGCACCAGTGGCGGAGATACAGGGGATTAGTGGAATTATTTTTCCAAATAAAAATAGTACGTCACTGTTTTTTTTCGGCACGCGCAGTTTTTCGAATTTCTTCTTCAATTTGCTAAAAATAATTACTCTTATGTTGTTTTCCTAGAGTGTACTGTTTTCGTAAAAATAAAACAAATTAGATCATTCATGAAGAGCCGAGATTCGGTTAGTTTCAAAATAAAATAGGAAGCCTTGATACCAACTTTCTTTATTAGAAAGATGCCCCACTTGTATCCGTCAGAATGGTGGTCGTTTTGAACATCTATTGAAATAAAGCTTTATCTTTTTTTATTTTTACGAAAACAATGCACTCCATGAAAAAAACACAAGTAATTATTTGTAGCAAATTAAAGGTAGAATTCGAAAAAATATACGTTTCAAAAAAAACAGTGGCGTACTATTTTTATTTGGAAAAGTAATGCCACTAATCCCTTGTATCTCCGCCACTGGTGCACGTTAATGTTACGGACTTTTGAATTTGGACACTTAGGTAAATCCACATAACAAATTTTAGTTCATTCCACTGATTTTGAAGATATTAAAAAAATGTTTTTTATTTTTAAACTTCAACACCCTGTATCCTTTTGATGAAGCTCTTGAGGAAAAAATGTTACATACAAGACCCCCCTTAAAATGCGGTCCTGTGTATGATGTTTCACTTTTGGTCTCGACTTGTGTGTATAATTCAGTGTCCGTCAAACTTACTCTAAGTTCTTAGAGGCTTTATAACAAGTTGGATGGAGGTATTCCTGAAGCTCCAAGTCTAGCTTTGGATCATCGTCATCATTTCTTCTGCCCGTAAAGAATCGTTTAAATGCAAATGCACTAAAGTACAGTGGGTTTCTTATTTTATGAATTTTTTCGTTGAGGCTTACCTAAAAGAATCGAGCATTTTGGTAACGTAAATGGCAATGCTAAATGAACTTGAGTACTTACGCCTGCGTGTTGTAGTCCTAAGAGAGCTATGATAATTTTCAAGCTGTCATTGGGGTCATGCAGGCTGACAAAAGGAAGAGCCTCTTTGTGATATTTGTTAGCAAAGTGGGAATCGGATATTGCAACAGTTCCTGTCAAATCTAAGCAAAGGTTTGACGCTTCCCAAAGCTTCTCAGAACAAAATACCTAAATAAGAAACACAAACTATGGTTTTCGGCATTTGAACATATACATGTAATATAAAAGTTGGGGTTTTCCTTTTCAGAAACAACTACGTGTGGAATAACAAAACTATGTTTGGTGAAACAGCTGAACAAGAAATTTTAAAAAAAAGTAACATGTATTTGATCAGAAATTTCAAGTACTGCCCTGTCACCTTTTGCTCGTAAATACCGTTTGAAGTTGTAGCTGTTATACTCAAATACAAGTTCTTATTAAATTTGAAATAATCAGGGCTGTCAACTCGGGATGCAAACATCCAGGAAAGCGAAATACCAGTATCATTAGAATTTTGAAGATACCGTAAGTTAACATCAAATCGATCACTTTCATTATTGAATATGCCAATTTTGTGTTTTTTCAAATCCGATTTGTAAATGCACAGATAGGTTAACCAACACACCACGAGGCTCATGGACACTGACCCACGTGATACCTTTCTACCTTTTGGGGTTGATCGCAGGACCAGGCTAGCCCATTCACATTTTTTCAAAACTCAATACCTCTGTTACGGCTTTGACGTATGTGTTTTTAGATATTTGTTTATTGTTGTACGATGTACACGCATTGTAAAGGAAATTCCCAACTTTAAGGGAAGCCTATACAGTTTGTTCCTAAATAGTATGACGATATTAATATTTCAAGACATATGAGAGTTTTTGCAAGTAATATAAGGTGCATGTTAAAAGGACTTACTTTCACTATAGAACTTTCCATCTGGCAATCTTGATTTTCAAAACTGTCAAGCAAGCCAGAAGTTAAATATGTTGCACTCTCCATGGCAAAGATAGATGATGTGATCTGTAAAATTTTAAGCTTATTGTATAATTTAGTATGGTCTTGAAAAATGGAAACAAAATCTGTCGAAAAAGGAATTTAAACTTACTAGTCCAACTGTATCCGTGTGTTCCATTTACACCACGTTACTGTGATTATTATTTTATTATCGCAGAATACGTGAAGTTGCTGCAGAATATAGAGACATCCGGAAAATCCACAAAATTTCGTTATATTGGGGGCGATTTGAATAATACAAATCTATTTGCAGTATGGACAAACATATTATTCTCTTAGTAATGAACTGGCCAATAGAATTTGAACTGTTGTCAGACAGCTTCCGGCTTGTAAGAGTATAACAAAATCAAACATTTCCATTTACCTTTGCAATAATGCTTCTGACTGCATCTGTCTTATATATTAAGTTCACATCGTCAGATTTCCTAATTATTTCATTTGAGAGAGTGTTTAGAATTTTCTTCGTCAAAGTTATACAAGGCGGTCCAATACTCAGCCTATAGTCTAGTATTATCTCATTCAGTATATCTACCCCCTTATCAACTTCCCCTATAACGTTTTCTAGAACATAAACATAGTGACACAGTTATATCCTTCTATCAAGAAGAACTCGAAATGCGTCATCAATTTTAACACTGAATATTCCTATAAAAGAAGAATACTTAGATAGAAATAGCCTATACTAGACTATGCATTCATATACAGCCACTTATTTCAGAACATAAGCTGGGATGGTGGCACGAACATCAACTGAGCTTTTATATCCCAAAGACGGAAAGTTAGATTGGAGTTCAACCTTAGTTTTTGGGAAAGTTGCAATTTTATTATTTACATATATAAGTGTGTAAGCTGTGTAAAGCGAAATACAGTAGAGCGTCGATTATCCGAACTAATTGGGGGGCAGGGGTCTCGGAAAACCGGTTTTTTCAGATAATCGAACTGTATTGATATAGACACACATATTTATTTATCCGCGAGTGAATAAAATCCATATTTACAGACCTTCATAATTATATCTTTATTAAAAAATAGGAATTAAAAAACAAATAAACTGCAGTATTTGCAACAAAACATTCTAAATACAATATTGGCGAAAATCGAAGAGATTTAAGTGTTTCTTCTCCCTCCTCTTCTTTTTCCAAAAGTAACTTACGTAAGAATTCTTTTCTATAATACCGTTTAAAAGTCTCAATAAAGTCTTGATCCATGGGCTGTAATAATGAAGTCACATTAGGGGGAAGAAACATGACTTTTATAAAATCGTCTTTTTCATTTAAGATGTCACATGATGAATGAGTCGGGGCGTTGTCTAGAAGCAATAATGTTTTCTCTTTTTTACCATTTTTTAATTGATGGGCTTTAACAGAGGGTATAAAAGTTTCTATAAACCATTCCATAAAAATTGTACCTACTATCCACAACGTGGTTTCTTGCTTTTACCAATGACAAGCATGGGCAATCGGTGGCTGCCAGTAGCATTAGCACAAGCTAAAGCAGTGGTACGATCCTTGCTTATTTTAGGTCCAGGTGCTGATAATTCACGACGTGACGCAAGAGTTTTTCTTGGCAAAGTTTTCCAATTGAGCCCAGTTTCATCTGCATTGTAAACGTTGTCGAGGGCGTAATTTTCTTCCTTCAGTAACTCGCTTAGTTTGACTTTGAATGAATCTGCTGCTGATGAATCAGCCGTCAGCTTTTCTCCCTTTATTTGCAGGACACGAATGCCATGTCTCAACTGTGCTTGTTTGAAAATTTGATGACCCTCCGAGTTTATCGTTGAACTGCAGTGCTTTTTCACACAGAATCGGACCAGAAACAGGTTCTCCCTGGGATCTTTTCTGAGTAAACCACTTATATACAGCATCATCTAACTCCGTGTTTGAGGCAAGTTTCATCGTTTTACGACTTTCTATATCCGTAATGGTAGACTTACCAACTTTGTATTCATTGGATAACTTTATTGCAGATTCACCTTCCTCTAACCGTTTATTAATCTGGTATTTATCTTTGATGGAAAGAACAACACGCTTACATTTAGGCATTTTCAAACGAGTGTTTACTTTCACGCAACAAAATTTAGTTTATTTCCTAGCGGCTACTCGGAAGTAACAAACATACGAATAATAGTTTCGTTCGCGGTTCCGATTCGGGATTGATTCTGAACCACTTCGCATGCGCACTTCAAAAATCGGCATTCGCGGTAAGAAAATTCTGAATTTTTAGTTACAGTTCTGCGTTCGCGGATCATATCGAATTGGTACAGAACTGATTCCGAATTGGTCCTGACAGTTCTCAGATTTTTGGTGAGACTAAAAGTTCGATCCGGCTGATCATGCGCATTAGCATCGTTATGGACATTTGATATTTCATCTTCCGCTGCCTCTGTTCGGGTTTAAAGTGTTTAACCTATTCTGTGAAAATCTGTCACCTGTGCTTTTTAGTGCTTGCTGTTCCATACATATGTTTTGTGTGTTCCATCTCAAGTTCTTAAGATTCAGTGCTTAAGATTTTGTGCTTAAGATGTCGGACCATTTATCGTTTAGTGATGATGATTTGGAAGAACTATTGGAAGTTATTGAAGTACCGACAACACCTGGAAGCTGTCATAGTGTCAATCGAATAGCAGCTTGGCAACAGCACAAAATAGAGGGCAAATTGGCAACAGTGTTGAATACGCAAACAGTTCCAAAGTCGTTCGCGGTAAACGAAAATCTCGAACTAGAAAATAACTGTTCATGCGCATTTGTGTAATTCTGGATGGTTCAGTTTTAGTTCCGAAACTGGTTCATTTTTTGACCCGCGAACGCAATTAATAACTAACAAGTCGAAACAAGTGCGCGCACGAGCGCGGGGCGCGGGAGAGTCGGGAGTTCGGATAAGCGGCCGTTCGGTTGATCGACGTTCGGATAATCGACGCTCTACTGTATCAACGATTTCAGCATACAAAGTGAAAAATCACCAACACAATTTCAATATAAGAAATTTTAAAAGCAAATCGTTTCAGATAATATATAAAATCACCCAAATTCAACTACAAATCATATAATACTCCACCTCATCGTCTGCGATATTTAGAGAACTACCACAAAAAAGATTTTTGATGATTCAAGCGAAAAGCACTAGTTTATGGCCAGTAAAATCACTATGACTAATATTTGTCAGACGAGTGGATTTTACGCGGTACAGGGTCGGACTGTGTTTTCAACGCTGCATTGAACTGTACATTGTTCAGCATTAAAGTGCTTAATCACGATATAGTATGGGTCACTCAGGTTCTGTGGATGACTGTTAATCAGAACAAGGGTGTTTGAAATAGCTTCAGCAAAAAGCTACAATTTTCTATAGTTCGGAAGTTACCGCTGGGTTATAATACAATTATGACACAAAGCTACTGCAATCCCAGTGATAGGACACCTTAAATGCTTTTCTTTAAAAATGCTAACACTTGATTTCTTGAATATTTTTGGAGTTGCTGATTATTTTTTGGCGTAGAACAAATGTTCGTGGGGGGTCATCATCTAAAAAATGCGACATTTTTTTATGCTTGACGCTGTAAACGGGTATACGCCCGATCCGCCGTAGCCAACCGCTAAAGTGCCGGAGCTGAAAATTTTGTTCGAGTGTAGCTGGATACATAATCATGAAGTCAAATGTGCAAAAGTGATAATATGATATGCTCATTGACAATTCAAAATTTCGTAACTAGTTTTTATTATACAGTGTTAAGCACTCTGAAGATCAATAGATCAATTGAATCGAAAAATGAAAAAATGAGTAAAATAATCACCATTTGGAATTGTAGTATTTTCAAACCTTATAGAGGCAGTTTCAACTGATGTGCTGTCATTTTTCACAAATGATACACCTGGAGAATCTTTTTCTATCACAAATGCAGTAATTCTTTTATCTTCTTCAACATCACGCTTTATAACATTGGTCACTGCAAAAACTATCAGAACATCTGCAGAGACTCCATTGATTACCATTGTTTTTTCACCATTTAATACCTAAAAAATTATTAATTGTCGTTTTTATTAGGTTTTTCCAAATATATTTGGAATACTTCCTGTGGTTTTACTTGACACAAATTCTATAATAGCATCTCATGCAACTTTTTTCTCATTGTTTTACAATGACTTTGGGAAAACTTTTTTACTTTATTTCAATATTGTCCTAACATAAAATTGAAAGTCTTTAAAGTTCTATCAAAAAGTTGATGGTTGTTGGTGTGAGGTAGGATATTTGCAAGTTGAACTTATGTTTATTTAATACTCTAGATCTCAAATTAGAATAAGGCAATACATTGTTAGGGCAATATTCAAATATAAATTACCCATGACTTCCCATCACTGGACAAGTCTGCTTTTGTACCAAATCCAGTAATATCAGTTACATGAGCTTCTGACAAACACATTGCAGCTAAAGACTCGCCAGCCATAATTCTTGGAAGATATTTCTGTTTCAACATCTCATTGGCATATTTATTCAGAGTTTGAACACTTAATTGTTCGTGGGTTATAATACTGTCTCTAAGGCTATGTTCTGACAGGGCTTCTAGGTATCTCATGGTCTCTGATATGCCACATTCTCTCCCATTTATGTATTGAGAGGCTTGTAGACCTATCATTTTGTAGTCTGCTAAGTTTTGCCTGCAATCAATATATAAAGGGTGTTCCATCTATTGCTTCTTTTTTCGACTACTATTTTTTGACATGTTAAATGTGTCAACTGCCATGTGTTTAGCACATATGAACTGTCAAAGGTCTGCCATTTGTTATTATGGTTTGTTTAACAACGCAAAAACGCATTTTGGTCGTCCAAAAATATTACGAAAACGGACGATCTTTAAAAAGTACTTTCGCAAACTTTGTGATTTGGTCGACATAATCGTCCCACAGAGCGTGGAATTCGGTAGATTATCAATCGTATTGAGGAAACTGGCTCAGTTGAAGGTCGTAGAACATATCAACATGCCTGTCCGGTACGTACACGTGAATCAGTGGCCGCTGTGAGTGAAAGTGTTCATGAGCAGCTATCAACTTCGATAAGACACCAAGAACTGGACATCAGGCCAGCAACATTATAGAGAATTTTGCATGTTGATCTCCATCTACATCCATACAAGATCCAACTAACTCAACAATTGAAGCCAGCGGACCATCAGCAACGGCGAATTTCTGTTAATTGGATGCTTGAAAATGTAGAGGAATTTTCGGCTAAAATCCTCTTTTCAGACGAGAGACATTTCTATCTCAGTGGCCATGTAAATAAACAAAACTGTTGGATTTAGGGTTCGTAAAATCCACACGAGATCCACGAACAACCTCTCCATCATCAAAAAGTAACTGTTTGGTGCGGACTGTGGGCTGGTGGCATCATTGGACCGTACTTTTCCAAGGATGAAGAACAAAAAGCCGTTACAGTCACCGGCGAACGTTATCGTGGTATGATAACGGATATTTTTTTGCCGAAATTGGAAGGTATTGATGCCAACGATCGTTGGTTCCAGCAAGACGGTCCAACTTCGCACACAGCTCGTCAAACAATCTAGTTATTCCAGATCGCATTATATAGAGAAATTAAGACGTGAATTGACCTCCAGCATCGTGCTACTTAACGCCACTGGACTATTTTCTCTGGGGATTTTTGAAAAGTAAAGTGTACGCGACTGGACCACGCACGATTCAAGACCTTAAGCGCAACATTCGCACCGAAATTGAGGCCGTGGACCCGATAATACAGCCAAAAGTCATCGAAAATTTTGATGTTCAGATGACGGCATGTCAACGGAGCCGCGGTGGACATATGGGCGATGTTATATTCCATGCATAAATGGCAAAGACCGACCTGCAACTTTCAATAAAGAGTTCGGTTTCTCACTCATAAAAAGTGTGTTTTTTAGATTAAAAAAAGAAGGAACGGATGGAACAACCTATACTATAGCAAGAATTTATAAAAGTGTTATGAGTCAACACAGAACCGGCATTGAGCTTGGTCCAAGTAGTTACGACTGAAGATCAAAAAAAAACTATAGGCAATTAAATTTCCAGAAACAACATCTCAAAAATGTACCACTGACTGTGATAAGGTCTTTTTCACGAGTATCCATTATGCTAGAATGCCAGCTGATACTCTAATAACCCCTTCGCATACTGTCCCAGATTTGACACATCCATTTTATTTTCAAAGTCCCCCAATAGTTTAAGACCTTAACTTAAATTGTCCGTATATCTGTCACGCTCTCTTCTCTGTCTCCAAGAAGCGTTGTCGCCCTCTATCACGTATTTTATGAATTGCGTCAGATTTCGTTTAGCGGCCCATATGCACGTGTTACTACTTATGTTTGTTTAAAAAGCTGTGGTGGCCATAAGACATTCAAAAATTAAATTTTTGGTGCAACGTAAATTATCTACGTTCTGGTAAGTATTTCTAATTGTGACTTTTATAAAATTATGTCCTTCCGAACTTCGGTGGTAGTGAAAATAAAAATTTGTGAAATGATGATTGTTACTGAAAAAGAACATATTCTCAAGTTTTGGTGGAAGATACCAGCGAAGAGGAACAGCTTGATAGATAGCCACAACTGGATTTAAAAATAGGAAATAACAGCCCAAGAAATTCGTCGCGATAATGTGGGGCATCTTCCTGAGTGGTATGAAGATCACCAGAGATGCAAATTTCCTGAGTGTAAGGGAAAAACACAAGTTTCATGTGATAAATGTAATGTTAGATTATGTTATGACAAATAACGAAATTACTCTAGTCATTTATATCTGGAGTAACTAAACATATCTTGAAATTTGCATTTAGTTCATGTAGTTTTCCATGTATTTTTAACGATTTATAATAAATATGTTTCAGTTAATTTTTTCATTTTCATTCAACTATTGCAATTTGTGCCAAATCTGGCACATGTCAAAAAGGCCAAATTTTTTCAAAAAAAAGGCACCAATAATTTTTCTATACATTTTTCTAGTCACTTTTGAAATATGGGCTATTACATATATTTTTTTTTATCAAAAATAAAAAATTCATGTAGTAGGTATTTCAAAATTCCCCATATTGGCAAGGGACACATAATTCTGACGAATCCGTCAATACCAGGTAGACAGAGCCATATTTTTTAGTTTTCTGTATGCTACAGATTCATTTTATGCTAAAAGCACTTTTAATTAGAAAAGTTCATTTGCATACAAAAAACAATGCTACAAACAAGTTTTACTAGAATTACACCCAATTTATCATTACCAACATTGCAAACTAATACTAAAATGTCACTTGCTGATCAGCTTTTCACCTCAGTAAATGTCAAATAGGGTAAACCTCTTGCCAATATCTGAATACGGAATTCTGTAAACCATGGCAAACATTTGATGACTCAGAATAATAATAATAATAATAATAATATTTATTTACTCTAAAGTACAGGGAACATGAAACGAGTAAATAAATATAATATATCCATAGGAGGACAACGGCTGTGCATGGATCATATGTATGTTGAATTGCAAAATATAATAAAATAGAGAGAAAAAAGAAATTATTGGTAAGAATGGTAGAGCATTTATTGTGTAATATTTGAGATTATTTTATTAATTTGATTTCTCCCAATCGTGTTAATAAATTTTTTTAATTTTTTTTTTAAGCCTAATGTATTGCCTAATTGTTTTAAATTATTTGGTAAATGTTCGTACAATTTTGGAGCAATATACAGGTGACATCGTTTCATTAGGGATTTGTTTGGTTTAGGAACATTTTTTGCGCGTAATTTATATCTGGTTTTATAATTATGTTTAATTATGTCGTGTTCACTAATAGTTTTGTGATAATGAGTGATGGTATGTAAGAAGTAAAGTTGTTTAGTATCATATATTTGTGCATCATTATATAAGTCATTAGTTGGGTATAATTTCGATTTGCCTAACATTGATTTTAAAATTCTTCTTTGAAGTACATCTAAATCGTTAAAGTATGTCGTGCATGCAGCACCCCACACTACTATACCATATGTTATGTGTGGCTCGACTAAAGCTTGATATATTATTCGTAGATAATATTCAGTTAATATACCAGTTAGAAATTTTATTTTATATGCTATGAATCTAATTTTCTTTAGTATGTGAGAAATATGTACATCCCATCTCAAGTGGGGATCTAGATAAATTCCTAAATATTTTGTATCATTAACTCTATTGATTTTTATATTTTTATCATTTACCTTAAACCGAAGGTGGTTATATTTTGGTAGATGATTAGATAGTGATGAAAATGGTAAAAAATGAGTTTTAGTAAAGTTAATTGTTAATTTTCGGTTATTAAACCACTGAATAATTTTGCAAAAGTCATTTTGGATAATATCTTTTAAGTTGTTCCAATCCTTACCTTTATAGAGTATAGCAGTATCGTCTGCAAAACTGACTATTTTACCAGCACTGTTAATTTTGAATATATCGTTTAAATAAATATTGAATAACAGAGTACCCAAAATTGTACCTTGTGGAACACCACATTTAACAAACATTTCTTTACTATACGAGCTTAATAATTTTACTGATTGCGGTCTATTTGATAAATAATTTTCTATTAAAGTATACATCTTTCCACGAAAACCTATTCTTCCTAAGATTTCCAAAAGTATATTGTGGTTAACTGTGTCAAACGCTTTTTGTAAGTCCACAAATACGCATATCGATGGTACTTTTCCATCTATATTTTGGGTTATTTCATCTACTATACTTAATACCCCATCTGTTGTAGATTTGCCCGCTATAAAACCATATTGATTTGAATTTAGAATTTTGAATTTATTAAGAAAATTAATCATTTTATTAAGGAGTAATTTCTCAAAAACTTTAGCTAAACTTGATATAAGTGAAATAGGTCGATAGTTAGTGACGTCCGTATTATCATTAGATTTATAGATAGGTATGATGATTGCTGTCTTGAAAGCTGATGGAAATACTCCAGATTGGAAGAATTTGTTAATGATATAAGCAAGTGATTCTGTTATTTGTTTGGCCAGTATCTTTAGATGTTCAGCTCTAATTTCGTCAACTCCAGGGCTTTTTTTATTTTTTAGAGTCATAATGGCATTGAAAATATCCTGATAGTCTACTTCAGTTAATACAAATGAATTATTCAGTCTTGTTTCATGCAGATGAATATCAGCATTTTGTTTGATATTATTTGCTAGGTTTCCTCCTATATTCGTGAAAAATTCTATGAACTCATCACATATTTGCTGAATATTGTCTGTTTTCTGTCCTGTTTTTGTTTTTATTTCATTAATATTGTTTTTTGAATAGGATAACTTATTGAATATATCATTGACAGTGGACCATAGGTGTCTAGAGTCATGTGAATTATTATTCAATAGTTTTATATAGTAATTTTTTTTTTGCTTTTCTCAAAAGTTCTATAAATTTGTTTTTATACTGATTATAATGATCTATATTTTCTTTCGTGGGTAAATATTTCATGATTTTATACAGTCTTTCTTTTTCGTTTGCAGATTTTATTAGTCCTTTGGTCATCCAATCATTTCTGCTTTTTTCCTTGTGACTTATTTTAACCTTATTAGTACTAACTTCAATTACTTTTTGAATTTTGTGTATTAAAAAATTTGTAGCTTCGTCTAAAGAATTTGTTAAAAAAATTTCGTCCCAGGATTCCGTTTGTGCGTTAAATATTAATTTTGAGTTGTCAGTGAAATATTTGTATTCAAGGTTTCTTTCATTTTTTGCCCTTGGGCAGTTCTGGTTTTTATTTTGTGAAGATATCAATAATACAGTGGAATAATGATCTGTAATATCGGTTTCATAGATAATAGGCATGTAAGAAAAGATATTGGAAATATCCTTTATAAAGCAGTGATCAATGCAGGTTTTACTGGTGGGTCGTGTTACTTTATTTATGTATGATAAAAAACCATTACTTGATAAAATGTTTAAATATTCTTTCACCATAGAATTTTCCTCTAAAATGTTTATATTGATGTCGCCTATAAATATTTGATTATGAAGGTGATTGTTTTCATTGTTTTTTAATAGTTCATCTATGTCTCTTATAAATGTATGAGGATCTGAAGATGGTGGTCGGTAAACACAAGTAATTTTGACTCTACGATTTTCAATTTGCATTGTTAGATTGATACCTTTTAGTTCATTGTTGATTGTAAATATGGTATGGTTATAAGGCAGATTGTTTCGTACATATACCATCACTCCACCGTTTTGATTATGGTTACCAAAATTATACAATGTATCGTACCCTTCTAAATGAAACAGAGTCACATTGCCCACTTGCCATGTTTCGGATAGAATATCACTTTGTATTCTTTTCAAAATTAATTTAAAGTAGTCAAAGTTATGTTTTATACTTCTGATGTTCATATGATAAATTCTAACAGATATTTCAGGATTTTGTAAAAAAGAATCTAGCTCGCTAGTATCATGAGCAGTATTAGTACTAATACGTTGAATTTGGAAGTTATTTACATAGTCGTGTGTCATAAATGATGCAATATTCTAAAATTTTGTCTAAAATTTCTTCTTTCTTAAAAAAGGATTTTCAAGTTGTACTGCTGTTGATAATATAGAAAAGTTGGACATTTTTTATCTAATGGTGAGTGGTTGGTACTATAATTTTTGTTATATCTATAGTTTGAAAATTTGCAATTACAACATACAACCGGTTCATGCTTACAACAGTCAGTATCGTGTACATCCTCTTTGCTGCAGTTGGTACAGGTCTTGTTATTGCAGCATTTTTTCTCGGTGTGATTGAAGCGAAGACACTTCTTGCATTGCGTAATTTTGTTATTATCATACACTGGTAAACATTGCCATCCAAGAAGAATTTTTCCATTGTTATCTTTGGCTTTAGAAAATCGCAGTCTAGATCATTACCTAATCTTATGGCCATCCGAGCTCTAAATTAACAATACAATATTCAATGTTATCCCCATGTATCGACTACATCTAATAAAACAAAAAGTTATTTAGGAACACAAACCTGAAGTTTTTATCACCTAAGCTTGTACAGTTCACCATATGATTTTGACCTAAAAGTTTCTGTACTGTCTGAGCATCAACTTGTATCTCTTCAACTTCTTCTTTTCGATCCAATTGAGGATAGGTGAGGATCTCTGTATCAAAGTTTCCTATTAACAATTCTTTCATGAAAGGAGCTCTCTGCGGTTTTTTAGTACGAGGTTTTCTAGTAATATTTTTCAACGTATTAAAATCTTTTAGTTGCTTCTCATAATCCTGTTGGGGACTTGTCACTGCAGGCTGTGTGGAAGTACTGTAGTTATGTGAAGGCACACTTTGTATAGCGGTCTTTCGGGGCAGTAACTTTGAAAGTGATTTAAGTCGGAAGCTATACATCTTGAATTCTTTATTCTAGGATATTTTTCAATTGTTTTGTTATAACCTCACTTTACCTCCCAATCTAACCTCACCTAACCTTTTGGAAATCACCGTGATCACTGCACTGCACTACAATAATCACCGATCACTTTGATGCTCAGCTAGCGATGGGTCGTAATAGAAAATGTTTGGATCGATGGTCGATACTCGATAAATAGGGCGGTCGTTACCTCGCTTTTCAAAATGGAATAATACTCCAGGAAATATGAAGTTTTTTTTTGAAAACATGGGTTAGTTTATTCTCTAAGCCCAAATAATGGTTTTATATTGAGCGTAATTTTTGAATTGAGGTGAATTTTAGGTCGAAATGAAAGGTCAGGTTTGCCACAAATTCTGCAACATTGCATGTTTGGTTTGCTTGTCAACATCGCATCTCGTTCATTCCAAGGCAAGGTTTCCACCTCCATGATCATAGATGAGCGATTTTGGTCAGTACCCATCTAGGGTTCATTGGGTAGTGTAGTCCTTCTTCGAATGGTTTCCACCAAGCAGTGATATTTGTATTGCGTAATAATATTTGTTACGACTTCCGACCGCTCGCTGTCGCAAAATGTAACAATAACTCAGGATGTGTTGATTTTACCTCCATCGAAAGATAATTCTAAGATAAATTAAAATACTAGGTCCCACCAAAATTGAAATAAATAATTCTAATCAAAATAATAACACAATATTAAATTAAATGTTCGGACAGACGTCCTTTTTGGGTTTGACAGCAATCTAACATTTTCTGGTGTAACATATTGGCTACGCCTCAGATTGAACGACCTTCTGCGTCACCGTTGTTTAGGCAATATCGTGATGACCTTCGCTCTTCAGCCGACTTCCATCTCTTTTTAACATCCCTTCTCGCGCTTCTCAAACTTTTTTTCCCTGTATATAATTTACGAACAACTTTATTGGTTTATGTTGCAAGTAATTACATTTTGGCTGATAACTGGTGAACTAGTAACCCAAAATTCTTAAATAAAATATATTTACGAAGAGTTTGTTCATCCAGGATGTGGTAATCTGTCAATAAAATACCAGACAAAAGAAACAAGACAACAAAATTAATACCATAGAAGAAGAAAATGGTGGACTAGTGAGTAATGATGTAGATATAGCGAATGAGTTTTGTGAATATTTTTGAAAAATCGGGGGCGCGAAATAAAGACAAATTAGTGAATAAATTGGAATTAATAAAGTCGCCAGACCTAGATAATATAACAGCAGATACTCTCAAAAGAATAAATTCCAACATCTGTGATATACTCATATTTGATAAATTCCTGTTTGAAGAAAGACATAAATTCCCAGCCAGTTTAAAAACGATATGATAAAATATTTATTTAAATCTGGAGAGAGATAAGAACCCAGCAACTATCGACCAATTTTCATCTCAAGCAATTTTTCTAGAATATCTGAAATATAATTTTCTTTTTTGGAAAGAACTACAAGTATGGCAATTAATTAAAAAAAAACACCATATAGCATTTTCTTGTGACGACAGGCTGTCGTCACATTTTAGTAAGCTTGCATTTATTGCAGGCAGTGGTCGCAGAGAGATTCAGTCAACTGTAAATAAAATATTTAGGCGCAATTTTGGACAAACACTTGAAGTGCAGAGGACCAGGTGAAGAGACTTAGATATATTACTACAAAGTTCAGATACTTTGGATATATACTGGATAAAAAATATCTATACAATCTTTATTACGCTCACTTGTTTACCCTCAACGACAGAGGGTAATAAATAATTTGGCTTTGTGTAGTTGTGAATAATAATTACAAAAAGGTTGATGTTATTCAGAAATTAATTCTAATGTTGATACTCCATAAGGAGGTTACTTATCCAAATTAAGTGTGTATCCCTCAAACATCTAAAGCAACATTACTCAAAGACCTGTTTTTCTTGCGACCAAAATTCTATAACTTCATACCTGAGTCATTAAAAGCAATTAATCCAATTAGATCATTTAGAAAAGAAATCAAGGAATGGATTTTACAACAACCAATATGCTCCATCCACGAAATTGTAGACATGAAAAATCAATAATATTTTACTTATCACCAACTTTCATACAAATAGTACTTTTACTTTAGTTATAATAATTGTCTGGATATTTTTGCTAGTATTAATTCAATTCAATAGATTACATTGGTCATTTATTCATTGTACTTTTAGTTTTAACAAACCAAAGCACAAGTGCAAACTTTTTTGGGTCATTCACGTTTCTTGTGCACCAAACTTAGGATATACCTCTACTCTGTGACAATAAACATTATCTCATACTACCATTTAGCTGCAAACATGGGGATTATCATAACATGAATTTCTCATAAACTGTTCATTTTACAGAAAAATAGTTAAGAAGCAGAATGAGACCCGTTAAACCCCTAAGAAATTGTTTCAATTACTTTTTTACATAGAATCGAGTTCACGGTATATTTGATTGGACCGCTAGACCGGCGAAATGTCATGCCGCCAATTTGAACATGCGGGTACCCATTCATCGAGTATCATTAGAAGGCAATATTCTAACGAATTATCAAACAAAATGTCTGCTGTACTTCTTGTAGGGCTCCGTTGTTCAAAAGCTCCATACTACCTGACCTATCAGACCAAAACATCTTTATTAGAGCGTTTCACTTTACCTGATCTCTATAAGCACCGGTATTTAAAATTTTCAAGAATTTCTCTATATTATGATATATAAATATTAATAGGTTGTCTATTTTGAGCAACCTGTATGAACTGTCGGAACTGCTTTAAATACCAATATCTACTTAGGTTTTGCTTTTTCCAAGCGAATCCTGTAACCCATCGCCATTAGACTAAAATATCATTAGCAAAAAGTAAAAGCTTTTCGGTGCGATAACGAGAGCTCTTTCAGGGTAACAGTATGAGCATACAGTGAATCATTTACGTACTAGGTTATTAATTTATGTAGGTGAAGGAAAACCTGGAACTGCCAATGTCAACAATCAAAAAGTGGCTGTAGAAGACATTTTTTTATTTTCAAAGAAATAGACGAGATTTCTAAGTCATGGCTGGTGGTGGTGACGGACATGATCCTTGGGACGATCCAAGTCTGAAGGGATTCAAGAGATACTTTAACAACAAAACTCAGAAAGGTAGAGCTAATGTGAGTAGGCAGTGTGAGTCTTTCACGAAACTTTCACCTGAATTAGATTTTTTTATAGGTAGCTATAGCGACTTACGCCGTTTTGGCGGTATATATCGTGTACGCCAAAGTATATAAGAGCAAAAAAGCACCAGCACCAACAAATGCAAGCGACACATGTAGATGTGACTAAGGGGGTAACTAGAGACTAGTTAAAACTATGATATGATGACATTTCCTTAACCTAAATATCATCAATTGATAACGTTAAATTCTTGTAAATTGTCAACATATATTTATTAAGTTTTATTAGCAAAATGGGATGTGAACAGGATAGGTGCAAAAATCGCAATCAGCATGATTGTGTCAAACGACCACCAAGCTTCTATCAACGAAATAAAATGTCTATACGAATGGTAAATGAATCATTTTTTGTGACCCTATGTACTCAACGAACCAATTTTTTAGGCCGCTTTAGGTGCAGCAACGCTTGCTGGTGGCTTCTTGTTTTATAAACATTACTTACACGGCATGGTACATGGGAACGAAGACTGCTGTGAATGTGAATGTGGAAGTAAAAAAACGGCGTAGTGTATGTCCAACTGTCCATCATGCATTTGTAGGTATGCAAAAATTGGATGCAATCTAGAACTTTGCATGATGCTGTTAGTTCAAAGATCATGGAATTTCGAAATAAGACAGCACAAATACCATCTATTTCCAAAATTCAACACTGCGAGAGTAAAACAGTATTCCAGTATGTATTTGACGGTGTGGTCACCACTGTGGCCGCTAGATGCCGCCGATCCGGGGGTATAGTAGATTCCATATACTTGCATTTGAACAGACTAACTAGTAATATAGATTTCGTCCATACGAAACATACGAGTATGTCCATGGTTGGCCGTTTGTGTTCGGTCGGACGAAAGCAAATTAATTCAAAGGGGCTAAAGTTCTTTACGGTGACTTCCATTCATAATCTGATGGCAGTTGTTGCTTTTTCTAAATTTTGCAACACAAAAACGCAATAAAAATTACTTGTTCTTATATTTATGAATGGGCGCGAACAGAAACTTTTCTCGACAAGAAATAACTGTCAATGGGTAGGTACTGGTCCCAAAACTTTTTGAAGAGTGAACAGAAGCAAATTTTTCCAGGAGGGCAATTCCTGAAAATTGTACATAAAATCGTGCCAAATATATGCAAATTTAGTGTCTTGACACTAGAATATTACGTTATATTGTGCAAATAGCTATATAATATTTGATTGTAATAACTTTTTTATATCATCGTTGGTTCAAACCTCCGCCTCAAAGCAGACACAAGCACTTCAGCACTTGATCACCGCATCTATTCGCTAGTCGCTGCTTGCTCAGGCATTTATGGCCATCTGGAGCGCGCGAAATCGAACTTCGTGAGATGGTGTTTATTTTGCAAGGGCGGGTTGAATGAGATTTGTGATTTCATACACAATGGTTATCTATTGCTTGTAAGCTATATAAGAATAAAATAGTGTCATGATCCTTGAAATAGTAATGAATATTTCCGGATATAGTAAGTTATCACTATAATATGGCTCAGCCTCCATCCCTTGTTTTAGTAAAGCACACACTGTTAGTCTGGCAGCACTGAGCAAGCATTGTCGTTTACTTTGACTTACACGGTTATGATTCCTAAGTGGTACAGTATAAGCAATAACATACTGCATGCTCTATATCATCATATGTAGGCAAATGCTTATTTTCAGACAGTCATATAATCCTCAACAATTTTAGATCTATATTCCCTAGACTAACGATATCATTTCAAATCGACCGCCAATTCACAGAGTGCAGTCCTGTCTTGCGTAAGGGCGATCCAAATGTCTGATCTTTTCTCTCTTTCTAGCTCATATGTGTAAGTTCTGATTTTATCTTGCATTCCATTCTAGTCTAGAGCATACTTCATTCTTCTAGATCTGCTTTTAGTAGTGATGCAAAGTTTCGTTACTTTTTAGGACTTGTAAGGACTCGTTACTTTCGAACTTTGGACTCGTTAGTTTAGTTACTATTTGGACATTTCGTTTAGAACCTACATTCTATATATTATATCAAATTATTGCTTTGGGATTGATCCAATTATTATTTTTTGTCTAATGCCTTGTCTATTAATTTTTTTGATATTTGATACGTAGAAGGTACTTATATTTTAAACTCGTCGTTGTGCGACGTCTGGTTCGTTGGCTATACGCTGAAAACAGTATTTAACAAGTGGCATAACCAGATGGGGACCGTGGAGGAACCACTCTCCTCACGCTTTACTTTAGTTGAGTAGCGTCCCCTGCCCTAACAGTCTGGTTACTCCCCTGCCCTACTTAACAGTCTGGTTACTCCACTGTAAATGGTGTTCAAAAAAATACTTATAATAATAAAACATACCTGAAACTAAGTTCCTTTTGCACCTAGGCATATTTTCGTCTTCCACCCGCCGTTTTGCCCTTTCTCCTTCAAATGAAAGAGTAGGATGTTTAGTTTTCAAATGCTTCCTTAAATTGCTAATGTTTCCATTTTTATGCGAATAAATATTTTTACAAAGATTAAACTTTGCATTAGCTTCCGATATATTGGTGAAATGCATCCAAATAACACTTCTTTTTTGAGTTTGCGATTCTCCTGAACCGGACGCGGATGATTCCATATTTTTGTACAAATAATAATTATATTATTGCTCGAGCTTGTACGGCAACGTCCAAACCAGTAACAACCCGCCAACCGCTAGGTCTCAAAGTCAAATGAAAAGTGTACAGGTGTACACAAACATTGCCAACCTAAAGCTCCGCAGTCCGCAACTAGTTTGATAGAATAGTATCTAAAGTTGCCTAAGCCTAACGATATTCGCATCATTTCATTTCCACCCAGTTTACATCCACTGCTGCTGGCGCTGGCAGTACTGGCTACATTAGATCCCAGTAACGTTTGTATCTAAAGTAATGTATAGTGTAGTAACTAACAGTAATTAAAAAGTATACATAGAAAAAGACCGTATCGCATTCAAAGTAACGAATTCAAATAAAAAGTAACGAGTCTTTTCAAAAAGTAGGACTCGTTACATTTAGTTACTCATTTGTAACGATTATTTTGTAAGCGTTACTTAATTATTTTACATCACTAGCTTTTAGCATTTGCTGTCCCTGTGTGTACATTACGTATCAGTTTCGTTTTTCGTCCTAAAATCTTTTTAAACAAGAAAAATGGCTGGAGGAGAACCTAGCAGCTCTGAAGCATCAAAACTGACCGGCCTCAGCAAAATTTTCAACAGCACAACCACCCAAGGAAGGGCAAATGTAAGTGAAATAGTGAAATGTCCAGTGTGCTAAGCATTACGTAATTGTTTCTCCCAAAATTCCTAGTTTTTTTTTAATTAGCGGAGTCTGTATCAAAACAACAGTATAAATCATTCGTTCAATTACTTCCGGTCATATTAGACATATTATGAAATCATTCATAATAATTATAAAATAGATAAAAATATTGTGCCGCTTATCAAATTCACAATTAAATGTTGAAAAAAGTAATAATTCGCAATTTTTTAAACATGTAATCATTACAGATAATGCATAAGCTTCAAATTAGACTGTTCTGCAGTTGTCGGAAGGGGTTTAAAGCAAAGTTTTGTAAAAAATATTAACAGTATGAAGATACTGTATGTGGTATGCAAGGAGTGGTATGTGATTTCTTAACCTCACAATTACTTTCAGGTAGCCATGGCCACTTATGCAGGTGTGGGACTGATCATCGCTTTCTTCATGCTGAAACCAAAGTCAAAAAAAGCCACCTAAATTGCATATTAGTTAATAAGTAATTATTTAATTTAATAAGTTATAGTAAACATTAATAAAATTAAGTTTTGAAAATTACCTTCCTCGAATTTTGTATCTACCCAACCATGTAAATTATTTGTATTGATATATTTCGAGGATTATCCACTAGAAGCCTACTATGTCCAAAATGTAGTTATTCTAATATCTACTTCATGGACAAGTTATTTACTACGCAGGTACCTACTCAAATAGAGCCAAACTATCAAATGTTCTTTTTGAAAGATATTCTGATAATTTTCCCAAGACATTACATTATCGAATTCTCCAGTCCATCAATCTTTTCAGAACTTTTTACATTGTGAAAATCCAGCACCTCTAAAATTTTGAATTTCGCCAAGGTCGCTATAACTGCAAAGAGAACTACTACAACTGAGGACTACGAGCCCCTTCCCACTTCAGTTGGCCCAACTATTGAAATCTTAGTTTTTTCTTATCAAACACAAATAATAAAAATGTAGCAGGGTGCTATAGGTTTAAAATATTAACAATGAATATTTTGATAATATATAGTAGAAAACACCAACTTTATCACTCCCTAATCAAATTTGCAGCAAAAAAATAACACATGTTGCAATTACGGCATATCAACCTATTTTCATTTCAATGCAAAATAAGTCTATAACGCATAGGTGGCTGTGAAAAATAAAAGCCATGACAATTGTTTTTATTAATCACAGCTGTCAGAATACGTTTAAAATAGTTTTGGGTAGTTAAGGTTTTCAAAATGGATAGAGGAAAGGTTATTAGTGAGAAAATTCGGTTACTGATAATTAAATTTTTTAATTCTGGGAAATCAAACTCAGAACTTCCAACTTTGTTAGACTTATCGCGGTACAGTGTGAGAAATATTGTTAGAAGATATAACGTAACTGGTTCAGATAATATTAAGCCATGATATGTGAAAAAAAGTAATATCACAAATGCCGACCGAAGTGCATTAGGAAGAATAATCGTGCAGCGTATCAACCTATTTTCATTTCAATGCAAAATAAGTCTATAACGCATAGGTGGCTGTGAAAAATAAAAGCCATGACAATTGTTTTTATTAATCAGAGCTGTCAGAATACGTTTAAAATAGTTTTGGGTAGATAAGGTTTTCAAAATGGGTAGAGGAAAGCTTATTAGTGAGAAAATTTGGTTACTGATAATTAATGTTTTTAATTCTGGGAAATCAAACTCAGAAATTGCAACTTTGTTAGACTTATCGCGGTACAGTGTGACAAATATTGTTAGAAGATATAACGTAACCGGTTCAGTTAATATTAAGCCACGATATGTGAAAAAAGTAATATCACAAATGCCGACCGAAGAGCATTAAGAAGAATAATCGTGAAAAACAGGCGTGCCAATTATTTACAATTAAGTGCTCTGTAGAGTGACGCTGTTGGAAGGAGAATTTGGAGGTCCACAACTCATAGATAGGCCCACAAACTGGGATTTAGCACTTGCAAGGTAAGTTTTCTTATAAAAAAAAAGTGGAGCAAAAACCCTAAAGTTGCACAACTTGATTATAGGCCAAAGAAAAGCCACTATTAACTCCACTGCAAAAGAAAAATCGGCACAGATGGGCTTTAGAACATAGACAATGGACACCTCAACAATGGTGTGCAATACAATGGAGTGATGAGGCCCGATTCGAAGTTTGTGTTGGTGACAGTCGCAGTAGAGTTATTCGCAAAAAAAATTAAGCATTCCATGTTGACTGTCTGGGGCAGTATGTACAGACAGTACAAACAGATATTTGGCATTTTTAGAAGAATGGCTTTTACCAGTGATGGAAAAATGTTTTGACATCCGGCCAAGATGTTGTGTTTCAGCAAGATGGTGCAGCGTGCAAGAAATATGGGATTGTTTTACACCAAATTTTTGTCAAAACTTGGTTAACACTATGGCCCAAAGAATTTCAGCCGTAATAAAAAATAAAGGTGATGTTACCCAATGGTCATCTTTCAATTGTTGCTTTGTTAACTTCGCGCATTTATTCGCACATTGTTTATTTGTTCAGGTGTTCTATTAGTTATAGGTCTAAGTGATTTCAAATATGTATTTTTTACGGCTAAAATGTTTTTGAGAAAATAAATTGTTTTAGAAGTAAATAGTTTCGTCATGTTTAGTTTATAAAGGCATATTTTGGTACAAATCATGAATCAAATTCAAGCGGATAACCAAATGAAAATGGTATTTACCATTTTGGGTTTGTATTTACCGATCCGTTCAAGCGAGTGTGGTTATCAGTTTGGTTATAAGATCCGTGACGTCATGAATCAGCTGTTATATGTCATAGTTATCACCGCAAAATTGTGGTATTTACCCAACGCAGGAGTAGTTTTATATTTCTGGTTATTATTTGAAATGTGACAAGTTAGAATTTTGCCAGGTATTGGATATTAATCAAATCCAAGCGAATAACCAAAATTTCTGTGTTATGTGCCGCGGTTATAATATGGTTCAAGATGACACACGGGTTGATGACGTCAGTTACACGAATCGCTTGAACGCGTTGGTTTTAACCGCGGTTTTGTTGCAAGTTGTTTATTTTAGAAAAGCGCGTATATAATCTCTGATTATTTTTATTATCACTTAATAATCGGTGCTTTTTCGTCTACAACTGTATATGGAAAGTTTAAATAAGAAACCTTTCATAATATTCATGGAGAAATGTTTTTTTCAGATTTTTTTTTAATGATCTAACCATGGCTTTGTAGCTATGATAACTTTCAATTCTCTAAATTTTTCCGCATGTCAAAGAAAACATTTATTGATTCAGCAGAAATGATGAAAAAAGAAATTAGCAAAACCGTATACAGGTGGATATCATCTAGTGAGTTTATATGGCCATATTTTAATATTCTTGTGGTATATGGCTACACAGGATACTTTGTTAAGCATATGAACTACATTTAAAGTATTGACCTTAAAGTCGCCGGTAGATTTAGCAGCGCTTTAGGCCCGTATCGCCAGTTGTCTCTACAATTGTAGGGCGCGTTTATGGCCTCCTTGATTGTCATAGTTTTCTACTTCTCCGTGTCAGAACTCTATTTTGAGGTTATGTCACAAACATCTTTTTGCATCAAATTGTGCTTGCTTTTGAGTTATATCATGTTTTATCAGCCTGAAATTTCCTACAATTTAAAAAGAAATCATATCTTCACAATAGGAGAGCGCTGACGCTGACACGGCACAAGTGTAATCTAGAAATTTTTGAAGGATAGAAAGGAGTATGACAATCAAGGAGACCATAAATGCGCCCTACAATTGTAGGGACGACTGACGATACGGGCCTTAGGTCACTGCTTATCTATGGTTGCTGCCAGCAGCCAGCGTGTCCCTGGCGCTGATTAAATTACTCGATATTTGGCGGCGGTTATCCATTGATATTAACGAGGTGTAGATGTTCAGGTTCCTGAAGATTTGAATTAAACTATATTTAAGGTTTTTGTTTTTAACAATATTGAGCACAAAACACATAAAATCATAAAAATATATATAATAATAATATATATATATCTATTTTTTCTTGTTAGTACAATAAGTTTGAAATAAAAACGTTTGGTTTTTCTTGCTAATGCAATAAGTTTGAAATAAAAATGTTTGGTTAATTTACAATACCTGGAATTTTATTTAGGCGCCGCCAGGTTTTTTAGACTTACAAAATCAAGCGCCGTGATCCAAATGGAGATTAACAATTCAATATAATGTCAGTCTAAACAGCCTGACGAGGCCATGTATGATTCTGGTGCTGTCAGACATAAATGACTGTGGCCGCCAAATAATGCCTAACAGTATGTCAGTCATAAACGAGTGACAGCACAAAATAAAACAAGAATAAAATAGTATGCCGGCAGTCAGAGTGTTAACTTTATCACTTACTGAAAAAAAATCCAAATATCACTAATCTTTTGGCGCTTTGACATATTTATAAGGTGCTTGCAACTCACAACAATAACAATAAAAACTAACAAAATAGGTTAGGCTACGCTGTAGCGACCCTGTACCCTGTACTTCCCGCGCGATGATCGCGATGTGTATATACTTCCTGGCAGCGACCGCGACCGAAACAGCGTTACAACTACCGATCAGTGGTTACCGATACCGATACTTCCAAACAGCGATCTGGGTCGCTGCTTCATGGAGAATCAGGTCGCCGGGACTAACAGCGACCATTCAAGACCACCGGGAAAGGTCGCCGGTACCGATATATCGATCATCTCTAATACAGGCTGACTTCAGTTTTACCATAAAGTGGAACACGTTATTAGTTATACTCATTACTGTTGTACGGGACACTTTAAATGTAGTTCCTATGATTAATAAAGTATCCTGTGTAGCCATATACCATAAGAATACTAAAATATGGCCATATAAACTCACTAGATGATGTCCACCTGTATACGGTTTTGCTAATATCTTTTTTCATCGCTTTTTCATCATTTCTGCTGAATCAATAAATGTTTTCTTTGACATGCGGAAAACTTTTGAGAGTTGAAAGTTCTCTTAGCTACAAAGCCATGGTTCCATCATTAAAAAAAAAATCTGAAAAGAAATACATTTCTCCCATGAATTATATGAAAGGTTTCTTTTTAAACTTTCCATACACCGTTGAACATGAAAAAGCACCGATTATTAAGTGATGATAAAAATAATCAGAAATTATATACGGGTTTTTCTAAAATGAACAACTTGCAACAAAACCGCGGTTAAAACCAACGCGTTCAAGCAATTCGAGCAACTGACGTCATCAATCCGTGTGTCATCTTGAACCATATTATAACCGCAGTACATAATACAGAAATTTTGGTTATTCGCTTGGATTTGATTTTGAAGTGGGCCAACTGAAGTGGGAAGGGGCTCGTAGAAGTTACTAAAAAGTACTAGTTAGCGACACTTCATAATACACAAGAACAGTGATCCAATCACTTCACTCATCCCCATTGTAGTTTGACAGAACATAACAGCAAAACGTCAAATGCTAGAGAGGGTCAGAGGGTGCTCGCAAACGTCAATAAACTTGAACATACACGAAGAACAAGGCTGCATCAAACAATGTCCTAGGTTAGTTATTTATAATTAAAAGAGATAAAAAAGTGTGTCGGTCGTTGGCTATCAACCGGACTTGTGATGAGGTAGAGTCGTCAAAGCAGCGAAATGGCTGATCCGAAAACTGGTAAGGATAAATTAGGTTCACCCAGCACAGGAAGTGATGATGGGAACGACCAAGACACCCAGGGAGCCATAAAGCCGGAATTAGAAGAGCCTGATTTGGGTGATAGTGCTCATTATGCGCCACCCGAGACCCTCTGGTATCATGGTAGACTTGATAGATACCAGGCTGAAGAGAGACTGTGGCAGTGCAACAAGCTGGGGGCCTATCTAGTCAGGGAGAGTGACAGGAAACCAGGCAGTTATGTGCTGTCATACCTTGGAAGAACTGGAATGAATCATTTTAGAATCACTGCAGTGTGTGGAGATTTTTATATTGGAGGAAGACAGTTTGCTTCATTAAATGATTTGGTGGGGTACTACAAAGAAAAAAGTGATTTGCTCAAGAGGGAGAGGTTGATACATCCAGTTCCTCCCCCTGAACCTGTCAATGATAAGAAGGTATGTAAAATCCCTTAAATTCTTAGGGTAATTGAATGTTTATGCTAATTATGCAATGTCACAACTTTTTATGAAAACACAAAACTAGTAAATGTAATTATAATATATATTAGTAAGCCTTTGGCTTTAGTTTAAATTCTACAATTACCAAATGCTGTTATTTTTCTTCATTTGTATGCAATAAAACTGGCCTAGCTCATTGTCCTGGCATAGTTATTGGCCCCATGTGAAGCAAACAGAGCTTATTAAAATATAGAGAAAATAATTGATGTTACCATACACCTTCATAGGTTTTAAGTTTTAATCATAAAAAGATGCCAGCCCACAATAATTCATGAAGCTGGTTTTTTGAGCATTTTGTGGTTTTGAAATATTTAAACAGCAACTGTTTTCAGGTATAGTCTGCTACAATAAGAAAATAGTATAAAGGTATGAATGATGCTTGCTAACATTTCTTAAAACTGATATTTAGTAGGCATCATGCTGTATTGATAAGAAATTGTCAACTTATAGCTTCTGATATGAAGGTTTGTTTTCAAACCACAAAGAAAACAATGATAATTATATTTTTAGACAATTCATCAACTCATGCTTATTAGTATTCTATATTGAAACTGCTTTGTGTCCTCATTAAAAATACCATTTCCTTTCCAGCAAACTGCTAAAATAACTGTTGATTGTGATAAAAGCTTCCAACCAGTTTATGAATCATCCTTCAGATTTATATAGACAATAAACAGCATAAGAAGTTGAGACTTGTTTATGAAAAAATAGCACAGGAATAATAACCATTGAATCAATGATTAATTTAAATATTTATTTCTGCTCTGTTTATTGCTATTTTTTGTTTTAATGCATTGATACATAGTTAAACTATTTGTGTTTATTTTACTTAAATCATTGTTCATAATTGCATTTTCAACATATCTGGAGAGTGTATTAGCAATATGAAAAAATAGATTTGTTTAATACTTCACACATTAAAACATCTTTTCAAATTATTTATATAGCAGTAACAATAATAATAACACAAAACAAGAAAGATTTCAATGTGGGCTGAATGGGCTAAAACATAGGTATAAAAATATGTTGAATAAAAATATAAAATATAACAGGTATTTATACAAACATATAAAATATAATTAGCTTTGGAACATGTTTGTGAAGTGACAGATAAATGTGAGCAAATCATGAAGAATATTTATTCAAAGTGTAAGGCAAATTTATAAGTAATATTTCAGCTGCTCTTGTAACTTTCAAAGTATTAAGCAGCTAAAAGTCCAAATCATTAGTAAAGTAATATTTCAGCTCTTCATGGTAGAAAGAAATGGCAAAAAAATCAATCACAAAATGCATCAGTAAAAGTTAAAATCTTTGATCCAACATTAGCAAATATATATGGTGAAAAAGTTATATTTTTATCTATCATCTCACAATGTGATGTGGACTTGAGAGATTAATTATATATTTGCTGTTTTTTACCTTTATTTGTCTGTGAATAGTGTATTGTCTGAACATTATGAAATTCTGAGACCACTTCAAAGTATTTTCCCATGTTCCACAAAAGTGTTATGTAAAATCTGAATGTATCTTCATGAAAGAGAATATACCTCAGTTGCAGATATAATTTCTAAGTGGTTCTTTATGAGATAAATATGTTATTGGTTTGTATAATTATTATCTCTATCAATAATTCATTGCATATTGCACTGTAAAATTTAATTTGCTTCACACACCACTAGGTGAGAAATCAAAATATATCTCACTCACACTCACACTCACACAGTTTATTCATGTTGATACATACATACAATGGTTAATTACATCTTGTTGACTGAAACACATTCCAAATTCAAATGATTCCTGAAATGATCATGATTCATCCCTCGATTGAAACGAAAAATTCTTGTTTAGGCTCAAATCATTTTTGGGCAAAATAGAGGAACATCATATTGCTTCAGAGCCTGTATCATTAAAAAAATTAATATAAAATGTGTGAGATGTATGGCCAATCTGCTGACTTATTTTATGTACTTATAGTTTTTCATTTTGATACATTCTTTATGAGTTGGTAGATATGCTATGATTTGTAAAATAGCTAAATTAGGGGAGTTGGTCCAGGAAAACTAATAAACGATATGTTGGATTACAACTGTTATTCTGAAATTACAACCTCCATTTTTCAGAGAGTTGTTGCTATTTTGCCATACACAAAGATGCCCGATACGGACGAGCTGACATTCAAAAAGGGAGACATTTTCTTTGTCCATAATGATATGGGCGACGGCTGGTTATGGGTTACCGCCCATAGGACTGGTGAGCAAGGGATGATATTCATGGAACTAGTCGAAGACCTGGATGATGAGGTGGATCCGAACACTGTCTTCCCTTGGTTTCATCCTAACTGCACGAAAAACGAGGCTGTCGATCTACTTGTTAAAGGTCAGTACATTTGAATAGTTGCATGGTGTCTGGTAATCTGTGACGCCTCTATAACTTGAAAAGAATAACTCTGGATGAAATTTTGTAAGAAATAATTGATTTTGGAAAACTTATTACATTACATAACTGAAAAATGACAGGGGCAGCGATATGATCACTATAATTGTCACCTTGGAAATAGCTACCATTCACTGCATAGTCACCTGAAGTAGCTGTGAGTATTGCCTGAATATCAAGATACTTGAGCTGTGTGCTGTGGCTCTGATGTGATGTAACTTTGCTTCAGAGATGTCAAAATTTAAAACCTCGCGAGCCTCGTTTTGTGACTAATTTCTCACTTATTTTCTTCTTCAGTCTAAATACAGCCTTATTAAAATTGTCATTTCCAGCTGGTCCGGGTAGTTTTCTTGTACGACCGAGTGACAATTCCCCTGGTGATTATTCCTTGTTCTTCCATATAAACAACCAAATACAAAGATTTCGCATCGAAAAGAAAGGTGTGCGATATCTAATGGGCGGACGAATTTTCGAGTGTCTTGATGCTGTTATCAATAGATACAGGAAGGAGCAGATTGTCGAGGGATATACTTTACAACATCCTGTAAGATTATTTATACGATTTTTTCTAAGTAAATTCAAAAAGTTGTTCTTTATTAAAAATACTCCAAGGCACAGTTCTTTATATATATTTTAGAAAAATGTTTTACTATTTTATTTCAGATCACCTTTGTTGACTCTGTATTGGATTTTTTTGTAGTTGGTAGTGGATGGTTCTAAACAGTTACTAGACTGGTTACCGGAAAGTCAAAAGGCAAAATCGGAAGCTGAGAAAATCTACGCCACTTTGAGAGAATGCAGAGATCAGGCTGGTTTAAAGAAAATGAGGGGCATTAAACATCAAGGTTACCTTCACAGAAAATCCGATAAGGCCGCCAAGAAATGGAAACTGTTGTATTTCGTCCTACTTGTGGATGGTACTGATACGCATTTATACCTATATGAGAATCCTAAAAGGACAAAACCCAAAGGGCTCATTGATTTGTCCTGTGCATATTTGTATCAGGTAAAATAATTTAATTGAGAATATTTTTTTCATTAACAATGTTACAAAGTAACGACTTTAGTATATGCAGGACACTTAGGTTGTACCGTTCTAATACACGCGTCAATAGATTAATCGAATGGATCAGTGTTGCATATTTTAGGACATTTTTTCATTGAATTATTTGCTTGCTTTTGCAGGTTCATGATAGCTTGTGGGAACGTTCACACTGTCTCCAACTTGTGGAAAGAGCACTTCCATGCCTAGCAACTGTCACACATTTGGCGGCAAGGTCTGTTGAAGATTGTCAAGAATGGATGAACGCGTTGAAACCCTTATGTGTCCCTCAGCTGAGTAGAGCTACCTCCAAAGTGAGTAACTACCAATGTCCGTAAACATGTTATTTGACGAGATTTTGACTATTTGACATATATCTACTTTGAATTTGCAAGCCAATATCTATTCCAGGTGCCAAGTTTAAGAGAATTAAGGTGTCTCACTCTCGCTATACTAGACGCTCACAGACTGCCTTACAAACTAGTACCACAGCCCTATGTGACGATACAGCTCAACAATCAAGTGAGAGTAGCCAGGACAAGAGCCAAGTCAGGTCCTGATCCTGTCTGGGACGAGGAATTTGTTTTTGAGTAAGTTACATCAACAAATGGTCACAGAATATGACCCCAGGCAAAATCCTCGGTGCAATTCTCAGCCTGTGACACGTAATCGGTCGGTGACGGCAGGTCGCGCACACACAGCAGCAAGAGGTGGTAAATCGATCTGTACTCCATACAGGTTCGGACTTATCGGTTCTTTCAAACAATAAATTTCCAATAGTCCCGAACGGACATACGTATATAGTAGACCAGATCAGAGTAGCTCATTTTAATTTCTATGGATAATTGTATAAAGTCTGTGATAGTCTGAAATTTGCTTGTTGGAAATGAGGGAATAATTTAGTAAAATCATCAATTCGCTGTTGGTGGGAGTAAAGTAATTTGCACAATGCATTAGGCACAATACTTAAACAAAACTATGCACAGAATCCCATTTTAATTTCAAAGAAAAGTTGTACGGTTTCGAGGAGGGGAAATTTTGGTAACCTTGACTACCATCTTTAAGTACCCTTTCAAGGTCTAGTGCATATTTTCATTTTTATACTGGAAATGAAAAAAGCAAGAAATTTCACGCCCGAATGCGATTTGACCTCGAATAACATTCAGGCTTGACACAGCCTTGATATTGGGATGTACAATTTCCTGTTCTTTTTTCGTTTCCTGTATAAAAATGAGAGGTTTCCTTTGGAAATTTTAACTTGGTGATGGTCTGGGTTACCTTTGGGTGATCCCCAAAACCCCATAACTATGCTGTCGAACATTTTTGGTAGAACAAATTGTTTTCGATGTCTTGACTTGACCTTGAAGTGACCGTGAAGCAAGATCATAGTCATCATATTTCTCGGAAGTAAAATAGCTTCTACAGTATTGGACAAAAGTATATAGATAAATTAATATTGTGCTGTATTTCTTTTTTAACTTGTTTTATTAATATACCAATCTGTATACATAATTTGTTATAGCATAATAGTTATACATAAATAAATTCATTAGACTCCCTTCAATAAAAAATTAATTGAAAAAACTGGAACTATGGAGGACAAACATATATAGACAAAGTAAAACAGTTTTAAGAAAAAAGAAGCAAAGTTCATTGAATCATAGAAAACCAACCATATTTGTGTTAATATTTTGTAGCATAACCATTATTATCAATCACCGCCTGGTATCGTCTCGGCATTTTTTATCTTGTATTTGCTTATCTTTGCTTATTCCCATAGATTTTCAATGGGGTTTATATCGGGAGATTGTCAAGGCCGTTTGAGAACTGGTATTTTTTCATCCAGGAAGAATTTCTTTGCGAGATTTGATGTGATTCGGGTCATTATCTTGCTGGAAGATTGATCTTAAGGGCATATTGTCTTCCATATAGGGTAATATGACATGCTTTAGTATGTCTGTGTATACAAACTTATCCATAATGCCATCTATTCTATGTAAAGGTCTCATCCCAAACCCCTAAAAGCACCCCCAAACTATAACAGACCCGCCTCCATGTTTGACAGTGGGCAAAGTGTACTTGGGGTTCAATCTTTGTCCACTAGGATGTCTAACGTAATGAACACCATCTGATCCAAACATATTGAACTTGGATTCGTCACCGAAACATACCCTCTTCCAGTCACAGATGCTCCAATCAAGATGCCACCGTGCAAATTGTAATCGGTCCTTACGGTTTTTCCTCGAGAGTAGCGGCTTCTTACTCGGGCGACGTGCAAATAACTTCAAATCATTTAATCTTCTACTTATAGTTTTCGTAGAAACACTGGCAATTCTTTTTGTCTCGATTTCGGCTTTTATTTGTCTTGGGGTTTTCAACGAATCTTTGGACGAAATTACTTTCATTAATCTAACTGATCTAGCATTTAGTTTTCTAGGCCGACCACTTCTCTTAGAGGCTTCCAAGATACCGTTTTGTTTATATATGTTCAATATTGCCCAAACTGCTTTACGCTTCAGCTTCAAATTTTTGGCAATGTCGACTTGACGTTGACCATCTTTGTATAACTCAATGACCTTAGTTTTCACATCGAAAATTTCTGGACCACACGGCATGGTTTTAACTCAATTTATTCCACAATACTTGATGAACACAAACTAATCCTCTTCTGACATGCATTTGTTTATGGAGCAATGAAGTATGAATTCGTTTTCTAAAGGTATTTAGGTAAATATTCATATTTGTCTATATACTTTTGTCCATTACTGTATATTCAATTCTGTTGTAAAAGGGTATGTTCTAATTGAAAATATTAACTTGACCTTGAAATTACGTTGAAGCTAATAGTCAAGGTCATTATCGAAGTCACCATCATTTTGCCCCTTTGAAATTTTATAACTTTTGTTTGAAACTTTTTTCTCTAGAATGTGCAGTTTTCGAAATATGATGAAGAAATTAAAATGGAGCACTGTGTATAATGTATATTGAGATGTGATCACTATGTAATCTTATAGTCATTCGGTCTGAATTTGCATCAATATCAAATACAAAAATTTCCATAAAAACTCTCTGTGCTATATTTTAATAGTCCGATAGCTTATTTGGGCATAGCAGCACGCGTTACTATCTCCACTGATAAGTACGACGTTTTTGAGCATTGTTAGCAGTATATGCATGCCTGGTTTCAGAATTCCAGATCTACCTACATTTCTACTATGGCCCGAAACAATGAGAATGCTTGAAAATGTCAAATAACAAATTTTCGCATTTGTTAGGCGTTTGCTCCATTGCGTCAAAAAATAATCAACTCTGAAAACGTTCAAGAAATTAAGTTTGTTGGAGCTCTTAAATTTTCCTTTTTTACTCATTCCTGCGCCTTTATTGCTGAAAGCATTCAAGGACTTATCTTTGGTTTAGCAGCAGCTTTGTGTCAAAATTGTGTTATAATCTGAGCAGTAACTTGCAAACTACAGGAATAGAGGAGCTTTTTCGTTGAAGTTATTGTAAAGACCCCAGCCATCCAAATACAGAATGTGTTTGATCCACAATGTATTTAAGCACCAACAGCGCTGAAAACATAATCCGACTCTGTACCATTGGGTATGTTGCTGCTTCTAACTAAAGTTGGCACATCGACAGCTCGGATTATATTGGTGCTCTATGTGCTGAGATGTGGTGCCGTGCGTGCTCGTAAAATCCACTCGTCTGACAAATATTATCGAGAGTGACTTTACTGACACTATACTGTGAAATAGTGTAGTTGAAGAAATATACGACTAGATTCCAATAATGCAAGTATTCAGTGAGCGACAGCGCAATATCAATCAATTTCATTCAAACAGCCTCTGACATGACACATTGATAGGATAATATTCATATATATCAAGGAATATTATCATCTTGTATAATTATGAAATTCAAATCAAAGTTTACCTAAAGTAATCTTTTTTCAGTGATGTGCCATGTGATATTCTATCATTTACCTTAACTGTACATAACAAAGGAAAAAGGGGGAAAGACCAGGAAGTCGCTGAGGTACATGTGGAATTGTCTTCTTTGGGTAATGGAGAGGAGAGGGAGGAGTGGTATACACTATCTGGATTAACACCTATTGGAGAGTGGGGCTCCTTGAGGTTAAGAACTAGGTAATTTGTTGTTACTATTAGAAATGAAGAAAGTATTAAAAGGAACCATCACGCATTTGTATAATTTAATAGCACCATTGACCTTTCGCGTAAAACATTGTTTACTTTTCAGATATCTTCATGATTTGGTGATGCCAGCTGAAGAGTACAGTCCTCTGCAGCAGTTACTGTTAGAGCCAGGACTCACTTCTGTCAAAGTTTTAGCCGAGATATGTCACGCTGACAGAGCTCCACTAGCGACTGCTCTGTTAAGAGTCTTCAGAGCCGAGGGAAGAGAAACTGAACTTCTTAGGGAACTGAACAGCGCCGAGGTATATAAACTCAGGCTTCATATTTATATTAAGTTTAAGATATAGGATGGATCTATTGAAAATCACGAGACGTCCTTTCATTTTTTGAAAAGGAAAAATAGCAAGCCCCAGTTAGCCAGCTCAAAACCACCTTTCTTCAGAAATGATCAGGATCCTCTACTACTAGCCAGTTGGTGTAAGAAGTAAAATAAATGTCTTGGTTGCATTTGTTTGTTGATAAAGATAAGCCGACACTTTTGAATGAATCACCCGTTACTTCTACCAACTTTAAATTTTGAAGAAATTGTATATTGATTTTTCTGCTTCAGATACTTCGTGAAACTGAGACATCGACGCTTTTCAGAGCCGCATCTCTAGCAACGACACTGATGGACTTGTATATGAGAGCAGAGTGTGGTGGTTTCTTGCAGGCCGCTGTTCTGGAAACAGTGTTAAGGTTATTGGAAAGTAAACAGAGTGCCGAACTGAATCCTGCGAAAATGGAATCATTAGATGACGCTTGCAGCAATGCCGAGTTTCTTCTCCAGATTCTAGATCAGGTAAATGAAAACAGGACCCCTATTCTTGAAAACGAGGGAATTACTAGTACTGGGCGTTGATTTCTTGTCTATCGGGGAGCTGTATTTCTAAACACCGGTAGGATAGTCTCCGAGTTCTCAAGAGAAAAAATGCATCGTCCATCGTCTAATCTCTAAAAACGAAGTTAACTTTGCAATTAAACGATTAATGATACGAAAAACCTGGGAACATTGATGTATTCACCAACTTCAACAAATGTCCACAGCTGTCAGAATTGGGATCATTCCCCAGAGAGCGTTAGGTTTTACTATTTTATCCCATTCAGTGGAACCGACGTAACCAATTAGTCTAAAGCACCAGCTGCCAACCAACTTCCAGGATCGACTGTAAGAATACTTTAACCTCGCACGGGGGTACCGTGGTAAGTGCCCATGAGGCGACGTGGTGCAATTATAAAGCGTTTGGAGATACCTTATCATACCGGTTTGTTTCACTTGAACGGACAAGGGAACAGTGGCGTAGGTCGGATTGCATTTTCCTCTAACGGTGCTGGTGATTGGTTGGGTCGGCTGCACGGATGCGAGTTTGAATCCCACCGGCGCCCATTTTTCCTGCTCTCACAATGATGGTTTCTAAACATACTTGCTGTTACGGATGCACTCATCCGAAAAATCGTATACAAATTGAATATTAACTTGAAACTTTCTCACGTTTTCCTTTTTGAAGTTTATGGTCATTTTAGGGCTTAGTAAAAAATAACTTTGAGACATTCAGAGTGTGTACCTATGACAATACAAATTTGGTTGTATATCAGTATATCAGAGTCTCGACACTATCTTTTTTCAGGTTGCATTGAGCATATTTATGTCACCAGACGCCTGCCCAAGATCTGTACGATACATCTGTGGTTGCCTTCAGAAGGCAGTGATGGCAAAATGGCCCGATGAACGATTCGTCAGGACGCGAGTTGTCTCAGGATTCATCTTTTTGAGGCTGTTGTGCCCTGCTCTGTTGAATCCGCGTCAATTTGGCCTAGTGAGCGAACAGCCATCGCCTATGGCTACGAGGAGTTTGGTGATGGTGGCCAAATGTTTGCAGAACCTCGCGAATTTGGTCGAGTTTGGAGGAAAGGTCAGTACAAATGATGATTCTTCACTAAGCGTAAGATTGCAGAGCTGCAAGATGTTAGTTATTTTCTGAAAGATAAAAAACCTGGGGCATGTAATCGCGTTAATATGCACTTTCAAAGCCTGCATACCTGCTAAGTTGGATAGAGGGCGTACTTGCTGGTACCACGTGAGAAAGTCTAAGTACCAGTAAAATTCCGCAATTTTAGTATTTGTCTCCAAAATTCTCACATATTTGTCGAATATTGAACTTAGTTAACTAAATTAGTGTGTTGTTGGAAATATAGCAGAACCCCGATTATCAGGAATAATGTGGACCTAAGTGCTTTCGGATAATCGAAATTTCGGATAAACCGGAAATAAATATTTAGACTCATAATGCTTTTATTAAAAAAAGAAAATGTATGTGTTAAGTGAGTATATACTCGTACCTATATAAAGTTACGTAAAAAATAAACATGTGGATACAAACATACATATTTACGAGTATTTTTTAAAAAGGTAGTAATTTTTAACTATACACGTTTAACATTGTTCATATTTTTGGCAACAATAACCCTCCAACGTTTGATAAGTAGCACATCAGCTGCCGTCGCATTTTCTTATTGTTCGACGTAAGTCAACGCCTTTTGTAGAGCTTCTAATCCATCCAAATTGTCACTAGCATCTCTTAAAACTGTCTCATCGCCATTGTTACAAACAGTTTTTATTAGTTCTGTATCAGTTGATTCTTCCACCAATTCATCACCATTAATCCACTCACCAACATCTGCTTTGGTAAGATTTTCACACCCTGCTATTTTTACGACGAGCTCATGTAAATTTTCGTTGTTATTCTCATAGTCTGGCAAGGTTCCATTTCTTGCTTAATTATTTTCGACCAAGATTTTTGTAAAGTATAATTTTTTACTTGGCTCTATGCTTCTGCTATCCAATATGCCACATCCTTGAGGTTAATCTCATTTAAACAAACAACGAGGTTACAACCATTATCAACTTGATCTAAAATTTGCTCTAATAACAAACGTTTGTAATTGCGTTTTAAATTTTCTAAAACTCCTGGATCCTGAATCAGTGACGTTACATTAGGAGGCAAAAACATCACTCGTATTTCTCCACTTTTAAATTGCTCCTCACTTGGGTGGCTCGGATCATTGTCTAATAGCAAAATACATTTTCTCGCGTTCATTCAAATATCGTTCTGTCTTAGGAACAACATGCTTGTAAAACCAGTCCGTAAATAGAGGGGCATCCATCCAGGCATTTTTTTGATTTTTATACCACACTGGAAGACATTATGTAACAAGAAAGGAAATTTGTGTGTACCGGAAGCATTGCTACAAGCAATGATATTCACACGTTCTTTACTGCGTTTGTAACCAGGAACTCCAGATTATTGCTTTGAAGCTAAACTTTTCGTCGGTAAGACTTTATAGGTTAGGCCAGTTTCGTCGCAGTTGTAAACTTGTTCTGAATGTAAACCATACTGCTTCATTAATTCATTAAAATGTTCTCCAAAGTTTAATGCGCCGGAATTATCTGTAGATAACTTTTCTCCGCAAACTTTTAATTCTCGTATACAGTGTCGTTTTTTCCATCTATGCAGTCAACCATCACTGGCTGTAAAGTTATCAGGCGCCTCAATAACTGGCAATTCTCCATTTAAGTTGACTGCCTTTTGCTTTAGAATTGGTCCGGAAATTGGTATACCACGTTCTTGATTCTGTGTAAACTACAGATATAAAGCATCATCCACTTTTTGATATTCTCCCTCTTTCATAGTTTTCCGTGAGGGCCGCGATAATGTCCGAACACTAGACCACTTTTCAATTTTCTCGCGTCGTTTTTTCCATTCTGAAATGGTACTCACGCCCACACCCAAATCACTTGCCACGTTTTTAAGCAAATCACCTCCATCTAAACATCTGATTGCCTCAAGTTTCTGTTCTATGATAATAACAACGTGTTTACGTTTGTTTCTGTGCTGCTCCATCTTAGCCATTATGAACCTGCCTGAAACAAACACACACGCACCCATACCAGTGAATTCCGCAAACGCGCTTGGCAGCGAATCTAATGAACGCAAACTCCGAAAGGGGAACTACAGGCGGCTATTTCGGATCGTGCGCCGATTTCCCGAACAACTTCGGTTAAAACGAAGAAATTATTGTATGGGATCTGTTTCGGATAATCGCGATTCGGATAATCGGGGTCCTACTGTGTGTGAAATTCGCGGTGAAATTGGTTGTTTATGAATGGAATAGAGCTGTGTAGCTTCAAGAATATTCTCATGATTTGAAAACAGAACTCCTGAGGTCGCCAATTTCAGATAATACGTTCAGCAACATACGAACTTTTCAAAAAGCCCCCTTATTTATCTTTTAGCCGAGTCAACTTAGCAAGCTAAAATTCGGGATAACGAAAATGATGTATGAGTACTATATTTTAGCGTAAAAGTGACAGTTGAAGATTTCAAAATGGCGGATGGATGTCATTTTGAAACATTTTCATACAGGATGGGGGATCACTGGACACCTGATTTCAAAAGCTAGTGATTTTATATTTTAGGGTTATAAAATACTCATATAGAGCTTCGAAATAAGGTATCATCAGATGACCCCCCATGATATTTAAAAAAATGTTACACGATGGCGCCCAACATGTGTGTTTCTCCCGAATTTCAACTAACTTAATCCAAAAATAAGTTGGGTGAGCCTTTCTGAAAAGCACTGTATAGGCTCCACTGCGCTCACATTAAAAACAAAAGTTTAAACACATCAATACACAATTGTAAAGAGACTTCAATTTTTGTTCTTACGGTGAGCGCAATGGTGCAACACTTTTATTTTTTTATGTACAGGGTCCGTCAGAAAGAACGCATGTTTTTTTAATGTAGTAGTACAGTCAAAATAAGTATGGGAAACATATTTTATTATTTCAAAATACTCAGAAATACATGCCATTTTTTTAAGTAAAACAAAATTTACGCTCTAAAAACTATGTCGGCCATATGGCGCCCTTGCGCCGAAATGCAGGAATCAAGACTCTCCCGAAATGAGCCCATAGCGTCGACCAGCATTCGTGCAGGAATTTGGGTTACTTCTCTTCTGATTTCCTTCTTCAAATCGACGGGGGTCCAAGGCTTGCTTTGGTAAACTTTTGACTTCAGGTAGCCCTATAAAAAAATCACACGTTGACAGGTCCGGGGAGCGAGGGGGCCATGGAATATCGCCATGACGTGAAATGAGATGTCCTGGGAATTTTTGCCGAAGAAGTTCTATCGAAATGCGAGCTGTGTGAGATGTTGCCCCGTCTTGTTGGAACCACACTGTTCTGAGACGGACACGTCGACGTCCAAGTTTCGGAAAAAAAAAGTTGTTCAGCGTGTGGATATAACGCTCTAAATTCACAGTAGTTGTTTCTCCATCATGCTCAAAAAAATAAGGGTCAATAATCATCGTTGGGCGTACTGCACACCAAACTGTAACTTTCGGAGTATACAGGGGGTGCTCATGCAACTGTCGGGGGTTCACTGGAGACCAATATCGACAATTTTGTTTATTGACGTATCCATGTAAATGAAAATGTGCTTCATCACTCATAAACAACGTCATGTGATTGTTATCCAACTGTTCAATCATGAGCTGTGAAAAATTAACACGTGCATAATTCTCTGGCAACAGTTGTTGACAAACTTGGATTTTGTAAGGATGGAACACAAAATCCTTCTTCAAGAGGCGACGTACAGAAGACGCGTGGATCCCTAGGGAACTGGCACGCAAACGGACGGAACGATTCGGGCTTTGCAGCTTGTCGATTCTCATTCTGTCTACGTTTTCGGGGGTTCTGACAGTACGGTTTCGCACTGGCGTTTTTTTCTCCATCACATTACCTGTTGTGTTAAATGCTCCTACCCATCTCAAAATGGTGTTACGGTCTGGTACTGTCCACGACATGGATCACGAAAGTGAACGCGAAACTCACGTTGCGTTCGAACAACGACTCGCCATTTTGAAAGTACCGACGTACAGTGAACACACGATGCTCAACATTACAAACCATCTTGCCAACTGAAACGGCACTACAAATACTATCCAACACGCCCTGCCCCACCGACACGGGAACAGCCCACTCGATGTAGTACCCATTCGAAAAACATGCGTTCTTTCTGACGGACCTGTATTGTATGGGGTTGTCCAAAACGGACGCAGGAAAGTAAACGCATATTAAAACAAGAAAGATTGATATTCAAATCAAGTTGGGTACTTTATTTTGAAGGTTCATTTATACCATTTATGTATGAAAAATAATATCGCTCAAATGTTCACCACGACTGCATTCACAGACGTCCACGCGATGGTCGAAATTTTCAATGACATTTTGCATCATGGTCGGTTCTATGGCATTTATCTCGGCAATGATGTTGTTTTTGAGTTCTTGGAGGGTGGCTGGTTTGTTGACGTAGACTTTGCTTCTCAAATATCCCCATAAAAAGAAGTCCAAGGGAGTCAAATCGCACGATCTTGGTGGCCATGGCACATTTCCTCCTTCACCGAAGAAGGACTGCAATCGATGGATATTGACGTTGGTTGTGTGGCATGTTGCACCGTCTTGTTGGAAATAAACATCGTCCATATCCATTCCTTCAAGTTGCGGCAAAAAATAGTCCTCTACCATCACGTGATATCGCTCAGAATTGACGGTAACGGCGCCCCCGGCCGCATTTTCGAAAAAGTAAGGTCCGCGGATGCCTTTTGACCACAATGCACACCACACAGTCACTTTTTGAGGATGCATCGGCTGCTCTTGATACTCACGGGGATTTTCGTTCGCCCAGATGCGGCAGTTTTGCTTGTTTATCGTCCCATTCAAAGTGAAATGCGCTTCGTCGCTGAACATGATTTTTGATGAAAAATTGGCATCAATTTGGCGGTGTTCAAGGAGCCAATCTGAGAACGTTCGGCGCGAAAAATGGTCGGCCCGACGCAGCTCTTGCGTCAATTGGATCTTGTAGGCGTGTACATTCAAATCCTTGTGGACAATGCGGAGCAAACTGGTTCTCGAAATGCCCAATTCTTGGGATCGACGCGTTGTTGATTGTTTCGGATCGTCTCTCACGCTCTCCTTCACAACAGCAATATTTTCCGGTGTGCGAACGCTCCTTGGCCGGCCAGAGCCTGGCAGATTTGCCACAGAACCTGTTGCCTCGAATTTACGCACCAGACGACCGATGGTTGTTTTGTTTGGGCGGTTGTTGCGACCGAAATGTTCACGAAGCGCGCGAAACGTGTTTTTATTTTTGTACCATTTTTGTAGTGCTCGTGAATAACTTTAATGCGGTCTGCAATCGAATACGACTCCATAGCGATCAATGGTAAACATTCAACTAACAAAATGACATGTCGGTGACAGAAAACAAAGATGGCATCTAAGTCAAATTGACGTTTACTTTCCTGCGTCCCTATTGGACAACCCTTTATAATAGATGTGAAGTGGAAAAGTATTGCGACTATGCGCTCATATAAAAATACTAGATTAATATTCGAAAATGAGTGAATTTTGGAAAAACATATCAAAATTGTGAATTGTGTGCTCTAAAATAATTAAATTGAAAAATTTCATAAATGCGATCAACGTGAATTTCGAGTTATTTTCAATGTTGAAAACCCCGCTTATAGACCCTTATCCTTTTACTTCTGAAATTTGGAGGGCAAGTTTTACAAGATTCCATTCATGGAAAGCAGTGGAAACAGAATACACTTTTTACTTCCGACGCCACTGGGCGAGGAAGTATTTCGGAAATGAGATACGAAATTTGGATTTTATATGACATATAAATCACGACAAACTATAATACTCAGTTCCGTCAGTCTGTCCGGTAATCCTTGGCCCCTTTATAACTTGGAAAGCTTTGTAGTTTTTGAAAATATGTCCAGTGCTGGCGGAGAAAAATGTCAAAGACGAAAAAAATAAATTTCGCACAAACGTCATTTTTTGACGTTTGAGCAATTTGACGTTTCAGATGATACTGATCATTTTTGAAAAAATGTTAAGGGGTAAAAAATGAGGGGGCGGGGGAAGATATATCTCATTTTTTGATGTCAGTATAATTATACGCTCCCAACTCCGGTAATTCTACGCACCTATTAGTCAGATTTCATACATCGTAGCTTTCCCCATATATGTGTTCGATATACTGTCTGAGCATAACGATATGCGTGGTTGTCCTGCTCTTACTTCTTATAGGAAAATACAACGTGCCAGATGGACGGTAACTTGATCCGTTTAATTTCTCTATTATACATGTTCGTAACTATTTGTTTTCTCTTGGGGTTTAACTTGCCCTGAACTGATGACGGCGTTGGGTGGGAAGTGCAGAGTCAATCTAATTGGCCCCCTTTTTTTTTCGGTAACGTATAAAATCCAGCGCCTTTTTGCGTTATAATTCTAGTACAACATTTGTTAATTTCTGCGTAAGTGTTAACCAGTTGAGAAAATTTTCATATACAGGAGCCGTACATGGAGGTAGTCAACCCTTTCATATTGAAAAATAAAGAACGGATGGTGGTGTTTTTGGATCAATTATCAATGGTAAATGATCCAGGGGAACCCAGAATCACCTCGAAACCAGACACTGCCAAGGAACTAGCTACGTTACATCACATTTGCGTCGCTCATTTAACAGAACTACAAGCAGTAGCGAAGGTGAGGCATTTTTATTCTATAATCATGGACATACTTCTGAGAAATGTTCTATGTTAGTTCAGAAAATTCGTCTTTTTCCAACCCACAATGTACCCCTTTTGAAATAGTTGAAAATAATGTAATTTTGTAATTTTCAGGTGAACACTAACATTAAAACGTTAGTCACCGTCACAGAAATGCTGGCGAAACATAAGCAGAAATATCTGGAGATGATCAGATAGTAAATCTGAACATCCACTACTTTTATTTTGTGATCCGTACGTTTTGTTTGAAAAGCGCGTTTATGTACAGGGTATTTTTTCTCTGAAGTAGCGTGCATCATACGTAAAGCGTGAGGTAATACATATAGCGACAAAATATGTCACTTATCGAGAATATTTCTTTTTGGCAAAAATGCTTAACTCTAAAATTCAAGATAGTGGACCAAATTTAAATAACGCTAATCAGGAACTCTGATTTAAGTTTTCTTTATACAGGGTGTTCTCAAAGTTAGGACTGCCCTTTACAGAGCGTATAGCTCAGGCAATAATAGGCAAGTTTTCCTAATAACACATATACCAAAGCCTTAGGATAAGTGAGATATTAAGTTCTGCATTACTCTGAATAAGCCATTCTGACCCTGCCTCCTACAGCAATAACGTATTTATCGATTTAATGTTAGTTTACTGTGAATGTCTTCAAGATACTATTGATAATCCGCGAATGTATTAGGGTATTTCAAACGTCGTCATCGTCCTTGATATTTCCATCAGCGCTGCGAAGGTTTGTTTATAGCGTGCAAAAGCCGTCTCGGCGGACACAGTATAGAAGACGTAGACGTCCCTAAATTGGAAAGAAGTAAACAAACTCGTGTTTTTGAATCAAACAGCGACAACTTCAAGCAGTAATTACAAATGAAGCATGTGACACAGGGTAGTACCTTAAATGCAATACCAAATAAATAAAGAGTATTTTTTCAATTTCTTTTTACGGTTTCGTTGCTGTTTTAGCGCAAATTAACTTTGTTATTTCAAAGGAAGTCGATTCTGAAAAGGACAATCCCGACTTTCGGGATAATGTTCTAACAATACTATATCACATACCTAGTTTCAGAAGTGAGCGCCGTAGGATATAATGTGCGAGACCAATAATGGCCTTCTCAAGCGATGTGTGTATAGATTTTTTCACTGCTAATACTATCAAAAAGTATTCGATTTTGCATCAACTACGTTACTCAAAATTACTTATTTCTCAATCATTCTAAAATGTTGCGAAACAAAAGTTCAGTAATCCCCCTCGCTTGCCTGGCACCAACAAAACCACATTTGTTTAAAATCCCTTTATTGATCGACGTGTTGGATCCAACGGTGACTATCTTTAGGTTCTCAAAAGTGTCGAACTTGACCATTGGGACCGACACGTCGTTCCATATACCAGGAGAAACTACGTGAATGCTGTTCGTGCTGTAAAAACAACCGTGGTTGACTTGATGTATGACCAGTGGTACTTTGACGTGGTTGCCATGTTGGGGGATTTTTCCACAAATTCAGGGGATTTTCACTTAAGGAATTTTTTTTGGGATGTAATGCTCTGAAGGATATCACACGTTTCGCGGACAGAGAGCATCCTCTCGCTCTTTGAACCAAACTTACCCCTTTCCATTAGTTAACTGTGATTTAGGGGATTTTTTTAGAAAAGGAACAATTCTATAGGATTTTTGTGCTTGTTCTGGGGAAATTCTATCCGGCCCATCTGTAAACGCTGTGCTGTGAGAGATCCGCCTTATGAACACTTTCAACATGACTTTTATTAATGATAAATAATAGTAAAATAGATTGCAAATTACAAATTTGTTCAACCGTGTAAGGGTTCCTGCACTTGATGAGCCCAAATTCGATCCTGAGCTTTTCGGATACCAAAATGTCGTGGGGTGGGTTCTTTAATAGCACACGGTTAAAGCACTTTATTTTCACGCTGACTACAAATATTGGCCCGACAATGCGGTTCGGATGGGTTAGCAGACGCACCCGCAACCTGCTTCCGTTAACTATCCAGGGCCGACTGTCCCTTCCCCCGCGTTGATCACATACACTTCTTCGTCCGGTACGCACTCACTACCTGATCACTCTCCAGTGAGGTGTTTTCTTTATTATTCAAAACCACTTCAACCGGTTCTCCTGGTATATAGGCTCCATGCGTCGTTAAGAAAAAATATGTTTAAAGGTTATGTGGTTTTGATTCCACCAGACACCATGGTGGATTATCGACATGAAAGCCAAAGGATAATTTTCAGATGTAACATAAAGTTCAGTTAAGAAGCTGACACAATGAAACTGGTAGGATACAATATCAATCCACATTATTACTGATTTTATTATTTGTTTTTTTACATTGGGGGAGAAATCCTACTTCTCTATAAGATATTGCAGTCAGTAATGGTAATTTATCGGGTTAATAGTGAAAAAATATATCTTTTCGCTACTTTAGGTTGCCTACATCAGCTGTTTCCAATCAGTTACAAAGAGGGCTTTGAAAAATGTGTTTTATCCCGTTTGAAGTAAATAACCTCACCCTTTACGTATATTTTCGTTTATTATACTTTCTAATCGAGTCTCAATGAGAAACACATATACTCAGGCAAAAAAGTCGCGATGTATGTAGGGCGAATCAAAAAGTAATTGCAGAAAAATTGAAATTTTTAGACTGTATAATTTTCGTTTTTATAAGACTGTCAAAATGAATATGATCTAAGTCAGTAAATGAGTAGGATGCCTAAGTAGAAAATGTAGGTGAACGCTTCTATTTCTTCAGTTTCCATATTGTTTTTGATGTTTTTGAGTATGAGTGGTTTAAATAGTGACGTGGAAGTTATCGCAATTTTGCCGTTTATTAACCGACATGCTGGGAAAAATCTACAATAGTCAAGGAGAAGATGGATAGTTTTAAGGGAAAAAATCATGCGGCGTTAAATGTCTCTAAAAATATTTTTCTAAACGCTTGTATATAACTATATTAAGAAATAAAGTTTTGTTAAAACTTTTTCTCAAATTAAAGACAGCGGGAGTCTTTCGTGGAAGATTCATACCATACCCAATTCACACGGTTATTTGAGGTACAATATGCACTTTCGAAATATAACTTCAAGTTTATTTTCTCGATATTGTCGAGCTTTGAATAAAATTGCGATAGTTTCCATTTCATCCTATTATTTCTGTTTATTCAAAGAACGTTGGATGTTTTGAACGATGAGACTATGGATATGAATATACCTTTAAGCTTAAATTAGAATATTATTTGCCATAACTCGTTCCAAGGCCTTTTAGAATCTCGCATTTTATTTACTTTTCATTTCACGTGCACTTTTACTCTTATTTTATATTTATTTGAATAAATAAAATGGAAAATTATGATTAATGTTGGGCATTATCTATCGTATATTTTCAAAATAAGGAAATGTGGAGCTTATGTCAAAGTACCTCAAAAAGTAGGAAAAGTGAAATGGCCATCAGAAACCAAAGATATTTAAAGTTTGCAAAAAATTTTCTACATTGAAATTCATTATTCATTGCTGTTCCCACCTTATATATTTCTAATACATGTTCATCTATCTTCATCGGTGACATATACAAGGTGTCCCATAAATAACACTGCAGAGTGACACAAGAGGTAGATTGGCTTCAGATCACTCAGATAAAACCAACATACTTTAGTAAAAGTTTTCTAATTTTCGAGATATTGCCACTTTGAAGTTTTTACAAAAAATCTACTTTTTGTTCCCTTTTTGCCTGTTATGGCTATAAAGAACTTCTATCTTATTTTTTTTTTCCTGGCCGAGCATTCATAGTAGGTTGAGACAACCGAGTATTCATTTCATTGAAAGCTAGCACGGTATGCTAAAAAAAAGATTACATTTTTTATCAATGTGAAAACCTTTACTAAAGTTTGACTAACTACTGTGAAAAATACATGTACCAGACCGAATCAGCACAGTATCTTAAAAAGGAGCCTTTTAAAATATTATTTTTTTATTTGTAGTATTTCGCAAGTATTACGACTTCTATGACAAAACTTGGAATGATTCAGTTTTTAGTAAAAAGACCCTACAAATGTTATACTATTTTTGAAAGAACATTAAATAGCTAGCTTTTATGGTCATTTGCCGATTCAGGTACATTTTTTCACAGTAATTAGTCAAACTTTAGCAAAGGTTTTCGCATTGAAACCAAATGTAATAATTTAGTTTTTTAAACATACCGTGCTAGATTGAATGAAATGAATACTCGGTTGTCTCAACCTACTATGAATAGTCGGCCAGGAAAAAAAAATCATAAGTTAGAAGTTCTTTATAGCCATAACAGACAAAAAGGGAACAAAAAGTAGATTTTTTGAAAAAACTTAAAAGTGGTAATATCTATAAAACTTTTATTAAGGTCATATTGATTTTATCTGATTGATCTGAAGCCAATCTACCTTCCGTGTCACTCTGGCGTGTTATTTCTGGATCTATATTGCCATTCATTTTAACGCTTAAACTGTTTTTGTCTCGGTGGCCGTGGATAAAAGGCGGGTTGAAGCTAACAGTTGGGTAAATCTAATTTCTTGGTCATTTCACAGTATTTTTATATAACCAGATGCAGGGATGCTCCATCTTTCCACTTTTGCGAATATGCTCGTATTTTATGCTTTGGCATATTGTTGCATGTGAGCAACAATGCGTCGTATTTACTTCATATATTTATGAATATTTAATCACTTAAAAATATTTTGCATTTATCCAAAACACTTTTTAATCACTATTCCTTGTATCGCACAATTTATTGTGAATTGAACAATATTTTTAGTACCGACATGTTTGCTTTTATACTTTTACCGGTGCCTAAGCTTTCACAGAACCACAATCTATTCAATATAATGCCAATCAAGAAACAGGTGCACAACCCTTCAGTGTGAATAGTTTAGTACCTCACCTGCTTTATCTGGAGATAATGGACGCATTCAGAAAACGAGCCAATGGGCACAAGAGGCACTTGTCCATGGGTCTGGCTTGATGGGGGAGCGGCAAAATCAAATGAAATATCCAAAAATGCTTGTTAAATTTTCACAATCGGCAAAGTAGGTCCAAAGATTATCTGTGCCAAGGGGCCTGTATGGCTTAAGACAGCCCTGGAAAGAAGTGCTATAGCTCTGTAATCAGCAGCTATTTGAATGGACACTGACATTAAGCACTTCAACACTAACATTCCATAAATGGACTCAATGTCAACTATATTTTGAACTACTGGTAGTTTGCATTCAAATGGCCCAATACGAGTTCGAGTATGTTCACTTTTTCACTGTAGCAGACCCTATTTAGTAATATTTGGTACAGATTTATAAAAATCTTGTGAAATATTTTTTTTAATTAAGTTATTGACTTTATATTTCCTATTAATATATTTTTCATTCGTCCGACCACAGACGGCCATCCATGGACATCAATCAGTCTTGTGGTACACATCACTATGGTCTAAGCTTGGTCTCAGTTAGAGCAATGAATGAAAGCTGTGCATCCTCTAACTGAAAATATTTTTCTGGTTAAAATATCATTGCTATTTAAAGAAACATCTAATAACCTAGCTTGAACATTTAGAAGTTCCAGATAAGTATTAATTAAATCTTTTTTTCATATTATCTTGAATGGATTGTATCTTATCTCACTATAGAACTATTATTGGCATCTTAAACCAATAGAATGCATAGAACTGTTTTGTAATGTTTTTTAGTAGGTAGCATGGATTTGATATAGATTATGTGTGAAACTTTTTGTTGAAAGGTTATATAGCAACATGAAGTATATGCTACTTACATTGTTTATTAAATTTTCGTGTTGTAGATTTTTAAATATATTATCTCAAATATAGATCACTGTATACTATTCCTTCATATGTACTTTTGTATTAAAATTTATTCAATTATTTCCCAGTTTTTCATTGTTTATCTTACATCAAAGATAGCATTGTTATCGAACTATCTGTGTAATGTATTTCTATCATCACATAGTTTCAGTAACTAAAAAATCCCCATCAGACAAATTGCAAGTTTTCACAGTTGTTGAACACATTCTTTGAGATCAGACATAATAACTTATTCATAAAGCTGAAACTCCTGCTTGTAAAATCTTTGTCTGTAATATTGACAAATTACTCCATACAGATCCATATGGATCAAAAATATGTTTTTTCACAAAATTGTATAAGTAACCTCATTTAGGTATGGTAGTGGTCAAAAGTTTGGAAACAAATATTAACATTATTATGAACTATTTCATATTCCTAAATTAAAATTGTGAAGGAACCGATAATATAAATATTAAAGTTTACCTATGGCTGCCACACTGATCTTATACTTTTATACTTATCAATATTCAAATTCACTGAGAATAACAATACCACAGCTTTTGTAACCACAAAAGTATGGAAACATTTCGTTCTGCGATACTCTGATATTGTGTGCGGTAAATATTAGCATCGTGAGACTGGCCAAAGTAAAAGAATTAAAAGATTTGAGAGAAAAAGTAATTGAATTAATTAGAAGTGGTGTCAAAAACTTTGACATTTCTCAAAGATTAAAAATGAACAAAGGGTCGATTTCGGAAAATATTAGTAAATATCAAGAATACGGATCAACAGCAACGCGGCCCAGGTGCGGAAGACCAAAAAAACCGATTATGATTTTGATCGCTACATTAAACGTTTGTCCCATGAAGATCCTCGAATGCCAGCCACACGTATTTTCAAAAGAATCGTAGAAGAGGGTGCCGAGAATCTTTCTGTCAGAACAGTGCAGAGACTCTTGGTGGATTTTGGGCTTTTTGGTAGGCGTCCAGAGCAAAAGCCTCTCATTTAAAAAAAATCGTATAGCTTGGCTTGAATTTGCTAAAACTCATCTAACTTGGACAGAATAACAATGGAATACAGTTATATGGAGTGATGAAAGCAAATTTAACTTGGTTGGATCTGAAGGTATATGTGAGATGTCTATTACGAAAAAGATTCGACAAAAACTAACAGTTAAGCATGGTGGTGGCAACATCATGGTTTGGGGCTGTTTGTCTAGTTCTGGAATGGGTCCAATTGTTGAAATTGTTGGGAAAATGGATCAAAAACTTTACAAAGATATTCTTAGTGACCGCTCCCTTTTGCTGAAGAAGAAATGCCTCCACAATGGACAATCCAGCAAGATAATGACCCCAAGCATATCTCAAAATTTGTGATTAAGACTAAAAACTGTTCATGTTCTTACATGGCCTTCTCAATCGCCGGACCTAAACCCTATAGAACATATCTGGCATGAAAAGACAATTGACAAGAAAAGCTTTTAAAAATAGTAATGATTTATTTGATTATGTAAAAAATATTTGGCAAAATATCCCAACAGATGTCTGTAAAAAATTGGTGTCTTCTATGAGCAGCAGATGTCAGATAGTGTTGAATGCTAAAGGCTATGCTACCAAATATTAGCTAAAACCTATTTTTAAAATCTTTTTGTAGAGTTATTGTATTTAATTTTGTATTAAAAAATATGTTTCCATACTTTTGATGTCTCATTTTTGGTCATAAAATCATATGAAGGTATTTTAATGTTAGCCTGTAGTACCACAGCAAACACAAATTGTCATTTGTATCCTCAAGACTGTAAGCAAACTATATGAGAAAAAACAGTCAATAATAGAGAATAAAAAATTAGCGTACTTTAAAAATTACTAAGAATGTTTCCAAACTTTTGTCCGCTACTGTATGTATAATTAGAAATCAATCTTAAGGTGTCTTATTATTGCTGTTCTAAAGGAGTAGCTCAATATCCTCCTAGTGGCTTCCATATATGCTCCAATTATGGAGCAAAATTACTACAGGCCTTGAGCTATTGACAGCAAACAGAGGATCATGATTATAAAGACCCATTTTTTCTGCATTAGGAGCACAGAGTAGTTGCTACAACTTTTGGTGTAGAAGGGGCACAGTTCTTTAAAAACCATGAATACAGTTCAAATGAAACCTTCTCATACAAAACTTGATATTTATTTAACAAATAGAATGGATACAGCCATGATTATACAAAAAACAGAAACCCAAGGTGATTTTCTCTCTCCTATCCTTGCACACTTCCAGAAAGTCCCCAAAAACCTGATAAAAACAAAAATTCATTTAGAAGATATACGTCATTAATGAATTTTGTACATACCCCGCTCTCCTCTTGATAATACTAGGAAAAAGGCCTTTCAAATATGTGCAGGTGCATATTAACAGTAGTATGACTATGAGTAAACTTTGGAAATTGAATATGGCAGACTGAAAAATAAGAGTTATATATCAGACAACTATTTTATTTCGATTACACCATAATTTACCATAACTTATAATTGGATACAGCAAATAAAGGAACTATAATAAAATCAAATAATCAAACTCATTTTCAGTTTATGAATGTGACATTAACCTCCAAGTTTGTTTTGACAACTTGGCAATGGCAATTGGCGTGTAGGGATGGCTGCGCTTTTATGAACTGCTACTTTGTCACTATTACTTGTGTCAGTGTTACATAGCGATTCGCTCGAGTATGCAGTGATTCCCCGAAAAAATATAGGTCACCACCCACCTATAAGAGCTTCTATAATCCAGAATAACATATTTTTTTGAGTTTTTCCTATTTTAATTTTGAGTAGGAACGTTATTGTGCCAATAGGAAAAATGTGATTGATGATTTAAAAAGGATTAGCTGCTTATTTGTAAAACTACAGATACTTCTGTTCAAGCTACATATTTGAAGGCGCATTTACTTAAATTTATGATTCTATGGACTTTCATAATCTTTAATAGATAGTTAGATATGGTACTAAAAAATCATCGGTACTATATCCGCTCAACTACGAGATGTCCGGCATGAACACAGGAATTCTGTCTTACGTGAATTTTGAGTTCAGTTGCTTAGTAGTCGTTGATCAAGTGTGATGGAAAGAATTATAAAAAACATTGTTACTGGAGAGCATTCTTGAAATCAGGAATGCGAAGAAGACGTAGGATTAAAGGGCAAAGGATATTTTCTATTTAGAAAGAAACAGGGTCGGCGAATTTCATCGTCTATACGAAAAAGGATCCCTATTTGTTTTACAGGTATACCCGAATGCTACCAAGTACATCTGACTATATTTTAAGCGCAATAAAGCCAAAAATTAGGTACACCGCAACATATTTTCAGAAGCTTACATCAACAAAAGAAATACATAGACACTTTGAGGTAAGTTTCATTTAGTCTATGTATATTTTAACAAACTGAACAAGTTATTTTAGAAACATGTAATACAAGAAAAAGCATCGGATTATTTTTGATAAAAATGAACCCAAAACATGAGAATCCACTTTAATCTTTTATCATTTTTGACAAATTTGAAAATTCAGTGCTTCCTTGTTTTTTACACAGAAGCAGCCGTGCAGGCAGAAGCCTAAATGCCACGGCCTTGATGATGTATAGTGTGAGGAGGTCATACGGAAAAAGCTTCTTGGCCCAAAGCAAATAGTCTGGCTGTTTCTCTGTAGCTGCCGCTATTGATGAGATGCGTTCGTGTTTTGGAAGCATTAACCTGTGCAAGATTGTTGCGTCCAAAAGCAGTGATAACCTCCAGGTCTCTCGTCAGACAGGAAGTCGCTGCTAGTCCTCTTTTTTCCAGCTCACCAGCAAATATCGGCTTGTCACCTCACAACACTAACAGAAACCAGAGCTATAGGCCTGTAGTGTGGTAAGGGTCGGTCTTAAATCCGTTTTTGGGATGGGCTGGACAGAAGCAAATTTCCAGTTCTCTGGAAAAGGTGTTGGATTCGTAAGACATCTGGAAGAGACGCAAAAGAACTCGAGCAAGCTCCGCTGCACATCTCTTCAATACAACGGCAGGAATCAAGTCCGGCCCAGAAGCATTGTTGATGTCGAGCGACAAGTCTTACGGTCTTATACCTGAATGCTACTTCCCGCATATTGAATTGACGGCCGTCGGTCGTTGAGAATGTCTATGGTGGAGTTGGGCAAAGATCTTGGCAAACACTTAGCGCTTTAGCCTTTGAGTCTGTTATACTAAGTGACATATAAATCCGAACACCAAGTTTAAATGGTTTTATTTTAATAAAAGTTGGTGAATGTATTTATCTTACTGTAAATAACAAGTGAAAAAATTTTCAGCCTTATCAGTTGGACATTCCGGTTTTTATACTGCTTTTTTTTAATTCACTAACGCTCTAAAAATGAATATTTCAGCCGCAGTAAAGAATCAACGTTGGCGCATTTTGGCTCTTGACATCCTTTACGATCGGTTACGATGCCTAGAGTACGGAGACCTGTACGATTTCGTCAACTTAGTGAGTTTGATAGGAGCCGTATAGTGGGACTTCAGGAAGCTGGACTTTCTTTTCGGGCAATTGCAGTTAGAGTGCAAAGAAGTGTAGACACTGTGGTTAGGTGTTGTCAGGCATGGCTTCGAGAAGGCCGTACGCAAAGAGCAAGGGGCACTGGACGCCGCCGTAGAACAACAGACCGTGAAGATCGCCGCCTCAGATTATTGGCCTTAAGGGACCGTTTCTCCACTACCAGGTCCACTGCAAATGAATGGTTGGCAGAACACGGAAGACCTATTGGCATGCGAAATGTTTACCGACGAATGAGAAGTTTTGGCTTGTTTTCATATAGGCCACACTGGGTCCTCCCTTTAACTCGAGAACACCGACGTAATCGCCTTGAGTGGTGCAGACAACGGTCACTCTGGGATCAGGAATGGAACAGTGTTGTCTTTAGTGACGAGTCTCGATTTTATTTAGGCATGCACGATGGTCGTGCCAAGGTTAGAAGGCGACGTGGTGAAAGGAGGAATCCACAGTTTTTTGTTGAAAGACATGTTCATCACACTGTTGGAGTTATGGTTTGGGGTGCTATAGCTTATGGTTCCAGGTCACCTTTAATCTTCATCAGAGGTAACATGAACGCGCAGCGTTATATCCACGAAGTTCTAGAACCCCATCTTTTAGCCTATCTTGACACCCTGGCAGATCCAACTTTCCAACAAGATAATGCTCGACCACATGTTGCAAGAGTCACAATAGACTTCTTTCAACATAATGATGTCACATTGTTACCATGGCCACCAAGATCTCCCGACTTATCCCCAATTGAGCACGTGTGGGATATGATGGGTAGGAGATTGCTCAATTTGCAACGTCCTCCTCAGACTCTAGAAGCACTTCGAGAGGAGTTGGTGGTTGCCTGGAATGAGATACCACAGGAGGACATTGACCACCTGATCAGAAGCATACCTAGGCGCGTTGGAGAATGCGTAGCACATCAGGGTGCATCCACACATTATTAAAGGTCAAAGGGCTTTAAAGCAGTGCAATCATTTTGAAATTGTTATAATTTACTTATTATGCTTCATTAAGTACTTATAAAAAATTTTATTAAAATAAAAGCATTTAAACTGGGTGTTCGGATTTATATGTCACTTAGTATATTATCGTTCCATCCTGGCACATCTCTCTGTTGCTTGAGCTCAACTGCAAGCCGTGCGATCAGGGCGGTGAATATCAAATCTTTATTAAATAGGCAATTAATCATTTTCGAAACAATGCTTAAAAAAAAAGGCGTCAAGTAGATGGACTCAATTTCCCATGCACGCATACAGTATATAGGTATATGAAATTGAAACTCCTTGTAACAAAAGCTCTCTGATGCCTCTATAATAACCCATGCGAAGGGTTGTGGACATTTTCGACTAGTTGGCAGATTTTGATGTCTGTCTGTTAGAGCTTATCTATTCTCAGAAGCTTAAAAAAATACGGAGTATAGTAAAGTTCTTGGACTATCTGCTATCTTATAGAGACTGACAAGGCAACTTCATGAGTGATGTCCGCGTCATACTGCGTCAAAACAATGACAACGTCAAAATCCTCAGTTTTCACCGTACTAAAAGATAAAAGTATATCTTTTAGGGGTTTTTGCTAAAAAAATGTAGGTACTTCTTTCCGATGCAACGAAAGCCTGGACTACCATCAGGTATGTTTAATTATAGCAAAACTATAAACATCTCAATACACCATAGATTAATACTTACAAAAACCAACATATCGTAGTAGATTTGTCTCGGCACATCGCTTCTCAAGAAGTTACATATTCAGTTGCATGAAGCTTACTGAAAAAGGTAATGCTCTAGAACAAAACCTCGGTCGCAAAATCTTGGATTCATTATTGACTTCTAGCAACTTTCTTCGGGTAGCGTATATGAGAGGCTATGGAAAAAATTATTTACTTTCTTCATTTTGAAGACTTTTATCGCAGAAACACTTTGAAAGCAGAAGATCTACTGGAAGTTCCAGTACATCAAATACATCCGTGATCTCAAAAATCAAAACTATCGCCGAAGTTGTGTATGAGAACGTGATATAAACGACTATTCGTTATAACGTGTTTTCCAATATTACTTCTACATATCCCAACATATTTCCTAGTAAAGGCGTATCATCAGGCGTCGGAGGTGCTTCGTTAGCGGAACAAGAAAGGCCATCAAATCGCTCAGCAATCGCAAAAGACTTCGTATGGATCCGAGTATCATTGGAGAATCTTTTGCATAACGTGACGGATTGTGAATCTCCGCTCAACAACCAGCTGCCAGAACATGAGACCGTTTTGAGGGTCTATGATCTCGAAAAGGACCATTCTCTCAAGTCTGACGTAGCGGTAAGGAAAATATTTGTCATGTACCTACAGCTTAGTAATTTTAGAAAGGTCGCGCTTTTAACGTCTGTTTATCAGGCAAATGGGATTCTTGTAGTTTCAGATTTAGACCAGAATACCTGGAATTCCAGAAAAGAATTGTACAGGCGGATTTTACAATATAGAAGTCGACGTCAAGTCAACGGGGGATAGGCCAAGTCATAATAGTTATCAGACAAATATAAAAAAAATCTAAGTCGTGTACTTATCAAATTATATGCTTTAAAAATCGAAAAAATCTACACATTGTGATGATCTTTTAGTTACCATTACTACAAATTTCTATTTTTTCTTAGACGGAGTGACGGATGGTGCTATCCTACGTAGTAACAGCAAACAGATAGTAACGTCACTTTTATTAATTCGTGAATATATTTTCATAAAGTTCACAATAAATTTCCAAACTGCGTTCGTCCAGCAGCAATGCAAACTTGACATCTGAAAAATGTTCGGGTATCAGGCGAATCTTCTGTTATTAATAAATTCAGCTCAGCTACAGGCTCACGTCTTCCAATAAACCTGGTAAATGATTTTGTAAAAATCAAATGCGGATTTTCTACAAGCCATTCGCGTAAGTTGTGCAGGTTACACTCGCTGTACATGGTATGGGTTGAGCTTGTTCTTTTGCAAGATAAGGTGGGCAGTACTTTTGAGCCCTCCCGTGCTTGCTCCTATTTGATGTAGGTACTGAAGTATTCGAGTCTTCTTCGACTGCTTGTAGTACAACGTTCCCGTGAGGAAAGGAAATACTTCCTTCAACATGTGCTGTATTTGGGAATGACGAGCAGAATTTGTGTACCTCTCACAATAAAGCTTAGATGCAGCACTAGCATTGCATCTACATTCCCCGTAAATGAGGTGCATGTTGGCCTATTGGTGTACGGTGTACAAAGACATAGTAGTGGTACTACACAATTATGAATTAATACGCTCTGACGGACAATGATGAATCGTGAAAAAAGTGGCGTTACTATATATCTTGCTGTCACTACACGGAACCACACCGTCCATCACTCCGTTTAAGAAAAAACTGAAATTTATGGTAATGGGAATTAAAGAATCATCACAGGATGTAGATTTTTTTTAAAGTCTACAATTTGAAAAGTACACGACTTAGATTTTTCTATATTTTTCTGAACTATGATGAGTTGTCCTAACCCCCGATTCCCAGTTTGACGTCGACTTCTGCGTCTTTTCTTGCGGGTAAATAATAAGGTTTTACATCTAGATATACAAAAAATTTCCCTTCTTATCTATCAAAGTTGAAAATTCGGTAAAAAACTGGGAAAATAGGCAGGTAGGGAGAGAATAACAGTTGCGGAGATAAAAGATGTCAAAGTTGAGTGTTTTTTTGACAGTTTGTCCAATATCTCCACAATTTGAAAATTAAAATCCTGTAATATGCTATATTAATTGCTTCGTTTGAAAGGGCCTATCCAAATCTGAAATAAGATGTAGGACACTCCATTTAAAAAATCTATTTTTGGGTCACCACGTAGTTATCCACCACTCTGTAGATGGATCCAAGTCAGGAGCATACTGTTGACAATTTTTTAATACAATGCAACCCACAACAGAAGCTCACTCTGTGTGCATAAGGTAGCATTTTGAATCAAACCATTTTTACTGTTACATAGTTCATAAAAAAGTCGCCCTGCGTTGTTATTGTATGATTCAACCATTTTTTCTCTTATTATTTTGCAGTCTGGAGCATCACCCTGTCCACTGACATTATTGTTTCCAGATGTGAGCGAAGATGAAGTAACGGGAATGCTTAAACGACAAGAAGAAACTGTGAATGTCACTAAAATGCTCACTGGCAAAAGACCAGACTTGAGATATCTGAAACCGAGTCTTAAATTGAACGTTCTTGGAGAAATCAAGGTGAGTTGTGGTCAACAAAAAGAAAAACAGTATATTTTGCTATACTTATCAGTGCTTTTATACAGGGTGTCAGGAACGTCGATACCAACCTTTGAAGGGGTTATAGTACACCCCATTTGGAACACAACATGCCACATATATTTTATTACAAACTCTAATGGTTTTTGAGTTACGCGCAGTTTTGTGAAATCCCTGAAACCATCGCTTGTTCAATATAATGAACCAAATTTGTCTGACGGCTCCAGTATGCGCCTTCGAGAGAAGCGCGAGAAGTGTGTATCAACACATGTTAGAAAGAGATAAAGTAACAATGGTGACGCAGGTCGTGCAATCTACCGCATTGCCAATATGTTACACCAGAAAATGTTCGTACAGGATGCTACCATAGATTAGGTTACTTTCAAACCCAAGAAGGAAGTCTGTTCGAACATTTAAAATAATATTTTATTTCCATTTTGATTAGATTTATTTCAATTATGAAGCGACTTAGTGTTTTAATTCATTTGAGAATTACCTTCGATTTCCACCGATGATGAAATCAACACATCCTGGGTTATTGTTACATTTTGTGACAACGAGCAGTTGGCAAATGTAACAGATACCATTACGCAATGCAAATTATCGCTACCTGCGTGTACGCAGGTGAAAACTATTTCGAAGCAGTACGACACACCCCTACGAGCGCTAGATGGGTACTGACCAAAATCGTCTATGATCATCTAGATGGAAACCTTGCCTTGGAATGTTCGAGATATGATGTTGCCAAGCGAATCAATGATGCAACGTTGCAGAATTTGTGGCGATCCTGACCTTTTATTTCGTCCTAAAATGAAGTGCCGTTAGGACCGATCCGAATTCGATCCTAAACAGATTTGACACAAATCACAAATGTATACGCTCATAATAAAACCATGATTTGGGCATAGAACTCACGCAACATGCATCTTAATTCAAGGAACTGGTACAACATATTGGCAACGCGACAGATTGCTGCTTCAGCACTACTAGGCAACGCGGTGATGAGCTTCGCTATCGAGCCGGCTTCTGTCTATTTCTAACATAAGTGTCTATATTTACTTCGTACACATTGATCTCAAGCCTTCAGACAAATTTGGTTCTCAGTATATATGAGTTGCCTCTAAGATTTGTATTGGGTATACTAATTTTTTTTATATCAAATTGGCGGTTATTAAACGCAAACTTCTACTTTCTGCGTTGCAGTTCAAATGGCTTGATGGATTTTGACATTTAATGTGTTCGTCTTGATATCGGAACTAAATCTTGATTTTAGACTGTGGTCGGGTTGTTTGTACTTTTCAAAAATGTACTCGTTCCAAAATACCTGGCTAGTATATGAATTGAATATGTTTGCATATAGAAAACGCTATCACCAGTGGTAGTGCGAACAGCATCGGAAGAATCATACGAGAAGGGAAAAAGAAGACGTAGAAGTAGCAGCAAAAAAAGACGAAGCACACTTATCTCAAATAATACGAGTGGTGCTTCCTTGGAGTCGAATGACAGTTCAATAAACGTCAAGTTCACTACATCTTCCGTATCACAAGTTAGCTGCGTGCCACCACAGTGAGTTATCTTTTACGTTTCGTGAATTTACGAGGGCGGGTCGATAAGTCCGTGACTTTCTAAATTTATCACAGATTTATTGAAAAAAAATCATTTAATTTTTGAACATAACGTTCTTTGAGCTCTATCACTTCGCCCAACGTTTCTCCAATTTATTATGCGGTTTTTCTAAGATGTTTATTACTCTAAAATATGTCATTTCTAGTTATCTGTTATAGTTTTGACCACAAACATTATTATTATTATTATTATTATTTATCCCTTCCAAAAAATTACATTTGTCGAGGTTCTCAAAATAGGTATTTGTGGAATGAATTAATCGTTGGACTCAAATATCTTCCCGCCAAGTCATTTCTTTAGGTTTAGAAACAAAGAGCTAAATCCGGAGAATAATGCGGATGAAGAATGCAATTTCGCCATGAAGACTACACATGTGTGCACCTTTGCATTATCTTGGTGGAAAAGAGATTTTTTCTGGACCAAATGTGGCCGTGTTTTCTCCAAATCGTCGTTGAATCGGTCGAAGAAGTTAGCATAACATTCGCCAATGATTGTTCTTCCCTTTTGAAGGTAATTAATATATTAATATACGATACATATCAAAACACGGTCGCCATAACTTTATTGGCTGACAAACACACGTTGGCCTTGTTTGGCGCTGATACGGGGGGAGGGGGTGATAAAGCGGTATAAACTGAACGAAACTATAAGTTCATTCACAGGGGGCGGATCCAGAGGTGTGCGGACTTCTGGGAGCGAATGTTTTTGCGATCTTGTGGCAAATGAAAAACTGGAAATGGAAATTGAAGAGCGGGGGGGCACGAATTTTCGGCGCATTTACCTTGTCCTAGTATTTTTTCGGGGTCTCTTTCTCTTGGTTATCGTACAAAAACGGTATAATCGTATATGTAGCAACCCTGTGTTAAAAGTGTTAGGATGGGATGTCGTTGATATGTCCGGAACACACCTGGCATGACATTCGACCATAAACGCCATCGTGCTTAGAGCACAGAACTTCCGCTGGTCCTCGTTTCAAGTTATATTGATCCATACACATGCCAGTAAGAATTGATGACAAATGTTAGAAATGTTGAAAATCGCCAATTTGCTAGATATTGGGCGCCACTAAAGCATCCAAGCTATCCATTTTAGTCATTTGAAGGGTACAGGAGAAAAAAGATTAATGTCATAAATTTGGTGTTTTGTAGTTAGAACCAGCAACTTGTAGTCTTAACGCAGTTTAATCCCATGAGATATCGGAATCACCCACGCGGAAAAACAATGACAGTTCGTAGTTACAACCATTTGAAACCTTGCTGTGCAGGGAAAAAAAGATGAACGTCCACTGATCGTCAGCGAAACAATTTACCATACACCAATCTGCGACGAAATAAATAAACGTTAAGTAATCATTTTTAAGCAGCTACCAGTAATTTAGTTTTGTTTGTTCTACATTCTTTTGAATAAAGATTATGTGGTTCATCGTTTTTTCCTGTCCAATTAAAAAAAATACTTAGAACTAATCCTGTGTTTGAGCTATTGAAGTTTCTTATTTTCTAGGCCCTGTGTAATAAATTTCCTGTTAAGGTAGTTCTCTTATTAGAATAGATCGTAAAACCTAAGATAGGCATTTTGCTGGTTAATCAACTCTTAGATTTTACAGGGTGCCGAATATGACGAAAGGTTCATTTCTAGCCTCGATATCTCAAAAAAATTCAGACATCGACGCTAACACATAAAAAATGTTGAAAATCATAAGAAGAATCTCAAAATACAAAAATAACAAAGATTTTACATTAAAAAAATGTTTGGTTTCACTTTGGGCTACCCTGTATATCAGAAAATATTTTTTCATTTGTATTGTAACTTTTTTTCAACTTTATAATCAGGAATCTATGGTACTCCGTCAGATCTTTGACCCACTCTTTAGGAGTCTAGGAGTCTTCAAATTTCTAAATTCACTTTTCTCGAACTTTTTGTGATATTCAACTTTTTCCCCTCTTGCGACATGGCTGACAACCCTGGCAGCTTGTTCAAAATTTTACAGCAATCAACTGATAGATGGTTGTTGCAGGAGCAGTGTTGCCCTCCCAGTTGAGAAACGGGGGAAATTCAAAAAGTCAGATTTATTGACCCACCTTCGTAAATATAGCTCGGTCGGTCCAGTTAGTCTTGAACCCTCAGACGTAACTGATGATGTAACAAAAAAACAAACAGTATATCTAATAAGCCATGTAAATGTTATGACTAACTTCTCAATATATACTCAGTGACATTAGAAGTGTTGCACCCAGAAAAAATCATTTGTTCAACTTGATTTTTTGGCAATGAATTTTTCATCAAGAATGAAACGATAAAATTCTCACGGAATTTTATTGACAAGTAATAAGAAAAAATTAATAATGTGTTGGGCGACCCCGCAGCCGAATACACTCTTGTATCTGCCTAGGTATTGACAAAATGAGATGACCGATGTCTAGTTGTGGCACCTCACTCCACGCAACTCGAACTTCGCGGATTAGCTGTGGCAGAGTCTGTGGCGGATGGTGCAAAGTAGATAGTCTCCTTCCAATCATATCCCACACATGTTCGTTGGGATTTGAATACGGCCTCGGCAAAACTTTAACGCCTGCTTCTTGATGAGAGTCCGTAGAACGACGAGCAATATGGGGACGTGCGTTGTCTTTCTGAAAAAGGACGTGTGGACGGCCCTGTAGATACGGCTGTAAAGTGGTTTGTAGGACATCATCAACATAACGCGCAGCAGTCATATTGTCTTAAACAGAGAGAAGGGTTGATCGGCTAGCATTGGCAATAGATCCCCAAACCATTACTACTACAGAATCGCGATTCGTCGCTGAAGATGACATTATGCTATTCTGCCCCTCAATGTTGCCGTTCTCTGCTCCAGTTCAAACTTGACGACGACAGTTGTCCGCAGTCAGAGGAAGCACTAACCGTGGACGGTATGAAAAAAGTCCAAAGGTTTGAATGCGGTGATAGACTGTACGCATAGTAACAGGTCCACTATCTACTCCAAACCATTGTTCAGCGATCTGACGCGTAATAGCAAAATGGTCTTGTAGGGCTAGTTGTCTGAAGCACCTATCTTGACGCTCTGTAGTACGTCTCGGTGGACTAGTTGGCCTTCTTCTTGTTCGTCTATCTTCTATCCATACACGTCTCACACGCATTACCGTCATTGTTATTTTCAAGCAAATAAGTTTAATTTAAATAGTTCTAGAAAATTTAGTGTAATAATACCGAAAAGTTTAGTTACTCAGAATAATTAAAAAATGTATTACGGACTATGAAAATTTTCCGGAACAACTTCTTAATTGATCACGTTGACCGGGTTGACTACCCAATACTCGATATTGGAATCTGTCTGAGTACTTGGTACTGCCTTACATCAAGAATGAAACGATAACATTCTCACGAAATTTTATCGACAAGTAATTAAAAAAAAAATTAATAATGTGTTGGGCGACACCGCAGCAGAATACACTCCTGTATACCTGTACGTCTAGGCATCGACAAAATGAGATAATCCCCCCAAATCATTACTTCAACAGTCCGGTGTAGATGCCTCTCAACAGCAAATCCAATATCACGTCTTTCTCCACGGCGGCGTCTTACCCTTCTACGACCTAGACAGAATCGCGATTCGTCGCTGAAGTTGACATTATGCCATTCTGCCTCCCAAGATTGCCGTTCTCCGCTCTAGTTCAAACGGTGACGACAGTAGTCCGCAATCAGAGGAAGCACTAACCGTGGATGGTATGAAAAAAGTCCAAAGGCGCGAATGCGGCGATAGAGTGTATGTAGGTCTACCTTCTCTAAATCATTAGTCAGCGATCCGACACCTAGTAGCAAAACGGTCTCGTGGGACTAGTTGTCTGAAGCGCTAATCTTGACGCTATGTGGTACGCCTCGCTGGATCAGTTGGCCTTCTTTGTGGTCCTATCTTCTTCTATCCCCACGACACACATGCATTACCGTCATTTCAGTGCAATTAACACGACGGCCAATTTCGCGATAGGACAAACCAACATATCGATAGGCAATAATTCTACCCCTGTCAAAGTCGCTAACATGGAGATAATTTGGACGTCTTCGAGCTTGAGGCATTTTGTTATGCTTAACAATAGTAAATGAAAGGGCAACAACTAAAAATATCTGTTCTACTCAGCTCTCAGAAACTGCTTTCTTCAAAAAAACTAAGAGACATTTTAACAAAGGTAAACAGAAACAAAGATAAATCGTTGACATTGTTGCCACAGTATGCTTTAAATATAGTCATTATGTTGCCAAAAAAACAAGTTGTAGAAATTATTTTTTCTAGGTGTAACACTTCTAATGTCACTGAGTATAGTAATTTCTATTATTTCAGAAGGAACGTCAGACCTGATATATGACTCTATATGAAGAATGGAAAATGGGTATCAACTGTTATTATAATTGGAGATATGTGAATTTTAAATCGTTTTCTGATATTTTTATAAATAAATGAACTTTGAATTTGAATTGCCCCCTTCTTTCAGGTTACACTAATAACAGGACGTATTTGTTACCTCGTAAGACAGACAACATATTCGTAAGATAACACTACGAATTTAATTAAGGCAGGCGACAACACAAAGCATATAATTGTTGAATAGGAGATACAACAAATGAATCTTAAATCGTATACGATAACATTTTAAGTAGTGTAGTAGTATTTGTTATTAGTGCTTAGAAAAGAAAAACCAATATTTCTCAACATATTTTTATTGAGCAGTCAACAAAATATTATTTCAGAAAGCTCGCTGGTATATTATATTTAAAATTACTTATCACTATCATGTATTTTATATAAATTGCACTGCTTCAACAAATTGACCATAGATGTTGCACCAAGCACAATTCTCTGGTGACAAACATTGGCAAGATTAACAAAAAAATATACAACAAAAATAAAATTCATATATTTTGTTCAACAATATTAATCGATTATAACAATTATTACATTTAATGTAGTTATAATAAATAATAAGTTGTAAATAGAATACAGATTACGTCTAAAACGTCTTTTACACATGAACTTACGTCAAGAGGAATGTAGAGATTCTTGAAACGAAGAATTAAAATTAAATATAATTATTTCAAAGCCGGAGCAACTAATTTTTTTATTTTAGGTGAACTTGATTTGATAGTGACTGAAAATCGCAACTCAAATACATCTTTACACATTTTGAGATGGCAGATACATGTTTACACTTTGGAGAAAAGTTCTACTGAACGTATTTGTTCTTTAGAACATATTGGGGGACATGATTGACGTCTATAGTATTCTGCTCAGCGAGAGAATGCAAGGCAAAGGAATGCGAGCGAGCAATAGCGTGTGCATGGAATACAGTTTTTGATATGTCAATATTAATATTGATTCATATTACTGAACGCATGAAAACAATTTTCCAAGTGTCATAAACAATAGGGAATATGCAAGTAATTTGAATATCGGTTAATCACTCTCAAAAATGACACCTTCAACCTTACTTTATACTTGTTAGCCATAAAATTACGAGTATTAATGAAAAAACGAATAAAACAGCAAATTTAAGATATCGAAATGCAGCGCTATTGGCGTGACGTCACGATTTGCGATTCAGCCAACCGTTTGTTGACTCGTCAGTCCAATTTGAAATTTCAGGCCTTTGTTCTCACTATCATTCAATGACATGTCAGCTAGAAAGAATACAGTTTTTTATCGGGTTATTTTTACAGCTTTCTCGAATACTTCAAACATATCCTGTGCCTTCCGTATTGTTTTGTTTTTTATTAAAACTAGAATATCTAAAACAGAACCTTTGGAAACCCGTCAGCAAATTAACCAATAAGACAAACAAATGGCATGTCGAGGGTTATTACGTCACTGCGGAGCGCGCCAGAAACGAGCGTTTAAATCAACTTCATTGGCATGGAAATTTAAATATTTAATTAAAATTGTCTGGAGTCGTGAACACTAGTCCCAAATGAACTTCTAAGTTGTCTTGTGTGAGAACACTGAATGGTTAATGCTGATCGGAAGGCTGTTAGTGGGTACTACTAAATACCTCACAGGAGCCAATCATCTTTAGCCTAGGAGGATCTGACCCACCTGCCAGTTTCTGTCGCACCCTTCATCGTTTCTCCTCTCGCATTCTTTCTCTGGGCAGATAATACTTCCCACCTTATCAAAAAATCCAAAGCTGTGCACAAATGATGGAAATTTCGAGATGGAATCCTACTCCATTCAGAACAAGCTTTTATTATTTCGCTCCATCAAATTTAATGGCAATTTCATGGAAATGTTTCCATAACGTAACATTTTACAACACTAATACTATTATTTAAAATCGACTGGTTAGGAATGTGGATTAGGTACATTATAGAACGAGAAGACAAGAGAGTGCATGAAACTTTATAAACTTGAAATCGTGTAGGCCCATGTACTTTTGCTTACGTAAGAATTTCCACGAATGCCTTAGGTACTTTTCCTTCCTCAACGCCTCTTTTCCCAATATAATAGTCGTTATCTTTGAAATCCTTCACAAATATTATCTGAAAAAAAAAACATTACACATTTTGTAGATTGTGAAGATCTGTAGATGATTCAAATGGCCTAAATACTTCGATACGCTTTACTAATCGAAACGACATCGCCAAATACTCATACATTATTTAAACATGGGTTGATCCCTATGCTTCATCCCTCTTGCAGATATATTTCTTGAATGCTGTCAGTTTGTTTAATCGTATCAAAGCATCAAATCACAATCATTAAATAGCATATGCATGTTATAGACGATTGGTTCGAGCACATGCAGATGTGTATTAATCTTCGTGGAGAATACTTCGAAAAACAATAAAGTTATTTAAAACTAACTACCGCGTTGTTTTATTTCCATATGCAAAACTTAAAAGACATCCCTCGTATGGCGCACACTGAAGTTCATCAACAGATCGTGACGACTGTTGGAGGATGTGTAATTTCTAATGATACAGTCAAATTTTGGTGTAACCTGTAACGGTAGTGACTGACAAAGATATATTACAGGGATCTATTGGGGGAAAAGGATGATATTTTCAGTGTTAGATTACTCACTGGATTTGCCAGACCTGGCCCTTAGTAATTTCAGACTTTGTAAAAGAAAAGAAAAAAATATCAAGAGATCAACAGGATATATTTGCCATAGGTTACTGATTTTTAGCTGGTGGACAAATTTTATAGGGAAGCCATTAATATGCTGGACTACTGATTGAACTAGGGATTGGGCAGAAAAATATGAATTTTATATAGCTTTATTGCAAGTGGGTTAGGTGCGGAACGTAGGGATCAACTTGCATAATAATGGATAAAAAGGCTTTTATTCTTTATAGTGGGTGATAGTCATGAAAGAATCTCACCTCATTAGCGCTCAGGGTAAGTTCCGTATCATCGTGTCGTTCATAATCGTATAACACCTTCGCCTTTAGCATGTTCTCGTTTTGTGACCTTTCAGTGTCATTGTGTTGCGAATCGTGTGCAGTGGAGGGGTGATTCGACATGCTACAAACATAAAAAGGCAGGTGCAGGGCTTACAAGAAGCTACTATAACGGCATACGTGTAAATCTAACGCTCAAATTATAAGTACTCTTTGATATACACCTATGGCCTGCTACTGACATGCATGTTTCGGTGATAACTGAGATGCCCATCAGTGCAGCTAGATTGCGGTACTTCATACATAGGTGACACAGGAAGCTTACAGCTTAGTGGTGGAGTTAAGACATAATTACAATATCACAAATATTACAATCTATCCCGAACACATTTGGCAAAAGGGCTGTATAAAATTAATTCCATAGAACCGATAAATTTGTTGATTTCGAAAATTTTCTGAGGAATATAGAAGTCCGCCATCTAGAGCGTGAATAATAAAAAAAATGATATACACATCAAAAATCCTCTGGTTTAAAATTTGTAAAAGTAGTATATGCCTTCCTGTGTCACACGGTGTTTTAGGAAATTATATACCATAAACACATCAACACGCCATATATTCTTACCAATCGCCAAACAGTTCTTTGCACACCAGACATATGTTTCGCTAACTACATATAACTCTTAGAGAGATAAACTTCAATACAAAGACTGGAGTTCTTAGAGAAAGTGTGACCGCGAAGGCGAGGTCTAAATAGTGAGGTATCACGACTGCTATGAAGGGATATAGGAAGAACTTGTATAGATATAGGAAGAACTTCAAGAATTTCCTAGAAACTGTGCCTGTGAAAGTTTTTAAACCACAGGCAGAATTTGTTTATACGAATTATGATAAGAAACTTATAAAACGCCAAATGAATATATTGCTCAAAAGCAGTAGCCCAGGTTACACAGAAGAAAATATGTATTTCGTGTAAAAAAGCAGATATCTGAAAGTTTTAAATGACAAATACATAAAGAGATACAGTCAGATATGCGTTGTTTTTTATAATTAATGGGAAAAGCTCAAAATTCAGTATTTTGCTTGTATAATTTCCAAATTAAATTTTATAAATAGTCGGTAGACTGGAGATTTTAGAGCATAAAAAGACCTTCAATTTCACTTTTTAAAAATTAATATTTATAGACAATTACGCTAAATACGGGGCTTTTTAGCAATGTTGAATAAATGTAATAACAATTAAGTTGATCTGGATGGGTGGTTGAAAACGCATTTTTAAAAAAAACCTTCTACGACTTATATGAGCCAAGATAATTTTTTTTAAATTCATATCTCCTTTGTTTATGAACATTAGGACACAACATTTGCACATATCTTGATCAAGGATCTTAAGTTTATGATCTATTTGATAATTTTACTATTAGTTCAAAGGTCTTTAAGAAATATCCACCTAAAGTGAATATACTTGCGTAAGTATTTCCGGTTGAGGTGGTGAGAGAATCAGCTCTAGATCGATTTATTTTTTGAAATTGAGTCATCAAATCGGAGCGCGCTGTAATATTTTGCATTATCTCGGTTTCTATGCAACGTAGAACCTTTTTTTAATTCGGGGTAACTCGACGAAATAATGACATCTGGGACATTTTCATTTTCCTGGAAAATCGGGAAATCCAGAAAAACTTCTCTTTGTATTCTTCAAAATTGAATTACTATGAAATGATAAATTAGCATTAAATCATTTACTTTTACTCTCACTCTAATAAGATCATTTATACTTTACAATAAAGTTGTACAAACAATTCAAAATTCAGTTAAATGCTCTTAACAAAATACACTCTAATAAATTGTAAGAAATATTGATTCACGTTTGTCTTTCATTTGTATTTAATTTATTTGCATTCTTTGAGTTATAATAATGTTATATAATGTCTTTTTTATTATAATATTTTGTTTAATTAATCTTTATTCTCCGTTCTAAATATTTTATTTGGAGGCTCCACTCCTTCAATATTTGTAACTCATTTCTTCAAATCAGTCGTCGATTTTCTCAGTCTGCTCTTCATCACCGTCAATTCCATTCACAGCAAGGTTGTAACATTTTGTGTCATCATCACCATCATTACAATCTATTTACCTTGGCTTCTATTGGTCGTGGAAGTTTTTTTTAAAAATATGCTTTTTTTAACCACCTATCTAGAACAACTTGTTAAAATAATTTATACTGAAAAAAGTAAACAATTAGCTTTTTACATAACATATTAAACCGATCCGGTTCAAATTTAGCACACTTAAAAACATCAATGATGCCTTCTATCTCACAAGTATTTAGCTATTATATATCAGTGCAATAGTTATAAAAAGCATTTTTCCAATATTGCTAAAAAGCCGAATTAAGCTTAATTGTTTATTGATTTTTATTCTGATAAAACAAAACTGAATGTCTTTTTACACTCTAAAATCTCTAGTTTACCGATTGTCTAAAAAATTTAATTTGAATATTATACCAGCAAAATACTGATTATAAAAAACAACGCATTTCGGACTGTATCTTTTAATGTATTTGTCATTAGAAACTTTCAGATATCTGCTTAACTTTTGTTCACCTTTTTTTATCTAGCCTGGACTACAGTGTCTGACAAACTCTCCATTTTGTGATGAAAATGGTTATGAAAGGTATTCAACAAGATAGTTTTTCTTATAATATACTCAACATTTTTCTGGTTTTCGTCAATAAGTAAAGGATTTAAAAACTATGCAACTAAACTGGCTATGAAAAATAAATATCTAAAAAACAGGCGGAAGACATACTTGCATTGCATATCACGACTAAATGTACTAAATTAAAACCAGCTAAAACTACTGAATAAGGCATGGATAATGTAAACGTGTTATTGCTCGTAATTGTTGATATCGACCGGTGTAAACGAGTCTTCAGCATCGTAGGAAGCATGCGTCTTTGTTAAAGGCTCCAAATCTTCGCTGTTCAAGCGAAGAACAGGACCAGGTTTCACGGAACTGCAAGGTATAGATTGTGACAAATTGGTTTCAGGTGTGACTCGTGTTGTAATTACTAATAGATACTTCAATGTCAACATTAATAACTTCAAAGAATGATCAATGATGATGCATTAATTTTTAATACAGGACAATATGGAAATTGTCTGATTTCTCTTGAGTGAAGTTGTGCTTTTATGTAAAAAACAAAAAAAAAAAACGTCAAAAAATCGACGAAATGTCATCTTGCAGACTAGGTAGTTTTTAGTGTGCAAATAGTTCATTCCACGTTAGTTCGCTATTCGCTGACGTTTAAGTAACACGTACAGCTACAAAACGAGTTCTCAACAAGTGTACAACAGCTTGTGCTAAGTTAACATCTTGTAGAAAAACCGACGTTATGTCACAAATAAAACCTACGAAATGTAAAAAAACGACAAAATGTCACTTTTCAAGATACGTAATACCCGTGCCGCATGTCAGCGAACAGCGATCATAGCGAGCAGACTACCTAGTCAAATGTGATGGATACTCGTCTAATACGGTTTAGCCTGAGATTATCTGAAACAGTGGCCAAAAGGAAAGGTACTTATGGATACATGCAAACGTCATTTTTTGACAGATGCTGCGTTCCTAAACTGTTACATAACGTACTGTGTAGTACTTTGTAACGACTTGGGGGGTCATAATTGTTTGACATTACAGTTTCGACCGTTCGTAAATAGAATAAAGTAATCCTTCTGTAATGTCAAAAGTGTACTTTTCTTCCCGTGCTCAAAACCTTGGGAATATGAGTCTTGTCACCTGTTATTCTTGTATTGTTTTATTAACTATTTAGATTTTTATTTGGTTATCAAATTTGCAGAATAATCATTGTTTAAGGTAAATGGGCTGTCAGTGATTACCCACAATGAAATTATCAAAAGTAATATCATTAGAGCATCCAATTTTTCCGAAAAAGAAAAATCGAAAAAACACGTTACTAAGCAATATTTTAACAGAAGCATCAGTGCTGGTCGCAACAAAAATCCAAGTCAAAGACGAGTATTTTTGCAACTACACAAATGTTTTTTGTTAAAAAATATTACTTTGCTTTGTTTTTTCGACTTTCTTCACAGGGAAAAATTAGATCCCCGAATGGTATTTGACAAGACTATTTCATGCTGTCAAGTTTTGCTGCGGGTAAGATCGAAAAGACTGCTGACAGGTGCTGTCATACAATTTTTCCATCTAGAAACCATTTGTAATTCAAAATTGCGCGTTTGTGATTGGTAGAAATTAAGACGAGGGAAACAGTCGTTAGAAATAGTATAAGCTGTGGGAGGTTGCGACAACATCCACCTGTATTGCTTTTCCTAGCGGTATCGCACGGGATTTTCCTCTTCAGTGTGTACAACTAGAGAGGAAATCATTTTCGACGATCTTACCTGTCGTCCCCCAGTGAACTCAAGCCCCAAATCAAAAACTGTGGAGTAGGATTTCGAGCATGAGACCAGTGGACTAACCAAGGAACAAAAAGACAGCTGAACCGACACAAGATACTTTTCGACCTTTGACGTCACTTGCTTCAAAGTAGTTCGAAATAAAGAGTATTTCCGATCCTAAAGACTACAAGATCACAAACGAAACGTGTGTCGTATAGGAGAGCGCGTTGTGATTCATTACAACAGTGAACCAAGGCTTTGCGTTCGCCTCAAAAAAGGTGCGTAACAACTTGATGACTGCTCGTGTTTCACCCCGTCCACACCAAATATCGCTTTCAAACACAGCACAATTCAGAGAAAGTTTGAAAATATACATAACTTTTATGACGCTTCTTAACGGGCAACGTTTTTACTGCTTTATCTAGCTACAATAGAGTAGCGGAGTGGACCGCAAATTTTTGTCAAATATAACGTGTTTGGATGCTATTAAAGAGCAAACGTGCCATGTTAACTGTTGACTCCGAGTGACGTAATTAATTATTGAAAAAACGAAAATATGCTGTACCAGGATACATCGTATACCGGCAAAAAATATTATGGACACAAAAGTGCAAAGCATCACGGATGCGAATCATGCAACTTGCCAGCCCTTAAAACAACCGCATTAGAACTGTTAACAACTGTATAACAACTACGACGGTTTAATTATAGGGAGGGTATCAAGTTTCATATGTATGTTTATGTCAACCTACCTGGCCAGTTCTCGTTGCAGATCAGTCATGATGGTAGTACATTGGGCATAAAACCTAGCTTGGGCATCCACGAATTCATGTAAACACCTCAAATGCGCCGCATGAGAGCTGCTCACGCCCTCTAACAAAAGTTTCGTAATTTCCGCTTGCCTATCGAACTCTGATTGGGCTATTCTGAGGTCTCGTTCAGCCTATAAAAAACAACATTGCGCAAAAGATTCTGGTACAAATATCTACTGTGATCTGTCATCAAAATGAAATGTATTTAGACATAGACAGAAAGTAAAATATACTAAGTGACACCGTGTAATAATGAGTTTTTCTAGGTATATGTATGTTTAGGATAGGACAGAGAAGGATCATCTTCTCAACTATATACGAGCCCCTTCCCACTTCAGTTGGCCCACTTCAAGATTTGTAGCAAAATATGCCTTTATAAACTAAACATGACGAAACTATTTACTTCTAAAACAATTTATTTTCTCAAAAACATTTTAGATACACTGTAGTCGTAAAAAATACATCTTTGAAATCACTTAGACCTATAACTAACACCCATTTTGAAAACCTTAACTACACAAAACTATTTTAAACGTATTCTGACAGCTGTGATTAATAAAAACAATTGTCATGGCTTTTATTTTTCACAGCCACCTATGCGTTATAGACTTATTTTGCATTGAAATGAAAATAGGTTGATATGCTGTAATTGCAACATGTGTTATTTTTATGCTGCAAATTTGATTAGGGTTAGATAAAGTTGATGTTTTCTACTATATATTATCAAAATATTCATTGTTAATATTTTAAACCTATAACACCCTGCTACATTTTTATTATTTATGTTTGATAAGAAAAAAGCTAAGATTTCAATAGTTGGACCAACTGAAGTGGGAAGGGACAAGTAGATAAAGTGGTTTTTGTGATATCGTCTCTTCTTACAAAAACGTAAGTGATAGTTGTGAAGAGCTGCTTTAATGTGTTCATTATACCTAGGGCGAGAGGATGAGAATATTTTCAATAGCTTAGCGAGTTTCATCAGGGGCGAATAGTGGGAATTGTGGTCCATACGAGAAATAGAAATATTCCGTTTCCCCGATCCTCCACAGACTACTGCGGCACTTTGGTTCGAGGTACAAGTACGCTGGGATGAGATACCTCAAGAGAAAATGATTATCTGATTAGGAGTATGGCCAGACGTGTTTCAGGGTGCATAAGACATCGTGGAGGCCCAATAAATTACTGTTTTTTTTATAGATTTTCTACAGGTGGATTTTTTTGAAATTTCGATCAATTACTGTGTAATTGTTGTAATAAATTCATTTTTATTGGGTGTTTTGTTTTCTATACCTGTATACTTTAGAGAATCGTACAGGTAAGGCGCAATCTGATAGAACTCAAAACATCAGTAAAGTATAATTTCCACATATGTGTTCTCATTTGGCAGCCAGAAAACATGGAGTTCTATCAGCTTGAAAATCACAGGATATGTTTCAGATATAACACTATCCTGTGCAAAACAAATTGGCGCAGTGTGAACAATGATATTTTTCTGATATGCTGGAAATACCTTTGTTGAAAATGTTACCATCGCCATAGTCTAAACTGGTTTACAAAGTCATTCATGTACCAATCTGTGGTATTACACTATTTGTTGGTTTCGAAATATGATAAATGACGGTTGTAAGATGATTTAATCATAACCTATTATAGATCAAATAAATGTTAGGCTGATATGTCCAGAAAATAAATGATGTGAGGCAAAAAGGAAGAAAAAAGGAAATAGTACAGGAAAACAGTTGAATTAATTTCTGATGCGTTATGAAACGCAATTATTGTTTCAAATTATGTCTGATATTTAGAATTTTTGGTAATAATATTTGAGTGCAACTGAATTTTATTATCATCTAATCAGTACATTCAAGCAGATCAAAACCACAACATATCTTATTTTTTGTTTTTTCTTTAACAAATGTTTAAGAAGCTACAATTTTAGCAAAAGATTTTTGATTTGAAATCAAAATTTTTTGTATCAATACCCCATAGTATCAACTAGTATCAACTTTTAAGATAATGTAAGATCATCTAAAACATGCAATTTATATCAAAATGTGTGGAAATGTGTCACAAAAACTACTATGTGCATCTACGCTCTATGTCTTTTGTTCTAAAACAAATAATACCTGTTCTAAGGAAACCTCAGGTGATACTCCATCCTTCTAATCAGCAATGTAAGAAAAGTCAAGAATTATATTTTTTTCACCAACACTACACTGCTTTTGGATAAAATTCAATGATCTAAATATTTTGGTATTATTAAACATGTTAGAATTATTTAGGATACTCACTGAGGGTTGTCCCAACATACTCCTGGCTTTCCTGACTCTGTTCTTACATGCATCCAGATCCAACCTACAATGAAATTTTGATATCTTTCTTGATTTGAAATTATGAACTGAGTATACCTTTTTGTTTCCAAAAGATTCTTTTCTTTAATAATTGTTCTCATTTCTGTATCCAAAAACTTCCTCAGAGGCTGAGTAAAGCACATTCCTGCAGACCCAATAAAATCTCTTTCAGTCTGTCCAAGCTTTTGCTCCCACTGTCCCACTTTAATTAATGCACTAAAAAATTAATTTTGCAACTCAATGAATGTTTTACAAAGATAAATAAAAACTGCTACCATATTGTGTATAGATCGCAGCAGCAGTTGGCTAGCATTAGCTACTCCAACTAGTTGAAGAAGATATACAGTTCAGCAGAGTTTACATTTAAGTAGATTATCAACTGAAGAGCGAATCTCCAAAATGTGTTATCATATTGATAGGAGAGCTGGACAGGCACAAACCAAGTGCTTAACTTTATTGTCTTTTTTTGATCCCCAACACAAATTTGTGTCAGTCTCCTAGACATGGTTCCCTACTGACAGAAAATCTAAACACAATCCCAGTATCAAAGCAAACTGATGCATCATTATAGATCTGGAGAATTCCTTAGTGAATCATCAAGCAGATGATTAATTTTGTGAGTCAAAGCAGTTGCCAGTTAAAAGGAGTAACTTGTGTAAATTGTGCTTTGATCTTGGTGCATAAGCTTGCCAATTGCATCGCAAGCAAGACAATTTTGGCCTTTTGTCGAGTACATTGTGATGGATTAATCCAAAAAAAAAACTCAAAAGACAAATGTATGGATACATATGTTCTTGAATCCTTCAAAACCCTCAAGGTCCAGAATGCCCAATCAAAATGGATGATCCATGAGTGTTGTAACTTTAGCAACTCTTGTTGCTAGTTGATGAGCTATGATGTTATGGAGGATATTACTCAAAGGTACACCTATCAAATGTTTTGAATACTTACCTGCCATAAGCAGTTCCAGGCCCAAAGGCACTTCCTGCTTCAATCATATCCAAGCCCAGGTACTCCAGGTTACTAAGCCTGGAAGGTCTTTTCTTTTCTATCTTCTCATAGATATAATCTTCAATTCTGTTTCCTGGGTTGGGTATAAGCACAGCCTCTGCATTCCTGACAATTTTCTCAGTATAGTTTTTTGTGTTATCTGCTCTCTCCCAAAGATTCTCAAAGTGACCATCTAGCTCAGTTTTTTCGGAAGTACCCAGTTTCTCTTCAGTTAACTTCATACCAAAGGAAAAAATGAGTGTTTTTTATACTAAAACTGAACAAGGAAGTATTTACCTGAACCACTCTACTGAGTGCAGCTCCAGCATCTTTCACGATTTTTTTCATATTTATCATATCCATATTCATTTTGATATCTATGCAGATGTAGACTTTTCAAAATTCTCCTTTTGTTTCACTTTGTTTTGATTTATCGATTCAACTGCAGGAAGAATGTGAATCAGCTGACGAGCTGACAGCACTGACGTTTCGAGATTGCGGGATGAGGAAAGCTCTCACGGTTCTCACTATCCGTGACATTTTCACTGTGATCCAAGAAAATCACTACCACTTTCTACCCACTGTCGTTATGTGTTGTGTGGTTTGTGTATGCCAAATCGCCAAAATGACCGATCGATTTTAAGGTTAACGTTAACTGATCAAAACCAAAACATTTTAAACATTTTTTCTGATCATTATATTAAAATATCCGCGTTGTTTTGTAACTGCTAAGGTAAAACCAAACCAGAAAATTATGACAGAAAATGTGTCATTACCCTACGTACTTCAGGTAAACGCTGTAATGAATTAATAAAACTCCTTGCACTGCATTTATCAAATGAATCATAAAATAATATTGGGCATGCTGATTTATCATGAAACATTTTTAGCATGATAAGCACATGCATTGTTGCAATACAAATAATGTATGGAATCAGTGATTCACTGTTAACACCTGTGACAAACCACAATCAAAATAGAGAAGGAACTAGTCATGAAATGTTTTTCCAGGGTGTGAATGCAATACATTTAACAGAAGCTGCAGATGTGGAGAGCAATACTGTGTACTTGCAATATGATGAAAACATGCCTCAGGTTTGTGTACAGCCTTACACTCGGTTTGAAACACAAGCATTGGACAACAGTGTTATGGAGATACAAGAGCCAGCAACTGATCCAGAGCTGATTAACTATGTGTATGAAATTGTGCGACCTGATGATCTCAATTTAAAGGTATGAGAAATAATTTAATATAGGTGTATTCTTTAATTCACCAGTTGAGCCACTGGTGCAAGCAACTAACCAATTTTTCCTCTTAATTTACATCTGAGCGACTGGTTGTACACCAAACTTGTCTATAAACTTGCCTATATAGTTTATAAACAAATTTGGTGTAAAACTGCTCAGACAGAAATTTTGGTTGTACCAGTGACTCAACCTGTGAATTAAAATATACGCCATATATGTCTTTCTTCTCTCTTGAGTTGAATTATCAATTTCTATTTAAAAAATGCATTATAAACTAAGTCAGCAGGAATCAATCATTTTGAGAGAACTGCTTTTTTTCCTACTTATCTCCATGTACAGTAATCAACAAAAGTATATAAACAAATATGAATATTTACCTAAATACCTTTAGAAAACGAATTCATACTTCATTGCTCTATAAACAAATGCCTTATTAGTAGAAAAACTAAATTCCTTGTTTTTACATTATCTGCAATGAACACAATACAAGTCTGAATATAAGCACTTTTTTATGAGGGACAAAAATATGTAGACAAATTCTGGTGGTCCAGAAATTTCTTTTGATGTGAAAACTAACATCACTGAGTTATACAAAGATGGTCAGTGTCAAGTCGACATTTCCAAAAATTTGAAGCTGAACCATAAAGCAGTTTGGGCAATATTGAACAAATATAAACAAAAAGGTATCCTGGCAGCCTCTAAGAGAAGTGGTCAGCCTAGAAAACTAAATGCTAGATCAGTTAGATTAATAAAAGTAATTTTGTCCAAAGATCCGTTTAAAATCCCAAGACAAATAAAAGCAGAAATCTAGACAAAAGGAATTGTCAGTGTTTCTACGAAAACCAGAAGTAGAAGATTAAATGATTTGAAGTTATTTGCACGTTGCCCTAGTAAGAAGCCGCTAATCTCGAGGAAAAAGCGTAAGGACCTATTACAATTTGCACGGTTGCATCTTGATTGGAGCATCTGTGACTGGAAGAGGGTATGTTTCAGTGATGAATCCACGTTCAATAGGTTGGGATCAGATGGTGTTCATTATGTTAGATGTCCTAGTGGGCAAAGATTGAACCCCAAGTACACTTTGCCCACTGTCAAACATGGAGGTGGGTCTGTTATGGTTTGGGGGTGCTTTTCGGGGATTGGGATGGGACCTTTACATATAATAGATGGCATTATGGATAAGTTTGTATACACAAACTTACTAAAGCATATCATGTTACCCTATATGGAAGACAATATGCCCTTAAGATCAATCTTCCAGCAAGATAATGACCCGAAGCACACTTCAAATCTCGCAAAGAAATTCTTTCTGGATGAATAAATACCAGTTCTCAAATGGCCTTCACAGTCTCCCGATATAAACCCCATTGAAAATCTATGGGAGTACTTAAATAAGCAAATACAAGATAAAAATTATTCAAACAAGCATGAATTTTTTGCCGCTTTAGAGCAAAAGTGGAGACATATTGATGAATCTTGTATCAAGAAACTTCTACAATCTATGCTGAGATGATGCCAGGGGGTGATTGATAATAATGGTTATGCTACAAAATATTAACACAAACATGGTTGGTTTTCTATAATTCAATGAACTTTGCTTCTTTTTTCTATAATTGTTTTGCTTTGTCTATATATTTTTGTCCTTCATAGTTCCAGTTTTTTCAAATAATTTTTTATTGAAGGAAGTCTAATAATAATAATAATAATAATTTATTGGTACTATTACACAAAAATGTGTTTGCACAGGTCATTTAAAGTAGAACATAAAAGAGTAAGTAGAAGTAACAAACAATACGAAAATAAGACAAACGTAAAACACAAAGTGGCAATAAAAGGTAAAAAAAAAACTTGATAAAACTATTTTAAAATTTAGAGGAACAATAAAATAAGATGGTTAAAAAATTATGAAATACTAATCATTTTTTCATGTTTGTACTCAAATGTCCTTACACACGTCTGGAGAACGATAAAATATAATACAAAAATAACACATAAAAAAACAAACGAAAACAAAGTAATAAATAGTCAACAATTATGGAACAAAGTCGGTAAAATCATTATTTAAAAACTCATCTATGCTGTAAAAAGCTTTCGTCACTAAATATCTTTTCACAGTTGCTTTAAAAATGGTTGAGTTGAGTGTTTGACAAAACTTGGGCAGCGCATTAAAAAATTTCACACCGAAATAATTACTTCCGTGTCTAGTTTTTGAAAGTCTTGTGTACTCTGGTATTAATTCATTGTTGAACCTTGTGTTATATTTGTGAATCTCTTTCGGAGTTCTGTAATCATCGTAATTATTTTTAACGTGGATCAGACATTCCAGTATATATATGCATGGCACAGTTAAAATTTTTAGGTCGATAAATGTCGTCTTGCAACACTGTCTGAAATATAAGTTTGCTATTATTCTCAAGCATCGTCTCTGAACAGCAAACACCTTCGATACATGACATGAATGTCCCCAAATCAGTATGCAGTATTGCAAGTTAGATTGGAAGTAAGCATAATAGGCTGTCATTAAAGTCGATTTTGTTACGTAGGTATTTAAACTACGTATCATATATGTTATTTTAGATAACTTCTTTGATAAAGAAGTGATGTGTGATTCCCAAGTTAAGCTTGCATCAATAATCACTCCAAGAAATTTCACGGGCTCTACTAAATCACTTCTATGTGGACGAGTACTGAGTAGAAGAGATTGAGTTTTCGCTATGTTGATTGACAAACTGTTGGCATTAAACCAGTTTTGAATGTTGTCAAAATGCTGCTGAGAATCGAGCAATACATGATCAAAGTTACTATTGGAGGATATTGATGTCGTGTCATCCGCAAATAATATATACTGATTGATGCTACAGTTTGGCAGATCATTGATGTAGATCAAAAAAAGAATCGGTCCCAAGACACTTCCTTGGGGAACTCCGTGCTTAATATGCACATTGTTGGATAAACAATTTTGAAAACTAACATACTGTCTTCTATCTGATAAATAAGACGCAATTAAGGACAGGCTATTATTACTAAAACCATACAGCGACAACTTTTGAATCAAAATGTGATGTTGGACACAATCAAATGCTTTTGTAAGATCATAGAAGTTAGCGAGGGCAAACATGTTATCTTCCAGACATTTGTTGATGAAACTGATAAAATTGTTTATTGCTGCTTTCGTTGATCTGTTGGTACGGTATCCAAACTGGTTGTTACAGAATAAATTGTTACCTTCGAAGTATTCACATATCTGATTCTTCAGAAGAATTTCGAAAATTTTTGCTATAATTGGTATTATAGAAATGGGTCTGAAATTACATGGATCATTCTCACAGCCTTTCTTGAAGAGTGGCACAATCTTTGCAAGTTTTAATAAGGCAGGAAAGACATTATTTTCTATACACATGTTTATCAATTTTGTTATAGGATATACTAACAAGTTATTTAAGGTCTTCATAATTTTAACATCGATGTCATATGGATCTTTACTTTTAGAATTCTTTAAGCTTTTGATTGCGTCTCGAACATCATTGAATGAAACAGTTCGAAAGTTGAAATGTAGTGTATCACTAGTCTGTATAAAATCTTTGAAGTTCGACTGGGTAGCTGGAATTTCAGCGATAATGGTATCAGCAATGCTGATGAAGAAAGAGTTTAAATCATTCGCGCTGAGAGTAGACGAATGTGCTTTTGATGATTGCACACCATTGGATTTAATCACGTTCCACATAGCTGCTTGTTTATCTGACGCTCTACGTATATATTTATCATGAGCATTTTTTTTCCTAATTCTGATTTCTGATCGGTACTTTGATTTGAAGACATTAATCTCCTTCTTTGATACTACTTGGGGATTATCTTTATTAATTTGTGTTATTAGTTCCAAAGTCTCTCTCATATGAGCCAATTCGAGATCAAACCAGTTGATTTTGTTGCGACAACCCTCTGATACTAACCTAGATTTGATTGGTAAGCACTCAGCGATATTATTTGTTAAGATGTTCATGAATCGTTCGAGTTTAGTGGTCAGTGGTAAACTAATATCAGACAAAAAGATCCAGTCGACTGTTTCAATTTTACTGTATAACTTGAAAAGACCTTCATCAGTGACAGGCCTGTAGTTTATTCTCTTCCTAACAGGTTTTAGAGTTTTCAAATTAAAATGAAATGCAATACCTAAATGGTCAGAAAAACATGTATCAAAGGCTTCTACAACTATGCTTGACATGTTTATATTGGTGAAAATATTATCTAGACAAGCATTCTGCCTAGTATTCACATTCACAGTCTGATACAGTCCAAAAGAAACACAAATATCACACATCACATTGGCATGCTTGTCGTGAGTGTTAAATTTAAAATTAAAATCACCAGATATGATTATATTTTGCTTATAGTCTAAAGTACTAAGTAGTATTTGAAGCTTATTATAGAATATATTGAAGTCTCCATTTGGTGATCTATATATGGTTAGAATTTGTGTGCCATCCAAACAGGTGACACCAGCAACCTCAAAGTGTAACTCCTCAGAAATGTTTAAAACTTTGTCACACAAAGGCTTAGCACTAAACTTATTATTGACATAAATACAAACACCACCGTGGATTTTGCTTGACCTGCAAAAACTAGACACATTCATATATTCACAAATATTCAGAGTATTAATCTCATCGCAAGTCAACCAATGCTCATTCAAACAAAGAAAGTCATAACTGTGCTGTTTTGCCACCAACTCAAGTTCATCAACCTTGTTTCTCAAACACTGTACGTTTAAATGTAAAAGTTTATACCGACAATCATTCGTGAGCACTTCACAGACGCGAGCGTGTGATAAGGAATTTTTCGATACATTCTGTTTACCCGAATTTATTTATGTGTAAGTGAGTATTATGCTATAACGAATTATGTATTCACGTTGGTGTATTAATAAAACAAGTTAGAAAAGAAATACAGCACAATATTAATTTATCTATATACTTTTGTCCATTACTGTATATGGGAAATCATGCAACTTCTTTGGTTCTATTCTTAGCAATCTAAATGTGAAAGTTTGTACTGATTTAATTATCTTCGTATCTCTTACTGTTTCCAAGAATTCATTGTCAAGGTTTGAATTAGAAACCCCTGGCATAACTATTTAAGAATGTCTAGGATTTTGGGGTACTATTGGAGGCCTAAAACTAATGACTACTTAATAGGTAATATGTATGTGATTCAAATATACAGAGTCACACCTTCAACCTTATTTTATACTTAAGTACTATAATATGTTGAGTCTCAGTAACAATGGAAAACCCTTTTGTTGATTTGACAGTTTGATCTTAAATGGCAGACTTTTGTTTTTACTGTATTTGATTGCCATCATGTCAGTTTAATGTTTAATCAGTTTAACAGAATATAGTTGGGTTGTTTAATAACTTTCTCATATACCTTAGACCACAGACAGAGTTTGTTCTTCGTTTGCTGTGTACTCAGACTGGATTAACAGTTCCCCATAGCCAGATACTTTTTTTCACCAATCAGACTAATATTGGTATATGTAATCATTTTTAGATATTTATATTGGTATCGAATTTAAAAAAGGTGCATATTGGTAGAGAAAAAAAAAATCGGCAGCCAACGTGTTAAAGTGGTTATAGCGCCATAGAATTATCTCCTTTAAATGGCTAGTCTGAAAAAAATGCATAATCTTTGTAATCTAAGGTAAATAAAAACTAATATTTGGGCAAAATGGTAGTTCAGTGCTCACATCAAAATGATATTTCCAACAATATGAGTTAGTTTTTAGAGATATAGCCTTTTCATAGTTTTACACCACTTTTTTATGTTAGTATCTCAGGGTATATGAAAAGATCTGGTGCCTTTCATATCTTTGTACATAGATGCAATACTGCACTTATAATAAGGTTTTCATTCTTCATCCATGCTTCTGTGTTTTCTAATTAAAGCTAGAGTATATAAAATAGTACCTTTGGAAGCTCGACGGCAAATTTACCAAACAGACAATCGAATTATATGCGAAGCGCGCCAAAAATGAGGTGTTCAAGCCAACGTCAATAGGGTTCCGCACAAAGGACATAATGTTTTTGAAATTGCGACTACTCACCGCCTACTCATGAGTGGTGGGGAGAGTGCCGTTCGACTCGGGCGTTCCTAGCATTTTTACCAGTAGACATTATGGAACAGTGGACGGTTGAGCACCGCGTTTTCGCGTACGACAGTTTTGTCCGACATAATGAGTCTATCACGGCTGTACAGCGTGAGTTTCGTCGCCACTTCAATATTTATCGCAAATGAGCTGAGCTCGAAACACCATCATTCGTTGGGTTCAATCAACGAACGGTTCGAATCGTTGAAAATGTGGAACGCGTTCGAAAAGCCCTCCTTCGCAGTCCGGTTCGATCTGCTCGGCAACATGCTGCTGAACTTCGCCTCAGTGATCGTTCGGTAAAGGCGTATTTTGCATATGGAACTCCACTCTCACCCTTACAAATTCGCCATTGTGCAGCTAGAGCCTGGAAATTACGCACAACGAATGTACTTTGCACGTGAGATGGAAGCACTTATCGAGCAAAACGAGAACCTCATTTTGTTCATGAGTGATGAAGCTCACATTCATCTCCTTGGGATGGTTAGCCAGCAGCATTGCCGTTATCGGGCTGATGAAAACCAGCACAGTTTCATGAAAGACCGCTGCACACCCCAAAAGGTACGTTTTGGTGCGGTGTATCGCAAACTTGCATCATCGGCACTTACTTCTTCGAAGACAGTAATGGCAATGCTGTTACCGTGAACTTGGAGCGCTATGTCGAACTGCTCACCAATTTCTTTTTACCTGAATTACGACGACGACGTGTTCCATTCCGACGTGTGTGGTTCCAACAGGATGGGGCGACTGCACATAAAGCTAGAGCAACATTATTCTTTCTCTTCCGTCGTCGCCTTATTTCCGTGTTTGGTGATGTTCATTGGCTTCCTCGGTCCCCAGATTTATCCATCTGCGATTTTCTCCTATGGGAACACCTCAAGGCTCGTGTATACGAGTACAAGCCTTTAACTCTAGACGAGTTGAAGGAGGCAATTCGCATGGAAGTCGCCCAAGTTTAGAGAACGATGTTGGAGAGAGTCTACGCGAACGTTAAAGAACGCCTCCAGCAATGCATCGTCAAAAGCGGTCACCACATGACTGATGTGATTTTCCACACTTAATTGTGACAAACGCTATTTCATTGTGGACCCGAATCTGACAATAAATTTGTTTGTGAGTAAAAATTACCGATTTTATGGTTTTTTAAAAACCGTCCGACCTTTCTGCCGGACCCGGTATTAAGTTTTAAATATTTAATTAAAAACAAATATAGACATTTCCATAACTGAGATATGTGCCTACAGTATTATATTAACGGGAAACAGAAACAAAATCATGTATATTCCCTATTGTCAACTGAGACAAAAATCGCTGTTGTTTTTCAGCCTGTTTATACGAAAAGGGGTCGACCAAAAAAGAAAAAACTCGATTCTGAACCACTTGTAAGTGATAAACAGAAGCCATTACTGCCAGTAGTCAAAACACGATCTGGCAGATCAGTAAAGTTTCCTAAACATATTGGAAAAGACTTTGAGAAGGTAGAAGTAGACGTAGGAGGTGATGAGACTAAAGAGGTGAAAACTACAGAGTTTGCCAAATATGCAGAGGACAAAGCTCAGGATAAAGGGACCAAAGAGGAAATATCGTTGCAAGTACATCAGAGGAAGAGGACTATTTCGGCGCAGTATCGCTGTCCTAAGTGTAATAAAGCCTATTTGGGGAAAAAGGTAAGCTGAAACATTATGGATATATTACACACAGCACAGAAGATAGTGTTTGCCAAATTATCTTAAAATTTCCCACACTGTGGCATGAAAATGCAATCACTTTTTAATTTATACAGGGTTAACTATTACTGAAAAGATACAGGTCGACTAACAGAAACAAATGCATGAGAAGACACTCAAATTCTAAGTGCTTGCAACCTGAATACCTACTCATCTATGTTTCGATAGGAAATAAAAGAGATTTCAAAAGTTATAGAGTTGTCGATGCATGATGGACAGATTTGGTATTGTAGATTTAATTGTATTAAAACATTGAAAAAAAACGGAATCATCAAGAAAAGCGTGATCATAAGAACTGAACACCGGATCAACTGTATCGCAAGGATGTAATCAGGTGTTTCAAGATGGCTCTCTATGCTTGGACAGTCCTTATATTTGTTCCACCTATTTATATAAGCCGGCTTTTATTTGGCTTTTTCAATTAGGATTTTATCTACTTTATTACATGCAATCTCATTATGTTGCTGGATGAGGGACGCGTTGAAGTTGAAAAAATATTGACAATCACGTTTCTAATTTCGCCTTTACTAAAAAATTGAACGCGTCATATTTCTGAATCTTAGATATTAGATATACACATTTTGTACACATTTTTTAATTAAATATCTCCAGAAAATGATTCAACATATCCAAAAGTACCCAGAGCACGGCCCCATGCCCCCATCAACTGAGCTGAACTTTGACGTATGGAACTACTTGGTGGATGTCACTCAAAAGTGTCCGCCGGCACTTAGGGGGATCAAGTTCTGTGAAGAGCTCACCAATTTGCTGCATAATGTGCTTCTACTCACGAGCGCCCTATTCAAGAAGGTGGAATTGAACAAAAACCACGTGGAAGTTGATAAAGTACTTGGAAATGCTATTGGGCTACCTCCAGGTTAGTACGTAGACCTTCAAAGAAATATGCGAGTTGATCCCTTTGCTTCGCGCATGGCCCCATTTGTAGATGCTTATTTGGTGATTGCTGTTAACAGTGAGACAAGTTTTCTTTATTGGTTATGCTAACAAGATTAATTATAACCTATTTCACGAGTATCCATCATGGTAGAATGACAGCTAGTTACCTAGTAATATTTCAAAATCCCCCATATCAACAAAGGACACAATTCTGACGGATCCGTCAACGCCAGGTAGACAGAGCCATATTTTGTTTTGGTTTTTTGTAAGCTGCGGATTCATTTTGTACTTGCCTAAAGCGCTTTTATTTAGAAAAGTTCATTTGCATACAAAAAACAAAATGCTACAAACAAAAATGTCACTTGCTGATCAGCTGTTCACCTCAGTAGACGTCAAAGCGTGATGGATAATCGTGAAATAGGGTGCTTCAAATTCGACACTCATCGGGATCTCTGAAACCGTTAGGGATACAAAGTCGGTTAAATGTGAGCAAAGTTACGCATTTAGGTAACTAAGAAAATTGAACTAATAAAGTTTAGCAATTCAGAGTATTTCCGGAGATAGACGAATAAAAAATTAGTTTATTTTTTTGACTTTATTGGAGGTGTAGAATCAAAATAATCAACTTTATTTTTTCTTATGAAGGTCATACGGGATTTTTGCGCAGATGAATAGCGTTTTAAATCCCTATTTCAAAAATGTATAACATGTCATACATTGACATTGCCAAACCTGTTACTCAAAAAACTATCATTTACATAGTTGGCATTGAAAATGAAAGCTTATCACATATTTATCCGATTACATCAAAAATTAAAGCTTGCTTCAGTTTTTTAGAAGAATTTAGGACATTCTAATAATTTGTACATTTGTCGACTACGATAAGCATGATGTAGCCTCCCTACATGACACCTCAGCCATAGATTAATATTATTTGAATTCAAAATATGTGCATTAGGGTATGGTAGATATAGCGGAATTGAAATGGTTCCAGTAAACCAAATATCAAAAAATTACTTACTTCAAAATGTTTTATTAGTTTCTGAAAATTAGACTGTTTTCTATGGTTTCAATACCACCCTTCAATAATATGAAGGTTATCTTAACATTACATCTTTTTTTTGTAACTTGATGTGTTAACACTAACTATAGGAACATTAATTTTTTGGACATTTGAAGTTTTGTTTCGTTACCATCCTCTCATATCCTGCATAATTGGTTTTATTCAAAGTAGTCCTCAGTTCTGTGGAAGAGGACCCAGAAAATTTGTTGCCCATGAGCTTTATCGGAGGTTTGCAATGACAAGATATACAAGGAACAATATTGCAGGCGCAGTATATATTTGCCATGGAAAGAAAAATTATGCTCAAGCTTCAGGGTATATAAAAATGCTGCACGGATAGGTTGAGAATCAGTTAATGATTTCTATTACACATTACATTGTATTATTACTTATTACATTACATCATTAATACCGGAAATAGAGGGAGTATAATTTCAAGGCCTACTTAGGAAACTGTTTTTTTTAATAAATAAATCCAGTATAAGTAAACTTAAAGCTTCAGAACAAGTGGCAAAACGTCAATTCAAATTATGCCACCTTGTAGACGAGAAAAAGTGGCAATGTTAGTTTGCTTTTTATCTTGAAATAACACATCGAACAAAGTCAGGAAAAAATAAAAACGTATTTGGTATATAAATATGTTGACCTTATGGCGCTCACTGGAATTCGTCAAAATATTGTGGCGGCTATTTGAGGGTGTGCGGTATTTACAATATAGTCAAACGCTGGTGTGGAGATTTTAAGTCTGGAAGTCACTATTTTGAAAACTATCATAGTGATCGGCCACCTATAATAACAACATAGAGGCATATTCAATATATGCTGTTGTTATGCAAACTTGATCTCAAAACGGCGACATGCTTTGAAAGAAAAATGTTAAGAAACAGCATACGAGTATTTCATCATTATAATGCTCCCACCCAAACTTTCTGCTATGACCTGTGGCAGCCCTGCATGACAGATGCTTTGATTTGGTAGAATATCTACCTTATTCGCCAAATCTGTCCACCAGTAATTTCAGGCAATTTCCAAAATTAAGAAAATATTCACAGAAAAAATATTTCTCGAGTTTTCGATAGAGGTTACAAGGTCTGTAAATCAAGTGATGAGACTGGCAACATAGCGGCAGATTTGGCAACACTGGAGACGCTGGGCTTGGAAGGGAGACATGGGAATATGTGACCTGCCTTCAGTAGAAGTTTGAACTCGCTCAAGTCATTTGGTCTGTAGCGATTTTTTTTTGTGAATCAGTTCAAGCTCTTGCTAAACTTCAGCAGGCCTAGATAGAAACTGTTTTGTCAAGAGCCCAGGTTTTCGGTGTTTCCGTGGCTTAAGGCATTTTCAGTAGGGCGAGAGTCGATTGAAGACGAACCACGAAGCGGAAGGCCTTCATCTTCAAGAACCGATGAAAATATCGACAGAATCCGGGATCTTGTATGTTCAGATCATCGGTTCACAAGCAGAATGATAGGGGAAGAGTTAAATTTGACTTGTACCACCGTTTATCAGATCAAGAATAACTGTGTACTGCATCACGATGTCAATAAACGACTTTTTGGCTAGTAAAAACATTCATGTGTCTCTTCAGCATCCTTATTCGCCTGAATTGAGTCCTCGTGACTTTTTTCTCTTCCCGAAGTTGAAAAGTCATATCGAGGAACTCGAAGTTATTTTTAGGGTGAAAATATAAAATTGTAATTATATTTTAATAAAAAATAGACTTCATAACTTGATTTACAGACCTCGTATATCTGTGACAGTGTCTTTTTTGTGGTAGCCAAACAAAACGTTTACCGGGAGACCGGCACGGGTACCATGTAAAAAACCTATAAAACGTCAAAAAAAAAACCTATAAGATGTCATCTTGCAGACTTGGTAGTTTTTAGGGTGTAAACAGTCATTCCACGTTTGCTCACTAGGATCGTTGGGAGCGTTCATCTATGGAGGAATGGCTCAACTACACGTACACGCATTGTTTGTTGCATATGTTGTGTGACGCCGAGTGGTCTACAGTTTTCATCTCTGAGTTTCTGGGAAGAAAGTTGGTTATTTGGTTGAATAGCAAGATTGCATCTGGATGATTATGTGTATTGGTCTGCATGTGTATAAAATCAGTGATATTTGATGTGTGAGAGAAATAATTAATGAATATGCTGCCAATGAAGTATACGTAGTCATGCCATAAGTTCTGTCCCTCGTTTTCAAACAAGTGTAGACCTGTTAATACTTGTCCGATTGTTTACATTGTGGTGTCAGTTGATTAAGCGCTTTTCGGGTAATTACATATACCTCAGTTTGTATTGATCTCTCGAAGCATAACGATGGAGTGGGGCAAGGCAGAGAACCGTATTGCAGTGATAGCTTTACATAAGTGTAATCACAGTGCTAGTCAGATTTTTGAACTCTTACGCGGCCTTCAAATATCGCGTAAATTTGTGTCTAGGACCATTCAGCGGTACAATGAGACGTCCTCTGTTGATGACAGCCCAAGAAGCGGAAGACCTCGTCAAGTAAGGACTCCAGCAGCTATCAAAGCCGTAAAAGCCAGGATTCAAAGGAATCCACTCCGGAAGCAGAAGATCCTATCCAGGGAAATGAAGATTCCTGTCCGGACGATGTCGCGCATCATTAAACAAGACCTAGGGCTAGGGGCTTACCGGAGACGTACGGGCCAGCGACTTACGGCCACCTTGCGACACATCAGGGCGACAAGATCCAAGAAGCTCTTGGAGAGGTACGCAGCTGGGGGATTCCGAAAGATTTTGTTCACGGATGAGAAAATCTTCACCATAGAAGAAAAATTCAACCGACAAAATGACAAAGTGTATGCAAGGAGTTCACAGGAAGCTTCGGAGATCATTCCGAGAGTTGAGAGAGGCCACCACCCTGCGTCAGTCATGGTTTGGTGGGGGGTGTCCTACGAAGGGGTCACTCAGCTCCATTTCTGTAAACAGGGCGTGAAAACAAAAGCGGCAAACTATCAGAGCGACATACTGGATCCTATCGTCAAGCCTTTAAGTGGTACATTGTTTGCCAACCAACACTGGGTCTACCAGCAGGATTCCGCCCCCGCTCACAAGGCTAAGAGTACGCAGCGCTGGCTGGAAAGCAATGTGCCAGAGTTCATTGCTGCGGAAGATTGGCCCTCAGGGAGTCCGGACCTCAATCCTTTAGACTACAAGTTGTGGGACCTGCTAGAGCAGTTGGCCTGCTCCAAAGCCCACCGTAATATCGAGTCCCTGAAAGCGGATTTGATCCGATCAGCGGCAGCTATTCCTTTGGAAGCTGTGCGTGCAGTGATAGATGAGTGGCCCGCGAGATTGAAGCAGTGTGTGAAGGCCAAGGGGGGACATTTTGAATAAAACTGTTTGATTATGAATTCTAAAAATGTTGTCGAATAAATAATATCTTTTATATAAATATATCTTATCTTGGATTTTTATCATGATATTATCATGGGACAGAACTTATGGCACGACTACGTATATCTATTGGCTGTGCCCGACGGGTTCTTTATGATTTCCTTTCGGAAGACAGTTTATGTTCAAAGTTATCAATTACGATTTTTTGTGTTTTCAAAAACTTTGACAACAATTACTGGAAATCACCACCGCGCTCGCGTTGTGTGTATTTACTGTTAGCATGATATGACTTGTAATTCGACAGTGTACATGGTGAATATAATTATTTATTTCTTTCATTTTTTAAATTCAACAATGTAATTTCCAGAATGGATAAGAAAAAGTGGCTGCGCAACTAATTTCTAGCTTTGAATCTCAAGTAAGTGTATTTGAGACAATAATCCAATGGAATTATCATCAACACATTATTAGCACACAAATCTTCACTATGCCGTTACCTCCAGTAATGCCATCTCTGAAGCAGATTTTACATCACATCATAGCCAAACAGTGATAACTGAAGCCTCATTACGTTTAGGCAACACGTACAACTACAAAACGAGTTTACAAAAGTGTCCATCAGCTAGTGCTTATCTCAAAAAAATTGATATAACGTCACTTTTCAAGATACTTAATAACCATGAGGAGCACCGATTGGACAAGTGTATTGGTGTTGATCTCGTACGCTACTTCTAAAAAACATATCTATCAAAATTATCGATACTATACTCATTGCTTGGCACATCTTCCGAATCCGCTTATGACAGAACATTGAAAAAGCTTGAAATTACGGCATCCGTATTACGTAACTTAAAAAGTGACATTATATCGATTTTTAATGACATTAGCTGTCATTTGCTTCATGTTCACCTGTACTAGCTGTGCGTGTTGCCTAAACGTCATGACACTTGTGCTATATGGTTTGGCTCTGATGCTTCACAGATGGTACTAGCGGAGGCTATTTATAGCTTCTATGGCTGAGCGGCAAATTTTTTTCCATTCCGTCATAGGCTCACATTAGCTACTAGCTTGTCCACAAGTTGACATTATACTGATTTTTAATGACATTTCGATTTTTTAAGTAAACCCTAGCGGTCCATCTACATAGACAATACTTTACTTTCAAGCCTGAGAATGAAAATGTCAATACGTAGTGCTTTAGTTACTTGCTTTAGAGAATAGTGCAGCAGGTTATCCAGATTTTTTTTGGATATCTTAAGTATCCATAAATGAGTAGATCAACTACGAAATAGCCATATTAAATGTAACATTTTCCTTGCAGGTCTTTACAAATTCAATGACACCGAGTTATACAAAGATGTCACTGTACTGAAGTTGATCACTAATACTGACTTTTTCAAACCTGTCGACACGATGGTGGAAGAAAAAATACCCGAAGAGAATGATAAGAAAATAGCTTACATGGAGCCAAAGGTAGAAAAAATCGATGCTGAACAATTTATAAATAAGGAAGATGGTACTAAGGAGAGAGAAGACTGTCATAAAGTCGAGCAGAAGTCTCCTGAGATGACTGATGAGGCAAAACAAGAAAGGATTGATGTTGCGTTTACTAGTTGTACTGGTAAGATAATTTCCTACAGTTATCACCACAGAACACTATATGATATCAGCACAGACCACATACAGTCCTGACAGCTGTTATCAGTACCTTGAACCCTGTGCCTGTTCTACCAATTATCATGTGCGCGTGCAGGAATTTTTTCCAAAAAGCGCGAATAAAAAACGTCTGTTAATCTACTAAATAAATTTATCTTTGATGATTTTTAGAGGAAAACTACCCTAAAACTATCCCGCACACTTTTTTGAGTGACCTAATTATTGTTTGAATATACTAGTGACAGTGATGTAAATCCTACCAAATGCGATGTATTTGCTTTTCGACTCTGGTAGTACTCTGAGGTATAGTCACATATGTCTAACATATACATGCGATAGTGACGGTCATTCCCTTTAATGTTCACCAACTATTTGATACATATCCTACCACCTGCAATGGGCGCCCGCAGGAATTTTTCCCAGGATAACCAGTACAAGCACACAACTGTCCTTTCAAACTTCTTTGAAAACCAAAAACAGCTCCGGCAGAGGATATCGCGGGAAGTATGAGCCCCAATAATTTTTGAATAGCGGGAGGAGGCCTTGAAGATCTTATCAGAGGTTTTATGACATACAAAAATATGTATCTTCTCGTATTAATATGTTACATTAAATGAAACTTCGTCGATATCATTGTAAAGTCTGGTTTTATTGATTCAAGTTATTCAAGAGGGTATTTAAAACATGGACGCATAAAATGGGTTCACCAATTTTTGTGAGAAAACTTTTTATTCATCAACAAAGAATGAGAAAACGTGTTTTTTTGGGATTCCATTCAAAGTATTGTCAGGAACGAAAAAACTTCAAATAAGATTTTTAGGTATTTATGAGACCCACAGAATGAGATCTCACGTCAAAGATCCGACTAATAGTAAAAAAGTTATTTCCGAAAACCGATGCAAAATGCAGGTTATGGATCTTGTTGCTAATGCGACAATAATTTCACGCAGCTACTTGAAATTCTTCAAATCCGAAGGCTTCTTACTTTTAAACACAACACAACAAAATTGGAGTCGATTGATTAAGTAGTTTTTGAGAATTTCTAATGGTTTATCCAAAAACACCTATCTTCCGGCCATCACTACTAGATTACTGAGCAATATACAGGGTTCATTCAAAAGGCATTTTATAGCGAAATACACGAGTTTACCTTACCGACATGAATTGCAAACCATTTCGAAAGATATTTTTACGCGAAAAACGAAGGGGATAAACAATTCGAAATTCCCAAAAACTAAATCACCAATCGACTCCAATTTTGTTGTCGTTATTTAGAAGTATGAAACTTACGAGTTTGAAGAATTTCAATAATCTTCGTGAAACTATCGTCGCATTACCAACAAATGATAAAACCTGCATCTTGCCTCGGTTTTGGGCCATAACTTTTTCACTATTAGTGGTCTCATTCTGTGGCTCTCATAAATACCTAAAAACCTTATTTGAAGAGTTTTTTCGTTCCTGCCAACATTTTCGATTGAATCCCAAAAACACGTTTTCTCATTATTTGTTGCCGAATAACAAATTTTCCACAAAAATTGGTGCACCCATTTTATGCGTCCATGATTCAAATACCTTCTTGAACAACTTGCATCATTAAAACCAGACTTTACAATTATTTCGCAATCCAGGGGTATTTTCGTGTAATATGATTAGACTACATGTTTTAGAGATTGATATGCTTTTTTAAATATTTTTAGTATATCGCCACAGTGCCAGCAACGGATTTTGGACAGGCTGCCGTCTTTGAGGTACATGTACACAATCTACTTTTCTTTCCAGGTTTCTGCATCGACAAACCTGACCCCCCACCTAAAGAATACCCTGGGCTACCCCCCATCGCCTCTAAGAAACTCTCGGAATCTCAAGTCAACACTTTGTTACCTCAACCAACACTGGATCTCAACATAACAACCGACTGTGATCTGACCAAAATAAAATCAACGAATATCGAACTGTTATCAGACAATTCCCTTCTTAACCTTCCTAACCTCAGGAATGCAGTGGATGACCTCATTTTGCCTGGAGTAGACGGTGGAGGGAATATCTTGGAAAATTCTGCCAGTTCAGATGAAATGATGAATGTGGATCAGTTTGTGAATGAGAGATTCAAGAAGATTACTGAGCCTGAGATGGAGATTAGCGGATTAGATTTGCCTAGTTTGGATCTGTTCCAGTTTCACAGTAGTTAATATTTATATTGTCGATTATGCTTGTGATCAGTAAAGTTTAAAAAGATTGGAATTGTTACAGTATTGTTTACTTACCTTTTATATTTTTAGTTGTTATATGTTTATAATTAATAAATTGAGTTAAAATGTGTGTCTGCTTTTTTACTTTTCCATTTTACCGGAATTTAACAAGTATAACATATAAATCAAATTCAAGCGGATAACCAAATGGAAATGGTATTTACCATTTTGGGTTGGTATTTACCAATCCGTTCAAGCGAGTGTAGTTATCAGTTTGGTTATAAGATCCGTGACGTCACGAATCAGCTGTTATATGTCATAGTTATCACCGCAAAATTGTGGTATTTACCCAACTACAAGAGTAGTTTTATATTTCTGGTTATTATTTGAAATGTGACAAGTTAGAATTTTGCCGGGTATTGGATATTGTTATTGTACTTCAGCTTCATTTTTGAGAAAAATGATACAGGCTGACTTCAGTTTTACCATAAAGTGGAGCACCTTAATCAAATTCAAGCGGATAACCAAATGGAAATGGTATTTACCATTTTGGGTTGGTATTTACCAATCCGTTCAAGCGAGTGTAGTTATCAGTTTGGTTATAAGATCCGTGACGTCACGAATCAGCTGTTATATGTCATAGTTATCACCGCAAAACTGTGGTATTTACCCAACTCAAGAGTAGTTTTATATTTCTGGTTATTATTTGAAATGTGACAAGTTAGAATTTTGCCGGGTATTGGATATTGTTATTGTACTTCAGCTTCATTTTTGAGAAAAATGATACAGGCTGACTTCAGTTTTACCATAAAGTGGAGCACCTTATTAGTTATACTCATTACGGTTGTTGGGGACACTTTAAATGTAGTTCCTATGTTTAACAACGTATCCTGTGTAGCCATATACCACAAGAATATTAAAATATGGCCATATAAACTCACTAAATGATATCCACCTGTATACGGTTTTGCTAATTTCTTTTTTCATCATTTCTGCTGAATCAATAAATGTTTTCTTTGACATGCGGAAAAATTTGGAGAATTGAAAGTTATCATAGCTACAAAGCCATGGTTCCATCATTAAAAAAAAATCTGAAAAAAACATTTCTCCCTAATATTCATTATGAAAGGTTTCTTATTTAAACTTTCCATATACAGTTGTAGACGAAAAAGCACTGATTATTAAGTGATAATAAAAATAATCAGAGATTATATACGCGCTTTTCTAAAATAAACAACTTGCAACAAAACCGCGGTTAAAACCAACGCGTTCAAGCGATTCGTGTAACTGACGTCATCAACCCGTGTGTCATCTTGAACCATATTATAACCGCGGCACATAACACAGAAATTTTGGTTATTCGCTTGGATTTGATTCTTATTAGTTATACTCATTACGGTTGTTGGGGACACTTTAAATGTAGTTCCTATGCTTAACAAAGTATCCTGTGTAGCCATATACCACAAGAATATTAAAATATGGCCATATAAACTCACTAGATGATATCCACCTGTATACGGTTTTGCTAATTTCTTTTTTCATCATTTCTGCTGAATCAATAAATGTTTTCTTTGACATGAGGAAAAATTTAGAGAATTGAAAGTTATCATAGCTACAAAGCCATGGTTCCATCATTAAAAAAAATCTGAAAAAAACATTTCTCCCATGAATATTATGAAAGGTTTCTTGTTTAAACTTTCCATATACAGTTGTAGACGAAAAAGCACCGATTATTAAGTGATAATAGAAATAATCACAGATTATATACGCGCTTTTCTAAAATAAACAACTTGCAACAAAACCGCGGTTAAAACCAACGCGTTCAAGCGATTCGTGTAACTGACGTCATCAACCCGTGTGTCATCTTGAACCATATTATAACCGCGGCACATAACACAGAAATTCTGGTTATTCGCATGGATTTGATTATACATTCAATACTGTTTGGTATATGACAGCTTTCATATGTCAAAGAATAAAGAAAGTGTGTTTCAATAGAAGAGAGGTATAAGACGTTACATTTTTCATGATGCATCTACAGGGAAAACCAAATTTGTCTGACGGTTTGATCTCAATGTGTACGAGAGAAACGCGCGAGAAGTGTGTATCAACACATATGTTACACCAAAATGTGTTCGCACAGGCTTCTACAATAGGTTAGGTTACTGTCAAACCCAAGGAGGCCTGTTCACACATTTAAATTATTATTCTTGTTTTCATTTTGATCAGAATTATTCATTTCAATTTTGATGCGACGTCTTAGTTTATTTTAGAATTATCTGTGATTTCCACCGATGGTGTTAAAATCAGCACATCCTGTTATTGTTACATTTTGTGACAGCGAGCGTTCGGAAAATGTAACAAATACATGACGTAATTCAAATTATCACTGTCTGCGTGGACGCAGGTGAAAACCATTTCGAAGCAGTACGACACTCACCAATGAGCGCTAGATGGGTCTGACCAAAACCGCTTATCTATGATCATGGAGGTGGAAACCTCGCCTTGGAGTCTATGAAATGCGGTGTTGCCTAGCGAACAAATGATGCAATGTTGCAGAATTTGAGGCGAACCTGACCTTTCATTTCGACCTAAAATGGAGCGATGTTGGGACCGATCCGGAATCGATCCTAGATTCGACACAATTCACAATTCAAAAATGTGCACGCTCAAAATAAAATCATCATTTGGGCGTAGAGAATAAACTAACGCATATTTTCAACATGCATCTTAATTCAAGGAACTGGTGTAACATATTGGCAATACGGCAGATTGCCGCATCAACGTTGCTAGGGAACGCGGTGATGAGCTTCGCTATCAAGCCGGCTCCTATCTCTTTCTAACATATATGTGTCTATACACACTTATCTCTCATACTTATTGAAGTGAAGCCGTCAGACAATTTGATTCTCAGTCTTTGGAGACCTCGTATAAAGTGATCAGCACGCATACTGCGTAATTTGCGACGTTTGTCATCCTTTTAACGTCCATATACCGTATCACCAAGTCACGGAAGAATAAAGCGTATTGTTTGATGTTATACAGAAGCTGAAAGCGCGGAGTTGTACCTCCATAGGTTCCCCAGTAAAACATGCATTCAAAGTTCTGGCATAGCTCATTTGTTAGTGACGCGTATCGAAAGCATTTCTATATCATTCTGTTTTAAAGACAAATGTAAGGGGAAATCTAAGATGTACGAAATATTTATATAGGTGCGTAGTAATATGCATCTAGTTTTCAGCGTATTAGCAAACTGAGAATTAAGAAAAAATGAGATCCAGTAGGATCTAAAACGGCAAAAAACCAAGTTTGAGCGATTTTAATTTTTTCCTATTTTTGGACTTTTTAAAAAACTCGAAGCTTTTTCGTCATTAGCATAGTAGTAACCTCGTATGAAAATTTCATCAACGGCCAGTACTTCCCAAGTTATAAACGGGATATGGTTTTTAGTAATGTGCATGTCATATAACGTCCAAAAAACGAAAGGTCTCATTTTCTAAATTTTGAAGACAATCCCCTTGAATGACTCGGAAATGTGTCTTTCCCTTAAACATATTTGCATTATGCTAAATTAGCGCCTCTATATCGATTTTGAAAACCTTCGAAGCGTTTTCGTCCTTGACATATCAGTAAACCCTGTGTCACTATTTCATTAAAATACGAGCGCTGCTTTTCGAATTAGGGAGAGGTCAAGGATTAGCGGACACACCAACAGACCAACTGAAATGAGTGACATGGTTTTACCGTGATATACATACGGCACAACATCCAATAAAACGAATCTCATTTACCATTGCAGTGCTTCATCGGCAGTTGGCGTGAAAAACAAAAAAAGGCTAACACGTTTTCACGCAGCTACTTGAAATTTTTCAAATTCGTAGGCTTCATACTTCTAAATAACCACAACAAAATTGGAGTCGATTTGTCAAGTAGTTTTTGAGAATTTTTAATGGTTTATCCCAAAACACCTATCTTCCGGCCATCACTACTAGATTACTGAGCAATATACAGGGTTCGTTCAAAAGGCATTTAATAGCGAAATACACGAGTTTACCTTACCGACATGAATTACAAACCATTTCGAAAGATAATTGTTATTTTTATGCGAAAAGTGAAGGGGATAAACAATTACAAATTCCCAAAAATTAATCACCAATCGACTCCATTTTTGTTGTCGTTATTTAGAAGTATGAAACCTACGACTTTGAAGAATTTCAGTAATCTGCGTGAAACTATCGTCGCATTACCAACAAATGCTAAAACCTGCATGTTGCCTCGATTTTCGGCCATAACTTTTTTACTATTATTCGGATCTTTTTACCTGTGGCCTCATTTTGTGGGTCTCATAAATACCTAAAAATCTTATTTGAAGAGTTTTTCCGTTCCTGCCAACACTTTCGATTGAATCCCAAAAAACACGTTTTCTCATTCTTTGTTGTCGAATAAAAAGTTTTCCCACAAAAATTGATGCACCCATTTTATGCGTCCATGATTTAAATACCTTCTTGAATAACTTCCATCATTAAAACCAGACTTTACAATTATTTCGCAATCCAGGGGTATTTTCGTATACATGTTTTAGAGATTGATATGCTTTTTTGAATATTTTTGGTATGTCGCCACAGTGCCAACAACGGATTTTGGTCAGGTTGCCGCCTTTGTGGTGCAAGTACACAACTTACTTTTCTTTTCAGGTTTCTGCATCCTGGGATATGGTTTTTCGTAATGTACATGTCATATAACGTCCAAAAAATGTAATGTCTCATTTTCTAAATTTTGAAGACAATCCCCTTGAATGACTCGGAAATGCACATCCCGCTGCAAAATACTCAAGGTCGCGTCTTTCCCTTAAACATATTTGCATTATGCTAAATTAGCGCCTCTATATCGATTTTGAAAACCTTCGAAGCGTTTTCGTTCTTGACATAAAACGAGTCTCATTTAACATTGCAGTGCTTCATCGGCAGGTGGCGTGAAAAACAAAAAAAGGCTATCACGTTTTCAGTTTGCAGAAAACAACATAACAACGTCTTAGGTTGAGCCTTCATAGACATTTGTTGTATCGAAAACCGACATTGAATCTTTGCAAATGCATGCTTTGAAATAAGTCACTTGCTAGGCAAATTAAAACTCCGACCTTTGAGCAGTGAATCTGGGGTTGAAACGCATACAGAAAAATGGGTCTAACTTTCAAATTCCGCGTTCACCCACCTTCATATGTTTCAATTAGATGAATCGATTTTCATCAAACATATCCAAGAATCATCTCGATTAAAAATCATAGAAAGTTTTTGCGTTTTGTATTAAAAATCATATAGAAAAACGAGTCTACTTCTCTAAATCTTTCTACTACTACTACTACTTTTGAACGACTTGACCCATTTTCATTAAAACACCGAATTAGTAATCTGCAAATCAAACTCTTTCATTTGGAATCACGTTGAATCATATTCTTTTTGGGTACATCGCGCTCACGTTCACGCCATCTTCCCCCATAATTTTTGAACAGCTGATCAGAATTTGATACCATCCTGATAAAAAAGACTTTATTATATTAAAAAAAACGCACTCAATTTGGTTTATCAGATTCACAGATCACAGACTGACAATAAACACACGCATAAACCCCTTCACACGGTTAACACATAACACTCCTCCTCCGTCGGTGGTTAAAAACGCTAACGACGACCAATTTGTAGCACAAATACTATGTCTATGCATTACATCTGCAAAATACGTACGCCACTGGCTATCTAATCTCGACGTAACGAAAGCTCAGTAGGTACCAACAACGTTATGATTTTTCTCTGATTAAGTGCTCACAATTAAATTATGCAGCGTTAGATGTTTCTACAAATCTTATCTGAGCGTTGACTTGTCGATAAATCAATAAGAATGCCTAATCAACTAATCTGAAGAGGTACGGGTACGGAAAAGACGGCTCAGGCATATAAGAATAGCTGGTCAGTCTAGCGTGGTATTCGCGTCGATCTTTGCTCCATCGGATTATCGGTACTTTATTCGAAAATGTCTTGTTATAGAACTTTGAATAAAATTTCAAAAAACCATTTCTTGATCTTACGAAGGTTTTTGCGAACGAACGTAATAAGTAATCCTCACATAAAGGTGTCTGAAGAAGTACAGGATGCGATTGAATGCAAAAAGCCGGTCGTAGCGTTGGAATCCACCATTATCACTCATGGCATGCCATACCCGAAAAACGTGGTGTGCGCTGTACAAGTGGAGGGGGTAGTACGCAAGCAGGTATGAGTACTGACAGTGTTGCAAGCTCTGTCGTGTTTGCGGCAGATATACCGTTTTTGATTCAACGAGGAGGTTTTGACTATCAGCGTCTGTCAAATGCAGTAATCCAAAAAAATAATTGGTTATTTCCAACAAGAAATTACTGACTATAAGAGACTGTCAGATGCGGTACACTCATCTAAACAAATTCATTGTTGGAAAGAACCAAATGCAATTTATCAGAAAAAAATAATAATAAATGGTTTTTATTGCACACGCAAAAAATTACACAGCACTTCAACAAATTCTAGCTGCCTTCCCGACAAACGGTAGAATTCGGCTCTTATTGCCGTATAGAAAGATCCGCTCTTCCATTCAACCGAAGCGTCATTTAGCAATTCGACAACGTTTTGAGGAGTAAACACAGCACTAGTTTTAATTTCAGAATTTTGGCAGGCCAAAAGTGGAAAGGAATGACCTTTTCTCTAAGGGAATGTACAACTAAGAATGCCATTCTTGGGCTACAGATTTTATAATATTTGAAGTTTTGTTAGTTCCACATATGGCCGCCAGAGGACTTTTTTCGACATTCCGACTGAAATGGTTGATTTCCTAAAAAAAAAAAAATGGATGCACTGATATGATTTTTTTTTGAAAAAGTAGCTAAATGATGTCTAAACAAGCTCGCCAAAACCGCATCTCGACATCTTGTTCATAAACTAAAATTTAGGAAAAAGAAAATTTTATACGTAAATCCCTTAATTTTTATGTATAATTAGAAAGCGAGAGACAAAGATAAAAATAACACACTGTTTATCGATCTATAGCTGGAATTAACGTTTTTCATCTAGAGGCCCCACTGGAGCACTAGAAAATATTTTGTCACCATTAAAATATTAAAATCGAATGTGTGAACACCAGAAAGGATTTAACGTTTGGCTATTATTTTGAATTCACCTTTCTACACTTTCCGATAAAAAATGATAATTTTGTTGCAGCAAATTAGCTATGTAGGATCTCATTTTGAAGGTATTGTCTTTCCCGACATCTTTTCTTAAATCAATTATTCACAACTATTTAAATACAATACGAAAACTGATTTTTCCAACTCTGACCTTTAATGTAAAAGGTATCCATGCAAAATTTTTTGACTATCTCGATGAGGAGCCTTTTATACCACCGTTGTGAAACAGACTTTTACCATTTTCCATTTTTTCTAAGACGGGCTGGATTTTTGGCTTGTTACAGTCCTACTTTCTATGAACAGTGTCGATTTTCCTACCGCTCTACGGCCTTCATATCTGCCGAAAACTGCATCAGGGGCTTGATTCTAAATGAGTTTCGACCGTTGAAATTGATTTCGAAGGCGCCTTGTGACGATATACTTAATTAGCTATGATAATTTTGACACTGCTATGATAATTTGAATATAGAAGATCAATAAAATCAGATGTCAAAATTATCATAGCGAATCAAGTATACCGTCACAAGGCGCCATCGAAATCAATTTCAACGGTCGAAACTTATTTAGAGTCAAGACCCTTGTTAAAATATGACAATTCTATAATATGCGATGTCTTCTCGCTTGAAATTATGACACCTACTAGGATTGAATTACAGGGCGCAATCCCAGCTACTATAGCCATAATACGGGGAAAAATCCATGTAGGCCTGTCAGAAACGGACATCAACATGCTGGGAGATACCTCATCGAGCAAGCCAATAAAAACGTCTAGAAGAGATCTAGCTTACGTGATCAGTAATGAGATGAGTGGGGGGACTACAGTTTGCGGAACGATTTTGGTGGCCGATCAAGTTGGCATTCCTGTATTTGCTACTGGAGGTGAGAATAAACGAATTGATCAACGTATTATACGCCAAGTTAATACGAGGTTTCGGCATGCAAACAATAATTTATCAGGGATAAAATGAGATACGTATCGTTATCTATTAGAATTTGTCACAGCTGTTTTTCTATTTGCTGTATGTATTGAAAAGGATAGTGCTACATGAATAGCGCTGTACTTTGAGCGTATACGAGCTTATATGTGACTTCCGTACCATCTCGAGACTTTTTCAAAGTATAAGTAGTAGATAAAGCAACAGATGTGTCAAATTCTCAGAGATGACGCTACTATATCATTTTATCTAGGATAATTTTTTGGATGCGGGAATATAACATTAGGTTGGTTATCCTTATTAATGTTAAAGGCCATAAAATGTTTAAAAACTAAACATCAAGTGTTGACGCGTGAAAGAAATGAGTCTGATCTGGTATGAACGGCTAAACTTCCATGTGAGGCTTTAGGTGTTTGTGCCAGAAAACAAATTAAATAATGAAAGGTGGTTAACGAAAGGGCGGCCGCAAAACATGCAGTTTTTGGCCTGTTCAGTGAACCTTATAAAAAGTTTATGATGAAACTTTGAGTTTCTAAAATTTCAAACTGAGATTACATTCTGTTCTTCATTCAGCAGTAAAGTTGGATGTAACCAGTGGCGACGCGTGACTTTTCCTAAACTGTTACCAAAACCAGATGTGAAAAATCTTATTAAAACAAGTTTATTTAAAACCTCCCAAACATCAGTTTTTGCTTTTTTTTAGGTATTTTATTTAAACTATTTTTGAAGTAATCGTCTTATGCTATGACTAATCCAAGCCGTTCGAAAAAACAGTCGACGTTTCTAGATGTTCGGAAAATTTTTGATCTTTTTTGGCAATGAATGTTAACAATTCCCTGTAATTTCCTCTATTGTCAGAGTGATCCCCTTCAAAATGAACGGTAATTCCTGTTTTGCCAAAAAACATATGGTATCTAGAAGTGTGCTGCCTAAAAGCTTGGTCAAGACAACTTTCGATTCTTGTTTTGCCAAACTGAATTAAATTGGCTACACATCTCACATGTAACGTAGACATTTCATGTCTCCTCTTTAGAGCCCTAAAACTATTTAAATCGTTGACTCCGCTGCTGGTCCACCCATTTTTTTCTGTATAAAACAGAAGACATCGTCAACAATACAATCTGTTTTTTTGCAACCACATAAACAAGAGTTTCCATATACCGACTTAATTTAAAATATCAAAATACGTTTTTTTATTCCTTTTTAAAATTATCTAAAATAGGTGTTGGTCTTCCATTTTCAATGATCTCCTTCTTAGGAATTATACAAGGAGAATGTCTTTTCAAGTAGTTGATCGCTTACGCAGCGACACTCATCCATGTTTAATTGCACGCACACTACAGCCGGTAACCAAAACGGCTACTAACGAGTGAGAAGTTAGTAACCAAATCAAAAAATGGTAACAAGCCCACATAATAGACGCAACGCCCCACGCACTCGGGCGACCGCGATCAGACACGAGCCGGTACCGACGGACTACCAAATGTATCCATAAATGAAAATGGTAACAACCGACAACCAAGTCGAGGCGAGTCAGCTTCATCGTGTTCGCAAAACCTAGACACTACATGGCGCATTATTTTCGTGGGGCTAATTTACTATTACATATCGCTGTTGGTAAACAAATAAATGAAATTATTTCACAGTACTTAGTCATAAAATATTTATTTTTAAGATTTTTAACTGTTACCATTGGTAACAATTGTTACATGGACGCTTCGCCACTGGATGTAACATACTATTTAATTTATAATATCATTGTCAAATTATTGTAGATTTTATGATCTATTCCAACTACGAACCACTGCAGATAAATCTGTTTTATTAATATATGAGTATTTTATCATGTCCCAGAGAATTTTTGTTCTACAAAAAAGAGCGATCAGATGCACAGCCGGTGTGATTAAGAACTAGCTGTAAAGAACTATTTATACGTATTTTAACTCTAGTATCCGTGTATATGTTTCTGTTAACTATTCTATTAAATACTCGAACACCCCAAAAATTTTTTCAACCACGCATTTTCTGGAGATAATGTTGAAAAGAAACTTTCAGGGTATCAAAAAAGCAATTTGTCGGTGACATCAGATATGATCTAGACCTTAGTGTCATTTGGAGGTCAACTTTTTAAATCTAAATGGCAACCACCATTTGACAACGTATTCGTGCCAAGCTCGAGATTCTACGGCAGAATTCATTTTCACGCTTGACCGCCAAATGACCTCTGAGGTCATTGTTTGACACCTTTTTTTGAACATTTTTGCCAAAAAATTCGTGGTTGCCAAGAATTCGGGGTGTTCGTGTACTTTTCAGACGTTGCAGCAGGTCATGCTGATTGAGCCGCCTATATGTGAAAATTAAAACTGATGCAGGATTTCGTGCTCGTCACGAATCTGTTGGTATTTGACTTTACAAAGCTGACCTCCAAATGATCTCAGAAGTCATCGATAAATTGCTTATTTGATAGTCTGAAACTTTTCTCAGAACCTTTTTTCCAAACAATGTGTGGTTGCCAAGTTTTTGGGGTATTCGGGTGTTTAATAGACGCACACTGTACGTCAAGACCAACTGAGTTTTTTGAAGACGTTAAATAAAAACTATAACGCGAGGTATTAGTTACTGGAATTGACCTCACACATATTGTCTGCCACGGAACACAGTCCAAAATTAATGGGCATCAGAGTATTCAATTAAAAGAAAACTGTAAAGCAGTTGCCTGCCAGACAGACCCGTCTGACTTTGGCGTCCCATCCTAACCGGGTCAAACTTCATACATCCATAACTGGCCGATACGACCGCTCCTTTGTACCGAGGGTCTAGAGATTGTAGAACAATCTACAAGAGCAAGCTTTTCCCAGTTCAAAAATCGTATTAACAAAATTTCTTTGGGATCATCATAGCAGCCGCAGTTTTCCGGCACTTAGGCTTCTGCCTGCGCGGCTGCTTCGATATATGTATATATATAAAAAAAAGATGCTAATTAGCAAGGCAGTGTACAATATGGAGAAGTACTTTTCTGTAGATTTTGAACAAAATGAACTGTCATATATTTGAATGATCGTTTTCTCCCTTCAGTCTCATGCGTTCTTTATGTTTCTTTGTAATCTTATTGCTTCTTTTCTATATTGTGGATTTTATAAATTTTATATACTTATAGTTCTTTCTTAACATGTACATTTGATATATATCATAGATTCATCTTCGGTATGAAATATATTATACAAAGTGGCTGTATTTAAATTCTACTCATCAATGCAAAAATCGAACTTCAGTCACCCAAACATATGTGAGAATCAAGTGCAGACTCAACGTAAAACTTTAGGAATATTAATATCCCATCACAATCTTCCATATTAAATCAAATTTGTGAGGTCAAAATTGAGCTCGATCGCTTTCATTTGGTATACTTAGTTGATTTCAAATGGTGGTTGTAAAGCCAAAATAGTAGAGTATGGGCTTTTTCAGGTATAGGAGGTGTTCACAGAGGGGCAGATAAAACATTTGACGTATCAGCTGATCTCATAGAGCTTGGAAAATCTGGCATAGCCGTTATATCTAGCGGAGTGAAATCGATTTTGGATATACCCAAGACTCTGGAATATTTGGTAAATAATAATAATAATAATAATTAACGTCTTTTATTTGTAATATTCTTACAGGACGCGAGATTTAGATTATATCTCTATTCTACCATCTAGCCCCCTTAACAATACGAGATGTAAAAAAAAAAAAAAAAAAAAAGAATTTATTGAAAATTAATAGGCACCTGTATACAATAACGAATAATCCAAGTAAATACATAAGGAAAATATGAGGACACTTATGGGTTACAACCGATTTGAAAAAGTCTCTCTATATCTAATATTAATACGATGCATATTCCCTCTACGTATGAATTTGTTTACTAAATATGACGGTGTGTTTGAATAAAGAACCTTATGAGTCAGATTTAGGAGCTGGTACTTATACATTTTATCAATTTTCATCCATTTGAGTTCATTAATGGCATTCGATATATGATCATATTTTCTGAGATCATTTACAAGCCTGCAACATGTATTCATAATACTTTGAATACGATTTCTTGTTATAATATCTAAATAGGGATAGTAAACCACTAAGCAATTCGATATCTTTGAAAATACGAAATATTCACACAATTGCTTTCTCGCAGATTTATGTAATATAGCCTTATTTGCAAATAAAACTCTGAGAATAGCGTAGCACTGCGTAATTAGATAGTTCACGTGTGCAACAAATTTTAAGTCATCATCCATTATAATACCTAGGTTTTTCGAATGATCCACAGGAATTAATTTATTACCTTTTAAATGTATGTCTATGTCCTTTTTTAAGGTATTCTTTTTTGTTCTATTTGCGTATACCAACACATTTGTCTTCAAAGGGTTCAAACGAAGATTATGACTACTACTGAACTTTTCAATTTGGGCAAGATCTTGATTAATTTTATTATTTGCGGTTTCTAAGTCATTACTCCTAAATGAATAGAAAATTTGAGTATCATCTGCAAAAAATTGTATGCTGCATGATTTTACCTCTGTTTCTAAATCTGAGATATATAATGAAAATAATAGCGGTCCTAAGACTGATCCCTGTGGTACACCAGAACAAATTTTTTGTTCCGTAGAGTACTGTTGCTTTAGACGAACTTTTTGATACCGATTTTCAAGGTAGGTTTGAATAAACGAAAGAGGTTTTTCAGAAAATCCATAGTAACTGCATTTAGATACAAGAAGCGAGTGATTAATGGTGTCAAATGCTTTAGTAAAGTCAAGAAGTATGAGAGCTACTGCTTTTTGGTTATCAAGTGCCATTGTTATATTGTCTGTTAAATCACAGAGTGCCGAAGCTGTATTATGACCTTGTCGAAATCCAGATTGTTTAGATGGAATAATTTTGTTAGAATATAAGTAGGCGCACAGCTGCTCGTAAACAACGCGTTCCAATACTTTAGAGAAAATTGGCAGTAGACTGATCGGTCTCAGTTGACCATAGTTAGTAGGATCAGAACACTTAGGTAGCGGAATAACTATAGCGCGTTTCCACTGATTGGGGAAATATCCCCTCTCTAAACAGCAGTTTATAATATGCGTTAAGTAGACATCAATTTCAGGTATACATAGTAGTATCATATGCAAAGTTATTTCATCTGTACCACTAGAATTTGATTTTATTTTATGTATAGTTTTAACAACGGTGTCAATAGTCACTTTATTAAATTGAAATTTGAATTTAGAGTTATTTTTATTAGCTCGGTAATATGCAATTTTATCAGCACAAGCCAAATCACTATTCTCGAAAATTGAAATGAATGCCTCATTTATTTTATACGGATCGGACAAGCTCACGGGAATTGTAGAATCTTTCTGAGATTGTACTTTGAAAGTCTTTAGGGTCTTATAAAACTTTTTTATATCCTGATTTTGAACAGCTTGTAAATAATCTCTTTTTCCTCTTCGCACGAGCGTTAATGCACGATTTCTGAAATATGTATACTGTTGCCAAGAGGCGGCTGTACGATCATGTTTGAACTTTGACAAAGCTTCAGCCCTCTGCCTGAATACAAGTTTAATATTATCATCCAACCAAGGAGCTGGAGCTTTGTTTACACGCACTACTTTTTTTGGACAGTGAACATTAATGGAACTAATTTATGCACGGTGATACGGAAACACTGACAATACTTCGTTTTCTTATAGGAAACACAAGGTGTATTTGTGGGAACATTTGGAGATAGTAATGAATTTCCAGCTTTTTACTCAAGAAAAAGTGGCAGCAAATCACCATATATTGTCCAATCCGCTAAGAAGGCAGCTCAGATTATCAAATCTAGCATGGATATGGATTTGAAGTCAGGTAAATATTAATGGAGGCTCTTTCTGCTAGAATAATTTTGAAGAAGCGGTAGAATTTGGGATAATAAGTTTATTCCCCATAGGCATGCTATTTGCAGTACCAATACCAGAAAAATATGCGTTGTCATATGAAACAATGAATGAAGTCATAGAACAAGCTTTGAAGAGCATGGACCCACACATGGAGGGAAAACAAGTCACTCCATATTTACTATCACAAGTGGCGAAACTTACTAGTGGCAAGTCTTTGGAGAGCAGTATCCTTTGAAAAACACAACGAATTGGAACTGAATCAAAACCAGTTCGCGAAATTCATACAGTAGTTTTTAATTACAGTTGTGAAAAGGGCACACAATTTCACTGAATGCTGGTGTTTTGATGGCAAATTTTAACTTCATTTTATTTGGGGTAGGTAAACCGCAGAAGTAGTTTGCGACAATTCAAGGTCTTGGGTCGACGGAATTATTTTGAAAATATTATCTTGAAGCATTGCAATCATACTCTAAAAGGTCAACGGGTGTTGACATCTTAGAACTAACTAGACGGTAATTGGAAGGACAGCTAGTAAAATTGAAATTTGTGTTTTTTTACATTGAAATTCATATTAGCCTTAAATTTTACTATTAAGCATTTTGGCTACATTTGTAGGTCATTCAGTTTTTGGATGAGAAGATCGTATGATTTGAAACAAATCAATATTATTGACGCAAAGTTTCTGAAGGTCTAGTTAAGATAAAGCTCAAAGTCACCATCAATTGATTTTGAAAATATCATCCTACTTTTGTGAACTAAGAATAAGTCTTTTAGTCATGAATACTTTCAAGTTGCGGGTATCTTAAGCTAACAGTTAGAATACATTTTTCAGGTTTTAGGTTTTCAAAAACTAAGAAACACGTTTTTACGGTAATACTATTCGTCATTTATTTGTCTGGGCGGTCCGTAGGACCTTTGCCCATTAGTCACTGTCTGATGTACGTTAGTCGAATCTGTCAGTCCTGGTTGCCCAGAAACCAGACAAAGTCAAGGAAAAAGAGAAAGGGAAAGAGAAGAAAAAAGGAGAAGAACAAAGAAAAACAGATATGCTTAGTTTAAGAGGAAACACCTAGGCTTTTTGACTTGGTACACGGATTAATTTTGAGGTGAACTAAACAAATTTTTTTGATTCGGTTTTGTTAGAGTGTAAGTTTGAGTTTACTAAAGATTCACGGTAACTTTTGATTACAGTGCGAGCCGTGGCCTTGAATGTTTACGAACTTGCTCCACTGTGTAGTCCACTGAGTCACGCAACAGAGGGTTGCTGTGCGATTCCGCTTGACTATAACGTCGCTGGGCCTGAAGCTTGACATAATCCCTTAAGTAAGGAATGTCAAGGTCTCTGTGTAGTGTCTCATTTGAGACATACCATGGAGCGTTACAAATTGTCCGCAAAGTTCTGCTTTGCAGTACTTGAAGACTTTGCATGTGTGTCTTGGCAAGGAAACACCATGCCGCACATGCATAAGTAATGGCTGGTCTTATAATCATTTTATATAGTCGAACTTTGTTTATCAAACTCAATTTGGAGGATCTACATATCAAAGGATATAAATGCCGAAACGCAATTTGGAATTTTGTTTTCATGGATGCTGTATGTTTCTGCCAGGTCATGCGTTTATCAAGGGTGACACCGGGATACTTGGCAGAATTTGTCCATGGTACACGATTTCCGTCAACAGAAACCTCTGCTGGGGGGCCGCGACGTTTTTTGGTACAATAAATAGCCTGCGTTTTCGAATGATTAATTTTTATCAGCCACCGTTCCGCCCACTCTAGAACTTCGTCCACCGCATTCTGCAACCCATCGTGAACCAGATCACCAGTACACGACTGGGCGACAAGTGCAGTGTCCTCAGCATAGAGGTAGACTTCACAGTTGCTGGGGGAAGGGACATCATGGATGAAAAGCGAATAAAGAATTGATCCTAGGACCGAACCCTGAGGAACACCGGCCCGTACTGGCCGTGTTGTTGACAAAACATTGTTAATTTTGATCCGAAACTTCCTTCCTTCAAGAAAGGATTTCAGTAATTTTAGAAGCCAAAAAGGAAAACCCTTTTGGATTAGTTTATAGAGGAGGCCCGCGTACGTTTTTACGGTGTGTGAATCTGACACTGATTGTCTGTTGCAGTACGGTCATTTTTGATCTCTGTCTTCGCGCCTGCTTCAATATCAAAACGAACTACGGAGTCCAGAATTTGTACATATCGAGCGTTCGGAAGATCGATACAAATTTTTTAAGTACTACTGATATTACATCCGATTTGGAACACATTAAGTTACATATACCTAAGTACAAAGTTGAACCGTTTTCGAGCTATGCGCAATTTTGTGAAGCCCAAGAGAAAAGCTGAAATTTCGCTATAAATCATAGCTTGTTTAATTATGGAGAGCAACTGCTTTTTCTCTATTATTCTTCCATTTATCTTGATGATACAATCTTTATGACGGAAGAGTTTCTGTGTTATCAAAAGATGGCGTCCTATTAGTAAAAATTAATCTTAGTTTGGCAACAGTGTAAATTAAAATCATTGAAAAAAATCATCCACTTCTATTCTCTTTTATATAACACCTCTTTCAATATCCCAAAATAGTAAAACAAGCAGAATTTTGTTAAAATACAGAAAATCATAAATCACGTTTTTTTAAAACTAGGCATTTGATAGTGACATGTTGTGATAATTATATTTAAAATTATTATTAGAGCTGAAAAATACCTATTATGGTAATCCAACATCTCCCAAACCAGTCGTCGAACATCATACCCAGGGCGACATGAATGGACATAAAAATACGTACCTTCTTAATTGATGCGCATACCATGTCAACATTTCTGGTGTATTTTAAGCACACTTTAGGCTATATTTTGGAGTAAAAAATCTAAAATAAAAATGCGAAGTAGCCGAAATTTTTGTTTGTTAAATGTTTACTTCCGGTTTAGCACCTCAAGTTTTTTTTTCAAAAAGCACAGAAAAATTCCCACTATGATACTTTACAATTCGAAAAAATTTTTCGAAAAAATACTTATATCAAAGCCTGTAACTTAGTAAATGAACGTGCCATGAAGAAAAATCTTTCACACTTACCAGATGTTCAAACAAGTCCAATGTGAACGAATTTTAAAATATCACTTTTTTCGCTGTCTGCTTCACCTGTATTGCCCTTAATAGCAAAGTGTATCAGCAGTAAATTTTTTTAAAAATATACAGGGCGTTCCAAAAGTTATGGCAGGTCATTTCAGGCAGAAAAGCCATGTGTAAATGGCTTCCTATTAGCACCTTTCAATAACTTTTATATAAACAAAAAATATTGGTTTCGCCTTCAACATAGTGAAGGTGGTATGTAGAGTCAGCGAAAATCAAAAGATCGCCAATTTTTGCCCAACAAACTAGCTTAAAAATCGGTTTAAAATAAATTAACCTTGCAATAATTTTCTGGGTGTTGTAGCGGAAGGGTTAAGCATTAATTTGGGTACTTGGTAACCTCAAAAATAATGATTTTTAATTGTTGAAGATGATCATTTTCAGGGGTTTTCAGCCATTAAATGGCTTATAGCTCGAAAACGACTAACTTAAGAGAAAATTTACTACGACCCTTCCTTGTTCAGAATGATATGAAAAATCAGAAAAAAAATCGGAACTTATATTGTAATTTCTTAAGAGGCGAGAGGAGTAATAATGGATCAAAAAATGGTCTCTCAAGATCCGGACTATTATTCTTTGACCTCTTCTCGGCTGATACCTGTTCATAAAGTGCGGCCCTCACATTCTTCAAAATCAATTCCATCCAGCGCCGTCTGTAGAACACATAAAGTATTTTCTTATTCTCAATATGTGAAGTATTATTTCTGATGCATTTTCATAAATCCCTCTTTTGCATTTCTGTAGTAGTGGTTTCTACAGATTTTTCAGTTTCCATCACTTCTAATTTTATAAATGAAAACGTGTGGACGTTTGTTACTCTATCACGCCCAAATGGTTGAACGGATTTGGATGAAATTTGGTAAAGAGATAGATTCTAGTATGGAATAGCACATAGGCTATTTTTTTTATCTCGGAAAATATTAATATCACGGGAAATAGCCAAAACAGGTTAATGGAATTTGACATGAGGTGCCAGCCGGAGAAAAGTTAGACTATGGTATGATTTTAAGTGGGTTTCTTGCCATATTAAGAAAAGATTGTAATGGGTGAGACGAAATTCTTAATATTGAGTATTCTAAAAGAAACCTGCTCCAAAAAGGTTTATTTTCATAGACATGGTTCGGCATTAACTGAGTGCAAGCCAGTTGTTTAACAAAAAATTAAATATTGAGTTCTCGGAAACTATAAGTCTCTTACTGAAACAATATTTTGTTATATAGTGTAGGTTATTACACGATAAACCATATTTCGTCAGTGCGTAGGTAAATAAGCCTTCTTTACAGGAGAGCAGTAAAACTGTATAAAACATTAATGAATAAACCTACATGGTTGTAATGAGAAATGCGGCGCTACTGGTCAGTTATCTCGTGTCTGATTGGGCGGATGAAAGCGTCAACTGTCTGCCTCGAACTGACATTAAGTCCGGACAAAAATGATTTAGGCACTGTTAGAATTTGACTGACGATTTGCAGCTGCAGTATATCCTTCAATTTCAGCACACCCTGTATATTTGTGTGTAAGTCAGATGTGGATTTTCACAACGATGTGCCAGTATTAGTGAGATAACCTGATGACTAAGCCAATAAGCTAGAATGTATTTATCTAATCAAAAAAATAATAAAAATCCTTCTGGTGAAATATGTAGATCAATGAATTTTAGATAACCAGATTATGCATGTATACAAAAATGACAATGTTAGATATGCATCAAAAAAGATAGCAAATTATTATGTATGCTTATAGTGAACCACAACGATTTAATACATATAAGATGTATGTAAGGTAATTGAGTAGCGTCAGATTTTAAAATCTATTTGTTCTTTGTATATTTATTGACATGTCAATTTCTCCTATACACACGGGATGTTTCCTATTTCAGTGTAAATAGCTAAGGGGTCGAATCTTAAGTCCATTTTGAGTAGAAAACTACGAACGTATGTCTTAAACGTCGTAAATTTCGAGGTACAGCACAGTAAAGTTTACAAAAATAAATAATCTATAATTACACTTTAGGTTTTTTAATGAAATTTGGCATATAGTATACAGGGTGTTTTCAAAGTTGAGTCATTTATTTTAACTGCATGTAGGACTCGTCAAAAGGAGTTGATATACCAAACATCACCTATATAAAAGTTGAATAATAAAATAAATAGTAAAATATTAAACATTTTAAGAAATAAGAATGGTATTACCAGATTTTTTGATACTCTCGCCCACTGCCGTGTAATATCTTAGCGTTTTTTGCTTACCACTGCTATCGTTTATCTAAGTTTGGCAAACTTTAGGTGTTATTGTATCGTTTTCCGTACGAGTCTTTGGTTCGATCAGTCATATCAGTCTTTTAATAGTGCATATACTTTCATTTGTCTGAATATTTTGTGTGAAAAAATGGTCCAAGGTTACGAAAATAATGCACTAGTGGACATAATACTATACGGAGAGTGCCAACAAAATGCAGCCGCAGCATGCAGGTGGTATGCGTAAAGGTTTCCTTTAAGAAATCATCCGGCTCCACGGATGTTTGTAAATTTAGTTAATAGACTTTCTGACACAGGATATTTAAAAGAACTACTAGGTCACGCTGGAGGATCTGCTCAACCTGAAATGTTACAAATTGAGGAAGACATATCTATTAGAAATGGTCGAAGACGACCCAACAATGAGCACTAGAGCCATAGAAGCTCAAGTTGAAGTTTCTCATATTAAAGTGTGTTAGAAGAGCTTGGCAGAAATGAAGATTTTACCAAATTAATTTCACACAGCGCACTGAAAATGCTTGTGTTTTAATTCGTGGACACCAGGATTTTATTTTCGATGCTTGCAAAGAGTCTTGGAGTCGTCGAGCAAGATTTTGCGTTAATCGAACAAATGGGGACAATTTCGAACAGTTTTTGTAAAAACTGTATCCATTTACCTTGATAATAATTCTTTAAAATAATTTTCAATAATGTGAACTAACTCTCTTATTATGCAACTTTTATATAGGTGATTTTTGGTATATCAACTTGTTTGGACAAATTCTACAAGCTGATAAAATAAATGACTTAGTTTTGAACACACTATGTATAATATGCGGCATTTTTTATGAACTCATTTTATTAATTTCCATTAGTATCACTCGTAAGGAACCTTACCTGCCCACAAGGCATTGATGGTACAGCACTGATTTCTCTTAAAACAAAAATTCCCGAAATAACATTATATTATGTACATAGGAACATGTCCAAACTTGTTGGTAACAAAGATATACGAGTACATGCTTTGGTAGCCACAAGACAGACCAATAATATAAGCCACGGTTTTTATAAATATAAGGTAGGTAATAATCTTGACCCTAAAATGTTTCAATATTGTTCCAAAAGAAATCCAGGAGAGAGTAACAGCCTTCGCACACTACGTCATATCGTAATCGTATCGTAATACGCGCCTAGGACGAGAGCAAAACGAGCTCGTATGTGTGCTAATAAGTCCGCACACGAAGCGATGTTGCAGCGAAGCGTCTGAGATGTTCAGTCGTATGACGTTAGTCGTCGCGGTCTGGCATAAGGCAGGCGTAGAATTCAAAAGTTTTGTTTAATTGCTCTCGATATGGCTGAAATGTCTCCTTCCTCATTCGATAAAAGCTTCGGAATTTACTATCATCTTCTGAATGTCCGCGTGCAGCAACAAACAATCTTTTCTTCTTATTACTTGCGATGTATGGATGGATCCAATGAGCACGTCGCTTCCTACTTCTAACATAATCAAACAATAAAAAACCCTCTTCGTCTGAAGAAAATGTAAGATCATCAAGGGATACACCAGAAACGTCTGGTACCGTTGACAGAGATCTTACAAAACGATACGAGTACGTGACGATGCGTGCGTGGAACACTGCAGGTCTCGTAAACATTGCGTCGTAATGATACGCTTACGCTGCATGTGCGAAGGCCCTTAATCAAAATCACTTCAATTACAGTTTGAAGGAATGTTTAATAGATAAATGTTTTATAAGATCTGTGATTTTATGAGTGTAATTAGTGTACGTTGTTCTACTTTCACATCTTTCTGTATACAGCCGCTTGCATCTTTTGACGATTCCTATACACACGTTGTTTGTCCAAAGGAAAATACGAGGGCCAAGCTATATATTTTGAGATACACGAAAACTAAAAACTATTTTTCGAAAACTAATTTATTTATGTTCAAAGTATTCTCCTCCAGCATCAACGCACTTTAGTAGCCTGAGCATCCACAAACGCAAAAGCTTCTAAACAGTCAGTTTTTGGAATGCCTTCAACAAAATGATTAATCGCTTGTTCGGTTTCCTCTTCGGACGAAAATTTTCGACTACGCAGATTTTTTTTCAAATTTTTGAAGAGCCAGAAGTCACTCATTGCCAAGTCTGGCGAATAAGGCGGATGTTCCAGCATTTTGATGTGGCACTGGCATAAAAAGTCTACAGTTAGTTGGGCAGTGTGGCTAAAGGCATTGTCGTGGATTGCACGCAACAACTTTAAATGAAGATGATCATGCAAAATGGTGTATACTGTCGAGGATCCTACCCTAAGAGTTGCCTCTATAGTCGCATATGTGCAGCGAGAATCTTCTTCAATTGGCCGCTAAACTTTAGCAATTTTTTCTGGCGTCACACTAGATCATGGCCTACCACTACGTTCTTCATCAGCCAATGAAACACGCCCTCTTTTAAATTCGGCATACCAGCGAAACACTCTTGCCCGGGATGGACCTTCATTACCAAATGCCTGTTGTAACTGTTCGATACATTGATGTTCAGTTAAACCGAATTTAAAGTCATAGTAAATCATAGCGCGATAACTCTCGAGACAGCTCCATGTTTCATTTTAGATTTGTTTAACTGCAAGATGCTTGCAAATAAACTGAATGCGGCGACTTACTAATAAAGGACTGCCCTTTCTAATAGTGCACTGTTGCCGGTTTTAACTAGTATAGTTAATGCATATCTCAAAATATACAGCGTGCCCCTCGTAAACTATAGTTATTACAAGCCGAAGGTTTGGTTTCAGCTTAGGCTGAAAATCCAGTGTCGGTCGGTTACGGCAGATCGGCCATCCTATCGTATAACCCTGTATAAAAGGGATATCTGATTCCCGGATCAGATTAGCCATACATGCATATATCAGGGAAGTGATAGTACACAATAGCAAAATTTGGAATTGTTGTATTTTTTCCTAAATGCATTATCATCAGATATCGCTCTTATAAAGAATAATGCAATGGTCGCAGCCAATATTTCAGTCGAGTTGGCGAAACTGAGACAATCGGGTGGAAGTGAAGTGCGTGATATGGAGCGCAGTAACACCGGAAGTGCTACAGAAAATGGAGTGGATGGACATCCAAAACGAGGACCGGTGAGTATTGTGCATTTCTTTTAACAGATGCTGACGCGTTCGAGTCAATTTCGCGTAGGTATACTGTTACTGGATCCTTTACGATGCTACGATCGGGTGTTTCAAATTCGACTCTCACCTTTGAGATCTCGGAAACGGGGTCGGTAAAATGAGGGCAAAGTTCCGCATTCCGGTTAATAAGAAAATGGCACTTAGTAAGTTTCGCAATTTATAGTTTTTCTGGTGACAGACGAAAAAAAAAACGAAATGACTCAAAATCGTTTTAGTTTTTTCGGTTGAGGTAGGATTTCGAAATAAATTTCATAATAACATTGTCATTTTTCTCTTATAGAAGGTGGCATAATTGGAATATCCTCAATTATGAACTTTATTTTCTCTCATGGGCATCATAGTAGATTTTTACACAGGTGAATAGAGTTTTTAATACTGATTTCAAAAACGTATGTCATACATTATAATTGTAAAACCACAGTTATCAAAAAAGTATTTCCTAACTAGGCATTGATCATTTGTTTTATCATCAGCCAGGCATTTTTATGAACTGAGAATATGTTACACTTATTTTTAATGGTGCAATATTGTACATATCATGACACGGATTGATATTATACACCTTTAAATGTTTAGAAAAGTTATTATTTTCCTAAACTCACCAAATAAAGAAAAAAAAGCTACATTTTTCATATTATTTAAGGATAGTAATGAAAACATTGAAAACAGTATATTCAAGGAACTGAAACTATATTTTTGTAACATGAATTAAAAACGTAAAGGTAGCTTCAGATTCAGATTCAAATATGATGAAATTACAGACCAACTCCGTAGTGAGCTCAAATCGCCGATATACTAGAAAACTAGTATTTTCAGCTCTTGAGGGTTGTTTTGTATTACTTATTACCAAATGAGGCTTTTAAAAAAATTATTCTAGATAGCATCAGTGGTGAAGTGAACGGGAAAACGAGAATATTAACTAGTGTGCTATTTTAATAGGCAAAATACTAAAAATGATTTCTTGACATTCCTACTGTTATTCGACCTAATTTTACAACTGCTGTAAATACCGCATACCTGTTGAACTAATTTAGGGTTATACTTGGTGATTTCGTTTGTGTCGGGAGAATACGTATATATAAGACTAAAAAAAATCGCAGAACCTAAACGAAGAATTGTGCCACCAACAAACTCATATATGTTGTAGAGACCTCAGGAGTACATCTTAAAGGCATAGCTTAGCGAAAAATCAGGGGACTACCGGGCGATCCTTTGCATAGAAGGGTTGACTCCTCAAAACCGAAAAAAAAAAAATTATTGCAGACCGCAACGAAGAATTGTGCCAACCGCAGACTCACGTATCTTCTAACGATTTTTGAGATCTGTACAACATATATGAGTTTGTTGGTGGCTCAATTCTTCGTTTTATTTCTACGACTTTTTTCTGTTTCAAGTCAAGGGTTGCATGTCCTAAATCACCCTGTAGTTCCGTGATTTTTGCAAATCTATGCCATGAAGATATCCTCCTATGAGGTTTATATAACATATATGAGTTTGTTAGTGGCACAATTCTTCGTTTGAATTCTACGATTTTTTTCTGTTTTAAGGAGTCAAGCATTATATGCGCAGAATCACTCTGTAGTTCCATGATTTTCAGCAAAGCTATACCATAAGGTTGTACTCCTATGAAGCCTCTACAACATATCTATATGAGTTTGGTAGTGGCACATTTCCTCGTTTGGGTTCTGCGATTTTGTTGGTTTTATATGTACTTACGACACAAACGTGTCGTTTCTCGAAAGTAGTATATCCCTAATTTAGTTTAACAGGTATGCGGTACTTACAGCAGTGGTACAATTAGGTCTAATAACAGTAGGAAGCGTCATGTCAGAAATTATTTTAGTATTTTGCCTATTAAGGTAGCACACTTAATATATAAGTAACATAAAACAACCCGCAGGAGCTGACAATACCATTTCTAGCATATCGGCGATGTGAGCTCACTACTGAACTGGTCCACTGTAATTTCATCATATTCGAATCTGAATCTGATGCTAACTTAAGGGACGTAAATAAAAACTTCATTCGCCATTAAAGAATCCAATGAATCCATACCAAGAATGAAGTTGATGACTGAGAACAAGAAACGAAATGTCACATTGAAATTCTAAATGCCACTTTGAGAGGAGAAAAGTCGCAATGTTAGTATTTAGTAGCTTATTTTGAAAACCCAGTCAGTATAGAATTCTCTTTTTCGTCATCTTCGGAAATACTATGAATTGCGAAACGTTCTAAGTGCCATTTTTTTAGAAACTCGTACCTAAATTGGCAAGTTTGCCCCCACTTAACCGACTTTTTTATTAGTTGTGCTCTACGAAAAAACGAATCCAATGTATAGAACCTTGGAAAATCAAAACATGTTACTTTAAATTTGTATGCTTTTGGAAGAAAATGCAACACCGACTAAGAGTGCTGAAATTTTGAGCATACTTTTATAAGCTTTAGGTCTACTGATGAATAGACAGTGATAAAAAATGTAACTAAAAATTTCGCAAAATAGCTTAATGTTAATAATCTGTTGAATGTCCTCTCTGTTCGCTACATATTCGTTAAGTCGTCGCGGCATTAATTGGATTAGGTGATTTTAGAAAATTTTATCAGCGTATACTTCCATGATAGCAAATATGTTTACAAGTTTTTATCAAACTTCAATAAATATTTCTGGGTGTTGCATTTTATATGTCGGTTAGTATATAACATAATCGTTTTTAAGGTTGGTTGTCGAGTTATACGCGACTCAACGTACTAAAACGCTAAACCTTAGCAACCTGCGAGTTTGCCATTTTTTAAGATGGTGATTTTATATTCTAGGATTATTATAAGAACCAATTTTATCCTCCAGGAAATCATTTGACTTGTTCAAAAAATGAGCATATAAACGTCCGTTTTTTTAATCCTATTGAAAAAAGTGTACTCCACACCAGTAACCCAAAAAAAGAAACTCACATCACCGCTAGCTGCAACAGAAGATCCTAGAAAAAAATCAAACAAAATATCAGCACACACAACAGTTATCAAAAGCGATCTGGGATGCGTTTGTAACTCACTTGGCAATGTACAACAATCAGCTATGAAACTCTCCTGGCAGTGTCAAAAACGACCGTCATTTCGACGGAGAAAGCCGAATGTAAATTCCCACAATACAACGATGAACGAGTTTTTATTGCTCAGCAGCACCCGGTACACTTATATCATATCGAAATATTATCATTTTAAGATTGCAAAGAATATCTGCGGCTGCTATCATGATATGAGGCAACATCGGCTGCTACTGAGCACTAAAACCTCTTTGATCGTTATACTGGGGGAATTTACATTCGATTTTCTCCGCAGAAATGGCGGCCGTTTTTGACACTGGCTTGACAGTTCATAGCTGATTGTTGTCTAAGCTGTGGTAATAGTATGTAGATTCACAGATAAAATTTTACTCTGGAATACTGTGTGACTCTGTTTTTAGAACGTCTAAATTATTACAGAGCAATGTAATGACACTTGATGACCACCCACAAATTTCTAATCACGTTTTCTGCTAACATTTTCTTATTATAAGGAATGCTATGGATAGGCGGTAGCTCATTTATCGAGCACAATATATATTTAGCCAATTTTGAGCACTTTTTGATAACCAAATAAAGTAATCAAACAACCATGGGAATGACAATTGACAATACCCATATTCTCAAGGTTTGGCTGTCAACAAATTTACATTACCTACTTGATTTCAACATTCAACTCTACTCTAATAATGACAATTTATACAGGGCGTAAACGTTATGATAGTCATTATTTAAATGGGAGGTAGAGGGGCTTAAAAGAAGCAAAACGTTTCATATAACATGGGGGTCAAAACGACATTTTTTTAGAAAAAAGCGACTTTAAAGTAATATAAAATCTGACAACGCCGCAATGCCAGACGCAAATTACGACGGAACGCACTGTAAATAAAGATGGAGTTTGTTATTTTTGGGTCTTAGGTATCTATTATTTCATTATTTGAGAATGTACTCGTAAAATGCAAAAAATTAAAAAAAAAACGGAATTACCACTAACTGTCTCAGCGCTTCACCTGGTGAGTGAAAGTTTATTGAACGTGTTAAAAAAATCCCCTTATAAATAGGGAACACAATTTTGATACATACATTGATTTCTTTTTAAAACCCACACTGCACTTTTTTTGTATTTAAAAAAAAGTCGTACTCCACTTTCCACACAAGCTTCATTACGACAGTTTCTTCTTACTCTAGGTCCTCGAAGTTGTCCATTTATTATTTCAGCCGCATTAAATTTTTTTTCGCGAAGTTGTGCTTCAGTTGTTATTGGACCAGCCCCATAAAACATCGCTTTAAGTTCTCCCCAATACCAGAAATCCATCGGATTGAGGTCAGGAGATCTTGCTGGTCATTTTCGAGGATCAGAAGCATTTCGATCGACCCAGCGATTTGGATAATGTTCATTCAAATTCTGAATGACACGTCTAAAAATGTGTGGTGGTGTCCCATCATGAAGAAACCACAAATTTTGTCTCCGTTGTAATGGCATGTTGTCTAAGGTCTGTTCCAAAAGCTAAGTTATGGTAGGTTTTTTCTAGAAAGCTAAGGTATCCTTCTCCTGACAACTTTGGGGGTAACTCGAAAGGGCCAATTACCTGATCGTCAAGAATACCCGCCCAAATATTTATTTTAAAACGTTGTTGGAAATGACCTTCGCTAATGGTATGAGGATTTTCTTGGGCCCAAGTGTGAATATTATGGAAATTTAATGTCCCGTCTTGCGTAAAAGTACATTCGTCCGTCGCTAGAATGTTTTTAAAAAAATGCGGATTTTCAATGATTTGTGCAAAAACCACTGACAGAATGTTAGTCTGCGAGTATAGTCTTCTGATAACAAGGCCTGCACTCGATGTACATGGTAGGGATAAAGCAAATTTTCCAGTATGATTCTATGGACTA